TGTATTTAGGAACATTATATTCAATAAATCCTGTAGGATGAATAAGTGTACTCGTAAACTTTTCATGTATGTAAAACATTATTTATCGTTTACGTGTGCGTCTAAAAGACAACGCACGACATTTTAATGTTTAACGATTCACTGTTCTGTTACCCAAGCCCAAAGCTCATTTCAATTTATTATGACTTAGGTTCATTTAAGTCGGTGATAACTGAGTCTTTACTTTCCGTTTGTCTGCAGAAAGAGATGACCAACAACTATAACAACCTATACCCGAGTCATTACAACTCCATTTCCGATACCACCTACGCTGACGTCGCTGCCCCGGTAGGTCTGGTGGTGGGATTGCTGGTGGGTGGTAGTTTGCTGTTCTGCCTTCTAGTCATGTGCTGTTGCTGTTGCAAACATACTACCCGGGGCAGGGTACTCGTACGTAAGTACACTTCACAGAATATTTAACTCTTTAAAAAATAAGTTTTGTTATACGGTACATCCCTACACGTGACAATCCCTCCATAGGCAATATTCTGCCTCCTTACTTTCTGTTCTTACCAACATTTCCCTTAAAATATACTCCATAGGTTTCCAGCGTCAGCCCTGAAAGTGTTCCGTTGAGTTCTATAGGCCCTACTAACTTTTAAACTTATCTTCCATGACTAATGAACGAATAGGTATTTCATTCATTCGCCTCATACCTTTCATACATTATTACATTTTTTTTATTCATATAACTCATATCACATCCAACCGACCGATTCGCACTGGCCGTGGTCACATGCGGTCATTAATATCGTTATTCTCATTACAATTAGTAATAATGATATAAAAGACTGCTCTTTCGTACTTGATAGGGGCAAAATGACAGTAGACAAAATGAGAAAGCTTAATGCATCTGCACACCGTTATATCTTTTATAGAACTTATTGGTGACCTTGGAATAGACTATACCATGCAGGTTTGCTCCTTAGCGTAATAACACTTTGTATAAAAACTGCACAGTTTTAGAATCGCGAGACCTTGCTAGCTTCCTGCAGAAAATCGTCAAGGCATTGCTAACATTACATACTTACATGAGATAAATCCAAGTCACGTCTTCGAAGTACGTCCTTCCTGTGATGAGATGCCGGAAGGGCACGCGCAGCAATACTTCAATAAGTGCCTCTTTGACTATCGACTGTACGTGCGTGTGTCTAACTCTAATGTTGTTGTGTTGTGCAGCGCCGCCCCCGCTCACCCCGCCCACGCCGCCGGTGCCGCAAGTGTACATACACCAAACTTACGCCGGTGAGTATCTGCCACTTCTGCCAGTTTGTCAAAGCTTCTATTGAACAGTTTGCATAGCATGAGTCATGAATGTAACCATTGATGATAAGAAACTGGAATCTGTGGACGCCATTAAATCAGTAGGGTTGCGCTTAGAAAAACCGAAAGGCCGTAGGCCCCGTATAATTGTAAAAGACGTACCCGGTTCTATGGAAGATCGTGCCTTCCTAACAGCTTTATACCGTCAGAATATCAAGGACGAATTAAAATTAAGTGAGAATGATTTTATTAAGTCAACCAAAATTGTTAGGCATCGTAAACTAGAAAATGGGCGTCAATGGATAGGCTTAGAATTAGAGGCAGCAGTTCGGAAACATCTAGCCAACACAAAAGATAAACTTTATATAGACTGGGCCACATGTAGATTCATAGACGATATAGAAGTAGTTCGTTGCTTAAATTGTCAGCAATTCGGTCATGTACAAAAGTTTTGCACTATTAAAACCCCTACTTGTGCTAATTGCGCCGCCGCACACGAAACGCGAGCTTGTCCAGATAAAGACACACCAGATTTTAAGCCCACGTGCGCGCAGTGTAAGCGGTTCAAAAAACCATCTGACCATCGATGCGGCTCATACGACTGTGCCACATACAAATTAAAACTGGAACAGCTAATATTAAATACCAATTACTGAATAGTTTAACTTAGTATAAAAAAAAAAAAAAAAAAAAAAAAAAAAAAAAAGTTTAAAGAGTAACTTACTAAGTAATGAATAATATTTCGATAGGCCAGTTAAATCTTCATAACGATAAAATAGCTACATCAGAATTAGACCGTTTAATTTTAGAACAAAAGTTAGACATTGTCCTTTTACAAGAACAATATCAGAGCGCTCACTTGCGTCGTAATGTAGTACAGCTTGACTGCCGTTCGCAGGCTGGGATATATGTTGCAAGTTCTAATTTTACGGTAACATCTTTGCGTAATCTTATGACGTCACACTGCGCCGTTGCTGAGATCTCATCCTCTACCTGTAAGGTTTACGTAGTGAGCTGCTATTTTCAATATTCACATCCTATTGATCCTCACTTACATCACTTACGTTACGTCTTGCAGTTCCTCGTGGGACATAAAATTATCATTGGCGCTGATGTCAATGCGTCATCTTCATTATGGTATGGCAAGTTGCGTTCAACCGACACGGTTCGACGTTGTGCGGTTGAAGATTTCATTGCGGAAATGAATCTTATTATTCACAATACCCCCGATGCACCACCAACTTTTTGCAACCCAATGGGTGAGTCTTCTATTGACGTGACGCTTACGCGCGGCGACGTCTCGATATCCGGATGGCGTGTCCTTCCGGACGCATCCTGTAGTGATCACCGCTTGATCGTGTACGAATTCACACCAAGGGTTGCACAGGATCCACAAAGGGCTCCCTATAATTTTAGATATAAAACTAAAGGTGCGAACTGGGCTTTGTTTGGTTCACTCTTTGCAACTCATACCAAAGACTTCAGTCGCAGTAGTTTATCAGCTGAGGAAAGCGCAGAAATATTATCAGAAACTTTTACATACTGCGCTGATGTAACTATTGGTCGCGGATCTATCACTAACACTCGTAGATGTGATTGGTGGAATGATAGATTAGCCGAACTACGTAGAAGCTACCGGAAAGCTCGTAGAAAATTAAACACTATTAAAAAACATAACATAACAGGAGATTTGTACAACATTGCTCTCATTGCTCTTAGAGTTGCCAGGTCCCACTACAGAGCTGCTGTGGAAAAATCCAAGGGAAACTTAATTCAGAAACTTGTTAATAAACTCGATAGAGAAGGCCCGTGGTCACCTTTGTATCACGAATTTAAGGCAAATAGATCAATCGACCACGCATACATACAGAACATCAAAATTAATAACAGATATACCACAGGAGTAGAACAAACAGCAGAATATCTTCTAGACTCACTCGTACCTGACGATCGACCGGAAAACGACGCTGATCATCACCGACAGATCAGGCAGTGGGCCATCGAACCACCACTGTCTCCAATGTCTGATTTACCATCTTCAGACGAATTTCTCGGTATCATTAGATCCTTGCCGCTAAACAAGGCTTCGGGTGATGATAAAATATCTAACAAAATGATAAAAGAAGCTTGTAAACTTTCGGGTGACACGATTTTCACTGTCTTTAAACGTTGCATTGCTGAAGGAATATTTCCTCGTATATGGCGGTGCGGTAATATTCGTATAATACCAAAAAGTGGCGACAAGCCACCGGATGATCCTAAATCCTACCGACCAATCACATTGTTACCATCGTTAGGAAAGCTTTTAGAACGTCTTGTAGTGCCCCGGCTTCTGCCAGGTGGAGTCAAATTTCATGATAGACAATTTGGATTTACGTTGGGTAAATCGACAACTGACGCTGTTATATCGGTTAGAAAGTTTGTCACAGAGTCAAAATGTCAATACGTGCTGGCTATTTTCTTAGATATATCTGGCGCCTTCGACAACGCATGGTGGCCCATGCTGTTGCTGAAATTAAAATCACGGGGGTGTTTTAAAAATATTTATTCCCTTATCTCTTCGTACTTTTCACAAGGTACAACTAAACTAAGACTTGGTCATCATTCTGTGTCGAAGGCGCTTACAATGGGATGTCCTCAGGGATCGGTGCTAGGTCCATACTTGTGGAATATCGGCTTCGACGATTTTCTTACGATACCAATACCATCCGGATGTACTCTGAACGCGTATGCTGATGACGGCTTATTACTGGTGGAATCTGATACTAGGGCGGGGCTTGAGAGATTAGCCAATAGATGTTTGAACTTGATATCTCAATGGGGTGAACGTAATCGCTTAACTTTTGCACCCAACAAAACCTTCCAGTTACTTTTAAAAGGTAACCTCAAATCACCGCCGAGCATTAGATTTGACAATGTTACTGTAAAAAAATAAAACCACAGTGTGTTATCTAGGATTAGTTTTAGAAAGAAACTTTTCATTTATCGAACATATTAAAATAGTTAATGAAAAGTCTAAAAAGAGTTTCTGTGCATTGACAAGGATATCAACTGCGACATGGGGTCTATCATTTAAAACATTAAAGATCATATACGGAGCTACTTATTTAGGTTCTATGTGCTATGGTGCACCTGTATGGGCCGATAGGGCGACCGTAGGCGCTGTCCGTCGCAAACTGTTACAAGGCCAAACTAAAAAATTTTAAACAAAATTGATATTTTTTTTTTGGGGGGGGCCAAAAACATATTTTGTATACAAGAGTAGTATTATTTTATAATAAAATGTTCATGAATAGTAATCAGTGCGAGATCAGAGTATCAGGCAAATAAATCTTAAACTTGAAATTATTTTTCGATAAATAGGAAAAGTACAATATCACTACGGTGTATTGCCTAACCGCCTCTAGAACAATACGGGTCGGATGAAACGCTACCTTATTTTAAAAAGTTCTTAGGTTGTATTTAGGAACATTATATTGAATAAATCCTGTAGGATGAATAAGTGTACCCGTAAACTTTTCATGTATGTAAAACATTATTTATCGTTTACGTGTGCGTCTAAAAGACAACGCACGACATTTTAATGTTTAACGATTCACTGTTCTGTTACCCAAGCCCAAAGCTCATTTCAATTTTTTTATGACTTAGGTTCATTTAAGTCGGTGATAACTTAGTCTTTACTTTCCGTTTGTCTGCAGAAAGAGATGACCAACAACTATAACAACCTATACCCGAGTAATTACAACTCCATTTCCGATACCACCTACGCTGACGTCGCTGCCCCGGTAGGTCTGGTGGTGGGATTGCTGGTGGGTGGTAGTTTGCTCTTCTGCCTTCTAGTCATGTGCTGTTGCTGTTGCAAACATACTACCCGGGGGAGGGTACTCGTACGTAAGTACACTTCACAGAATATTTAACTCTTTAAAAAATAAGTTTTGTTATACGGTACATCCCTACACGTGACAATCCCTCCATAGGCAATATTCTTCCTCCTTACTTTCTGTTCTTACCCACATTTCCCTTAAAATATACTCCATAGGTTTCCAGCGTCAGTCCTGAAAGTGTTCCGTTGAGTTCTATAGGCCCTACTAACTTTTAAACTTATCTTCCATGACTAATGAACGGATAGGTATTTCATTCATTCGCCTCATACCTTTCATACATGATTACATTTTTTTTTATTCATATAACTCATATCACATCCTACCGACCGATTCGTACTGGCCGTGGTCACATGCGGTCATTAATATCGTTGATTCTCATTACAATTAGTAATAATGATATAAAAGACTGCTCTTTCGTACTTGATAGGGGCAAAATGACAGTAGACAAAATGAGAAAGCTTAATGCATCTGCACACCGTTATAGGGTACATGTTTGAGTGTATCTTTTATAAAACTTATTGGTGACCTTGGAATAGACTATACCATGCAGGTTTGCTCCTTAGCTTAATAACACTTTGTATAAAACTGCGCAGTTTTAGAATCGCGAGACCTTGCTAGCTTCCTGCAGAAAATAGTCGAGGCATTCCTAACATACATACATGAGATAAATCCAAGTCACGTCTTCGAAGTACGTCCTTCCTGTGATGAGATGCCGGAAGGGCACGCGCAGCAATACTTCAATAAGTGCCTCTTTGACTATCGACTGTACGTGCGTGTGTCTAACTCTAATGTTGTTGTGTTGTGCAGCGCCGCCCCCGCTCACCCCGCCCACGCCGCCGGTGCCGCAAGTGTACATACACCAAACTTACGCCGGTGAGTATCTGCCACTTCTGCCAGTTTGTCAAAGCTTCTATGGAACAGTTCACACTCTGTACGTAATGTACACTCGAAGTGAGTTATGAATGTAACCATTGATGATAATCGACAGATGGAGAAATGCGCTGATATCTTGTTTACCTACAAGATACAAGATATTTTATTTGCATAAACATGTGTACATTAAAAAAGTTAAATAACATGACATGTTATTATCATGCCTGATCGACATGTTTGACCGTTACTGGTGTACAAATATAAAATTTATTTAACAATATCATCTTTCTACATGCAACATAAATCGTTTAATAACATTTAAATATATAAAAAAAAAAAACAATTACAACCAAAGGACTCGAATATCATGGTTATTATATCAACTATTAACCGTCTTCATTAATTCATTTAATCTAAAACATTCAATATTCAACATAAATATATTTACTGCAATCAATAATCCATCAATCATTCAAAAAAGCGCAAAAAATCATCAATGATACATTATATTATTATGGTTATAAAGTGTTGTCATTCAAGAAATCCTCTAGTCTACAATAACAATATTATATATTATTAATAATGTTTTAAATCACCAAGTTAAAAGTAAGTGCAACAGATAGCACTGGTTTGTAGGACTCGATGTCATTTTGTGGAAACACTTTTTAGCACTTCTTCAGGTAAAATACCTGTTTTATTTTAACCTAGTGCTTGGTTTTAACTTAGTTTTATTAATTAATTTAGGTATTATTTTATCATTAAATCAAATAAAAGTATGGTTTTATTTTACCGACAAAGGTATGACGTTATCGGTTTACAGAGTACTTTTTTTTTCTATGATAATTTAATGAAAGTGTAAAATTAGCACTGTACCTAGTCACATAGATTTAACCTTTTATGTATTCAGGAGAACAAAATGAAGGGAGTACTTGAATAGCTTCAAATCACTAAGCTACAATACATTTTATAGATAGCTGATTGGTTAATTATCTGTCAAAATTAACGATTGCGACACATTAACTGATTAGTGTTTCCAATCACGTGACTCGCGGATATAAAATTCTACTTTTCTCAGGGGAAAATAAGTTATTAATTATTTTATCTTCATTTATATAATTTAAGGCGTTCTATCAATAGATCTATTTCATGAAATAGTTATTAATTGAAATATACTGTCAACTCGCGGAATACTTTAGAGTACGTAACCAGGACTTTTCTATTCTTTTTATCTATCTAATTGTACCTTATTTACAAGAAGTTTTTCATCTTTAATAATGTTTCTTATTCAGGAATGCCTAACGCTGGACCATCTCTGTGCCCCGAGATGGCACCGATTTCCCAACCGTACAAAGCGGGAAGCGCTACGGCACTTGTACCAGGTAATATACAACACATAACACTGACCGCCTTTCAGACACCCTGCCGATACAGAAAGGAAAACTTGATGTATGATACGACAAATAAAATTGGATAAACGTCAGGAAAATTATGACGTTGACGTTAAATTTATTTTCATCAAATTATGTTTGTACTCGTATGTAGTGAACGTGTATGAAGATGGAGGAATGCTTCAATTGTTTGTTAGTTCCAGACTACCCGCCTTCGTACGATACCGACAGACTGCTGCATGGTGATGGCGACGCAAACACGCACCCCTCCTAGTCCCTGCTTCCTTCTGCGAGTGGGGGGCCCGGACACCTTCAGTGAACGCCTTCCCAATTAATCACTTATACATTGTTAAGCTCACTACTAAATATAATGACATGTATTTTAATAAACTATTTGTAAGAATCTGGTATCGTTTAATTTATTTATTTTGCATGTCAATAAACCTAATCGAAACAGACAATAAGTAGTAAAATCGCTACTTTAAATAATAATGTTATGTTATTGTCTGTGAACAACATTCATTGCTATGCACATTGTATAGCATGAATGATGCTTTTTATACCGGTAACTCTTATATTTCTCGAGTAAGGTTCATCGAAAGCCGAAATAAACTTAGACGAAACTTCCTTTAGACAATTTCAGAATAGGGTCGACTTTATCTAATCTAATTCAATCCCAAAAAGATACAGATTTTCGCTTTCACCACCAAATAGATATCGTTTGTCGTATCACCTCGTTGTGGTAGACCTTCCCTAACCGCTACAGCCAGCATTGAAATCCTTGGTGATGACGTATGGAGCAAAGTCGCCCTACCACTTATGGCTGCGGTCGAACCTGCGCCTGTCAAACGCAGATCCGCTCTTATATCTATTTTTGCAGCGACGCCAATGCCAGCTACTCCCTCTGGATCGTATTCAACCAAGAGCGACTCGAATCCTCGATCGTGAGAATATTTTACATCAGTGAGCTTCACTCGCTTTCTCTATCAATTAATTGTTTTATAGGGAGCGCCGCTTGTTGTGTGCGTGTTTTTTTTTTCACTAGACGTGGAAGGATATACGAGTAGATAACATAGACACAATTAATTGGTGATAAATAGTGGTTTCGATGTGTAAATAAATGTATTATGAAAATATTTACCAGCACTTGTAAACTTTTGTATCGCAGTATAATTGAGCACTTTTAATTTAGAGCGAAAAGGATACGGTATGTCGATTTAGCTATCTCGTGTAGCACATGGCTGAGTAAACAAATGTTGACATTAAACGTCTATTTATAAGTATATACCAAATGATATACTTTTCTAATACAATATTATCCTTGTGAATATTGCTGAAAGACTGTCTGTAATGTACATGAGTCACCGTTGGCTTAATAAGTTAATATACCTACCTACTTGTGATCGGTATGAGTCGCGCTGCTCCACGTGTGCGCTAGCTCATAGTAGTGGTAGGTGCTGTGAGAGGCAAGTGAGTATTGTGTAGTACTCCTGCTGCACTATTATTCATTGCAGTGACTATATTGCTAAATCAAACAAATATTAAGTTAAATTTAAAGAAAATTATCTTCACCATGATTTCTTACCAAAATGTATCTTTAGATTCGACGCCCCGAACCCGAGGACAAAACGCGTAACAAAAAATACACTTTGCTAAGTAAAGGTCAAAAGATTTGATAATTTTGTTTTAGACCAACTGTCGTAAATATATTAATCGTAACATTTTGAGAACAGTGCTATAGAAGCAGAAAGTGCTAATATTATTGTTGTTGAAAATACAAGCTATGAACCGGATACAATCACACAACTACAGTTAAATTCCTGAGTCGGTGCGATAGTGGCCATGTTGTCTGCGTAAACAAACGAGCCCAATAGTGACGCCATCCCTCCGACAACTTAAATAGCTCTTTGTGTTGTGTCGGGACCACAAAACATTGTACGTATGGGTACTTCAAATATTATAAACAAATCTTAATAACGAAGATTATTTTAGCCAAATTTGCAAGGAGTTGGTTCGCCGTAGTTTTATTAAAGAAAATTGAGCCAAGTGCAGCGATGGGCGATTGTTCCTAAATAATCATTCGAATTAATAGGCAATTGTAGAAAAGTATATTCGAATGTCGATTTATTCGTTGACACGATAAAACAATCGAATGACTATCGAATAATCGAATGAATCGTTCTAATATATGATAAATGAATGATCGTGTGTCTGTGTATGTCGCAAGAGCGCAATGAACGAATTAATTATTATTGTTTTAGTTAGGGATACGCAAAATTTCAATAGTACGACAAATATACTATACGTTTTTATTTCGAGTGAGACGAGACGAAAGCAAAAGAATAATTTCGTACCTTAGGCACCTTCTCTTCAACTCAGATATTTTGGTGACTTAGTGAGTTCCTACTTGCTATTTCAGGAATATGTTAGAAAAGTACTTGCCTATACTTTTAGAAAGTATTCATACCTCAAAAGTATCGGAACAAAAGTATCGATGCCAAAATTACTTGGTATCGAAACTAAAGTATCGATAGTTTTTGCGTATCCCTAGTTTTTTTCCCTAAATTGTAAATTTGTAAGTGAGTGAGCGCACGGGTGACAAAAAAGTTTTATCCCTGTCACGTCCGTTCACGCCACGTCTCCAAAGTGGAGTGCGCGCACGAAGAGTGACAGAGATAACAGTTTTTTTGAAATTTAGGGGCCTGTTCGCACAGCGATATTGCGCTACCTAGACCTCTACCAGCTAAAAAGCATAAAAAAATGCAGCAATCGAACCGCGGTTTGAAAATGATAGAATACCGGATACAATCACGCAACTACAGTTAAAGTCCTGACTCGGTGCGATAGTACCCATGTTGTCAGCGTAAACAAACGAGCCCAAGAGTGACGCCATCCCTACGACAATTTAAATAGTTCTTTGTGTTGTGTCGGGACCACAAAACATTGTACGTATGGGTACTTCAAATATTATAAACAAATCTTAACACCGAAGATTATTTAAGCCAAATTTGCAAGGAGTTGGTTCGCCTTTGCCGCCAAACAGCAACAAATGCTATATAAAAGTCACAGGTTACTTTATTTATAATTTCGTGTTAAGAAGCTGCGTTCTTGGTACAGAACACAGGTAAAAGTGACCACAAGTCACAGCTCACTTCATATTTGAGAAGGAATCATTAATATTTTGTCGAAGTACCCTGCGTCACTTGAAAAAATATTTCAACCCATAGGCCCTTCTAACATAGCCGCAAAAAATTAATTACCCTGAACTCAAGTCGATGCGCGACAAGTGACTAACGACAATTTACGGCGCGCGGCCTGACACTTGAGCGGGTCACTAAAGTATAGATGTGCTCATACAGTTAGTCCGGAGTTGTTACCAAAAGCATAATAATATGTATTTTACTTGTTTACCACTTAAGTATTTAAAACATTCACGTTAACCTTTCGGAAAAAGGTGTACATTTTACTATTCAGAATTTAATTCAATTTATTAAATGTAATTTTATGTTTGTAGCTTAATAATGCGCGCAAACAGTAGGTACATTACATATTTTATAACAGTACTTGTATGCGCAGTACGTTCGTTTACGAGTGTACCCGCTCAACTTTCAATTTGATTGAATAAAAATCGTTGACACTTTCGATTTATTCGAATGATTTGTCTTATGAATTCACGCGCGCAATCGCTATCGTACCCCACGCAACAATCGCTATCGCGAACCACAATCGAAGGACTATCGAAGAAAATTATATAATTATTATTCGATAGCGCAATTGTTTTTAGTAACAATCCACCATCGCTAGCCAAGTGTATGTGTGACCCGCTCAGTGTAAGGTTCACTCATTTATATTATCCCAAACAATAAGTAGGTTTATTTACAAATACCCAGCTAATGGCAAGAAGTTTGACGCCTATTATTGGACTTGTGATTATGGGAATGGGACTGGAATTATACATAGTTGGCAAAACGTGGACGCTTAATAGTGGTCCTGCGTAGTTTGTTCCCTTAGTCGGTTCTTACGACACCCACAGGATGAATAGGCGTAGTGACACTGTATTCCTAGTTCGTTACCACACGTAATTTCACCTAATTATATAAAACTAACAATCCCATCTAAAGTCTATCCTGTTTATTTTCCTTGCCCAAATTCGGCACCCCGGTGACACTTCGTATTCTTAATCCGTCACCACACGGATGAAATAAAATCATTAAATCGAATTTCTTTTTAGTATTTTCTATTTCTATTATTTCTTTTCTATTATAATAATTAATTCTTGTTTACCGAGACAGCAGTCAAAGCTAGTTAGCTTCAGCACCTAGTTAAGTGAACAAGATTTTTAGGTTCATGACAATGGCAATGCTTACATAGATAGTTTAAAATAACTGACAATTTTTTTTTTTTTTTTTTTTTTAAAGACAACTCCCGCACTAGGAATAAATCCTGTGTCGCGGGGGACCTCTACAAACATACATGAAACGAATACAAAGTACACCCAGACTCAGAACAACAATTTGTGGATCACACAAAGTGTTATCCCGTGTGGGGTTTGAACCCACAACACTCGGCGCAATAGAAAGCGGCGTGGCGACCGCTTAAACCACTACGCCATCCGTGCAGTCAAATGTATAATAAAGTAAAAAAAATGTATAATAAAGTAATGGGAAATTATCTTTTGTTGGACGGATCCGGCATGTTTGTAATTGTTATATTAATTACCTGTTATTTATCCTTTTTAATAAAAATATTTTTGGTGTAAATTTACCTGTGAGGCGATATGGTATGGGCTATGGGCATTCTTTTTTTGTTTTCCATACTTCTTCTATAATACATTTAAACTCAAAATATCTTTATTTCATAAAAAATATCTTTGTCGTCGTCTCATGTCGGATACACGATGTTTTGTTTTGCGACAAATACAAAGTTCATTTTTGCACAATTAATTCCTAATAGGTACCTTATAAAATATAGCGGTGATGACAAATTTTCTGCTGCGTTTTCTATATCCGACAGCTCGAATGTTCGTAGGTAATTTTTTTCTGATATACATAAATACATATCGTACAAAAAAACCACACGGCGCAATGAATCTTTAAGTCAGTCGGACACAAATGAGGTGCCCGGATCCGAGCGGGGAGCGAGAAAATCCTGGAATAGAATGGATGCGACTAAAAATAATTTATTTCATAAAAAGTATGAAAATTTACTTTCTGATAATGTGAAACAACTGTTGCAAGAATAACAAATATGTGAAATAGTACTGGATATACTCGTATATATTTAATGTTACTAATGCTATTTTTACGATTGCATTTTATTGATTTATATGGTATATACCTCTGCACAGTAGTCGCATACGCTATCACTGCGCTACCGAGGCACTCATAGAATATTTCATACATACCTACACAATATAATACATATCTAATTGATAACTCCTTTATTTAAAGTTGGGTATAAACGACGGATGACGTATAAACTAGTTAAAATATACTAAACCTTACCATGGTCCTTTTGCGCCAATTTTGCCATGTAGTGTCGCGAAGGTATTTCCAGTCTTTGTTGAAAATACCTAATGCTGTTATTTGTTCGACTATTTCCTTCCATTTTTTTATTTTTGTATCGTGGGTCAATTCGTCATTAAACTTCCCAAAGAGTATATTCCTATTTTCGAAAATAAGGCCCAAAATGGTAATTTTTTTGTGCATTTCCATTTTACACGAAATTTTAAAACAAACAATCGAAGCTACACTAGTGATTGATTCATTCTTTTACTCTGTTAATATGTTTTCTATTTTACCCTCATTTAGCTACAGATAACATATTTATTTGCAAACATGTCAAAAGTCGACATAATTGTCACAACAATCCGACAATTGTCACCAACCATTGTCAGTAATAATTTGACTGTGGTTTTTTGACATATGTCGAGTTTTAGTAAACGATTTTTAAATGACAAATATGTCAAGAATATGCCTGTCGAATTTTGACATATTTGTCACTTTTTTAAACACCCTAATCGCAACAATTCGACAATTTTGTCACATTTTGACATATATGTCAAAATGTCAGCTTCATAAAACAGGGCCCAGGAAATACACCACTATGAACACATTGATTAAATGTAAATGACAATTGCTTAGCCACAAGAGATATAATTGTCTTAGTAATTAATATAATAAATGTTCAATGTTCGTAGTAAGTATTTCTTTCTTTTTCTTTTCTGTTAATAATTTAGTTTTAAATTTTACGTATGCTGTAGATAGGTACATGAACTAGAGTAGCGTTGGTAAAATTAAGCGTGTCAAGTATTCGTATTTGCCACATGCCTTGTATTTTGCCTTTTCATCTTGTGTATGCTAAACTTGGATCACTGTCTAGACTTTATACGTACCTATCTACTAATGTTTCCTGTGTACTTTAGCCTTTATATGTACCTATCTCTAATGTTTTCCATGTAATGGCAGTAATCTGTAAGCGTATCTTTTAGAAATAAATAAATAATACTGCTACGAGAGGGGTATATAATAAATAAAAGTTGTCGGTTAATTACTTTATTGCAGTTTGCACTGTATTAACAAACATTCACTATAATTAACTAGAAATTACTAAATATCTCGTTAGTCGCACTAGAAATTCACTCCGGTGTTAATTCGCTATGTCGCAAAACGATACTGTATCGATTTCGAACGGCCAACGCGCTCCGCTTTTATAGCGCTATAGAATTTACTAGAAATATTCCTAGTATTTGATAGTCCGTTCCAGACAAACAAGAATATTCCAGAATCAGGCACGCGTTACTTGCAGCGCCATCTAGCGCTGTAAGGATCCGAACTATGAACCACAATCTTAATAAATGTACTTTACTCGATACTAGATGGCGCTGTCAAACAATTCTGGCTCAACATTCCATACAATTCTGGAACAACCGAACCATTTAATCCTATGGCGCAACAATACACAATTTTCCCATAGGTCGGTTGTTTCTTTAACTTTCATAGTAAACGCTGGTAAAAGCTTTAATAACTTCAAAAGGAGAAACATATTGGAACTTATATTCATGATCAATCCTAATAACATGATCTTTTAAAATTAATTCTGCAAGGCATTGTGAGGAGTTCACAGATTTAGTAGTTAATACAGAAATGTTAGTAAAAAAGTTCTCAAATGCAGCAGCAACCTCAGCGTCGGACGACCGGTTGGCGTAGTGATTTGTGTAACGCTGCTATTCCAAAGGTCGCGGTTTCGATTCCCGCTCAAGTCAAACATTTGTGTGCATGTACATTTAATATTTAATTTAGTATGTGTGTTTCTATGTATAATATGTATGTATCTACAAAAAAATGTATGTATGTATTTATATCAGTTGTCCAGTACCCATAGTACAATCTCTGCTTAGCTAGTTTAGGGCTAGATGGCTTTGTGTGAATGTGGTAAAATATTATTATTGTTTGATGTGATAAATGTATTGTTTATATTTAAATTAAATTTATTATCACGGTACCTATTGATTTTTACAGTTTCACTCTTAGTAATTTTACAAGAGATTTTAATCTTATCATTACTACTTTTAATCTCTGAACTTGTAAATCGAGACTTAGCCCAAAACAAAGTTTCCTAAACAGCTTCGAATATTCTTTAACATAATTATGAAACAGTTCACTTTTATTATACTTCGTTTCATCGTATAGCTCGTATAATCTTTTCCTACTTTTGAGTAAGCCAGGGGTAGCCCATTCACTAAATGTGGCGTTACCTTTAACCACTAGCGTTTTTGGTGTAAAAATGGTGTTAAATGTTGAAGAGAAAGTTTCAAAAAAGCTAATATAGTAAGTGTTAAGGGTTATTCTCTACACAGAGTACTGAACTATTAAAAGCAGCTTTAAGTTTTCACGCTTTGCAGTTTTAGGTATCACCACTATTCTTTTTTCTGCCACCTTTTCATACCTATAACAGAAAGATACTAATTGACCACAGTGGTCAGTGTAATTGATTATTTTCTTGTCCTTAATTAAAATATCTGTAAATATATTGTCCAAACATGTGGCAGTGGTGGCAGTGCTTCGTGTCGGCTCCAAGAACAAGTTCCTCAGATTGTATGATTGATTTACATAAGGTAAGTATTCCAAATAGGTATGATTTGCTTCCGTGTTCCGTGTGTGTATCTATATCTATACAAATAAATAAAATTGGTGTGTCTGTTTGTAATATTAAAATAACCGCTTTTTACTAAATGCATATGTATGTTTACACGGTACATATGCCAAAATAACATTTTTTACAATTTTTGTCTGTTTGTTCCGGGTAATCTCTGGAACGGCTGGACCGATTTCAACGGGACTTTCACTACTTTTTTTAGACTAGCTTCGCCCCGCCGCGGTTATAACAACAAACGCGGGTAACACCACGGGTCTCAGCTAGTACTTGAATAAAAAGGAATGACAAAAAATTATCTCCACGTATATAGACTAGGTACCTATGTATACATTATGGTGAAATATTTATGTGTGACACCAATACCTAAACGTGTGTAACGTGATGCGCGCAGTGCGCAGGCGCTTAGTCTGGGGTTATGTATGGCATCACCATGCTTAGGGGTCGGCCATTAACTACGGGATGTTTTTTAGAAACTTTTTAACGCCTTCCCGCCCCCTGGTGATATGTGGTGAGGTTTTTAAACTACCCCCTACCCCCCAATCCAAAGTCTTGTGTATTTTTTGTAACAAAGTATATTGAAATTTTCAGCATGGTATCTTTAAACTCAGGTATAATCTGATTAAATTTTGGAAAATTAAGCATCGTGATAAAAATAACCAGACAGACATTAAGGTTGCAGGTTGTTTTTAACTTGCATAAAAATAACATGTGGGCTATTATTTTATTTTGGGGCCCAGAATGAATAAATATGACAACAAAATATAATTTGAAGTATGTTATTTTTTGTTACTTTTTTATACTGATATAACATAATTATTGTTTTAAGTATATATTACAGCAATTTGCAGCGATGTTTATTTACTATTTCTTTATTTATTTTATTATTATACTAGGAGGGGTACAGAAAAACAACAACTGTGTTACTTTCATGAAAAATCAAGTTTTATTGTTAGGAACATTTACCTCAATTTGGAAACCTATCACATATGAACTTAAGATAGGATAACGATAATCTTATATATTAAATCACAAATTATCTCAGTCAGATATCTCTTTATATGGTTAAGTTTACCACTTTGTTACCTAATTTTGATTTAAGCAATTGTAATTTAAAAAAATATTACAAAATAATAGCAATTTGAACTCACTATTTAAAGAGACAATTCAAATGTTTTAAATAAACAATAAACTCTTAAAATTAAGATATCTGAAAAAGTAGTTTTAGTTTTATACCTTCAAACGTTTCCAGAAAAAGAGGGACAAAAAAGCAACGCAGTGGTTCGATACGTAACATAGTGGTAAACTTTTCGCGTCCCACGTGTTTTCTTCACCTTAAACTAATAGAAACTTAATGCAAACAAAAATAAAGCATTTCAAAATAAACAAAACTTATCTTTAAACAAAAAAAAAACCAAACTTCTCAAATTAACAATTTATAAACATAAAAAAAACCTTTGTCTTTTCAGTCTCATTTCTCAAATATATTTAACGGTACATCAAATTCGTAATATACGCGTCTACCTTTCTTAATTATTTTAGGATTGGGTACTATTTCTGAAATGTTTTCATATGGTTCGTATGAAACATCTTTTTCTACTAGTTTGAACCTTTTCCCCGAATCGTCAACTGATTTTAAAAACATAATCTTGATCTCTCCTTCGTCGTCAACATCACTTTGGGCAACACCTAGATAAAAGTATGTTTTGTCCTTGTCAGTGGAAACTTTGACTGTAACGTAAACACCCATGGATACTTTAGATGGATGTAAATTTTCCTTTTCAATTAATTTTCGTTCATCTATGTTAGAAACTGAAGCTTCTTGTTCTTTTTCAAGTTGAATCTTTGAAAGAGGCTTATCATCTGAGCTCGAAGTTGGAGAATAAACCATTTCGTAATAAGACCTCTTGGGATTGGTCACAAGATTAGTTATATCAGTTAATACTTCTTTAAAGACAGGAATTGGCTGATAGGTTTTAGGTGATAAGCAGCCGCAAAAACCCCTTTCACAAAAGCAACTAAGATCGCGGTAGTGCAATTCTCCTGCATTTTCTGTGAAAACTTGATGTACCTGCATTGTACCCCGGAGAGCGATAATGTCCTTGGGAACAGTCTGCTCTACTTTTTCAATATCGGTATTAGTTATGAAATGTAGCTGAACTTTGCCGGAGTCCTTTAAAGCTTGAAAAAATGTCTCTGCGTCAGGAATGTCTAAGCCAAAAGCAACTTTTTGGTCAGCTGTTCGTTTAAGATAGCCACCAACACCATCAGCCGCACCCTTCCCGTGACCTGCTTCGAAAAAGTTCCAGGTGATGCGATCAAAGTTATACTCTTTGAATGTTCTTGAGCAGATGAAATGAAAGTTTATCTTCTGCCTATATTGTGTCGCAGGACCGTCGGAGAAGACATGGATTGTTTTTATGTGTGGATGATTAGCTTTTAATGTACTTAGAACTGGGTGAAGATGAGCCCAAATTGATGCAGGATTGTGAGAATTATTTGGTGACACGCTGCAAAAAGAACTAACCTGTGCCTTGTCCGCTCCTTGTGGTTTTATGTACAAAACGCCGGTATGCAACGTAATTTGCTTCCGTGATCCCCCGAAATGATGAGGCTGGATTTCCTCATAGTATTTTCCATTGTAATTCTCGCTGAAATCAATATGTAGGAGAGCTTCATCATTTTTCAGTTCATCAATAGCAATTCGGTAACTTCTGTATTGCATTTTAATATTAAATATATGTTTTTTCAACGCTATAATTGCCACTCTAAACTTTTCTATCAATTCTTCGACAGTGCCTTCGGTAATTTCTTTTACGTTTTTCGTAACTTTCAATCTGCCTTTGCCGGATTTGTCATTGATAATCTCGGATCGCCGAACCCATTCTTGCCATTTTAACATTCGTGACTTATTTTGCGTGTTGTATATTATTTCCTTAGTATTGCAGGAGGCGCAATCACCCTGCATGCAAAGTCGGTTATCAGTTGCACACACAGTCTTCTCAATAACCTGGGACATGTTTGACTCTGATATGATTTTGTTGCTGTAAAGAGCATTTAGCATGTATTGGGTATTAGTATGCATCTTACACTGACAGGTATCTCTGCCATCAACGACTGGTGGTTTTACGTAGAACGGTCTTTGCTTGGTGAAGTAAGAGTATGAGCAACTCTCGTTAGGATTCTCTTTCTTGAATGTAATGAAAAGATTTTTCATCGTATCGAGAAGGTACCTTTTCTGCATTTTAGTCTTTTTGTAGGTCACGGTTTCTCGTTTCCCAGCCGTCATTCTAGAAACGTCATCACGATCATAAAACAATTTAATCTTTTGTGCCAGGACAGCGTGTTTGGGCGCCGTTAGTCTTTTTTTTAGCTTGCTAATACCGAGACATTCCTGCAACATAGCGCCTTTCATTTTTGATTTTGTTATGATACTCCCTTCAAAAATGCGACGTATTGTAAATCGATCTCTTACAGTCTTTATTCTGGAGTAATGGTCTCTGATGGCATTAGATAAAGTGGCGTACTTTTTGTCTCCGTCTCCGCTCTCCGACTTTTATGCTTTGTTCTTTTGTCTTTGGCATCTTTTTTTGTACTTATTATATTTCTTTTTCAGTTTATCATTTTCTTCCTTCAATTTTATATTTTGCCTAAATAATGTCGATCTGTCTCTTCTTACTTGTCGTCTTCCTCTAGAGCGTGGAGAAACGGGAGTTCCTGATCGTGGCGTTGAAGCTGGTGTATTATTCAAAATGACCTGTGCAATTTTTTGGCGCTCTTTACGTTTCTTGTTTGCATTCTTCCATTTACGCTTTATAGATCTATGTTCTCTCTCTGTCATGTCTTTTACAAGTTTTTTATTTGCGTGATATCTTGCAAGATTTTTTTGTTTAGCTTCAGCATTTTTGACCGGGTCCTGTTTTATTTTTTGCCTATAACGTCGTTGTTTTTCAGCCGGTGTTAAAGCCATTATGTTGGGAATAGTATACTGTAACAAATCAATCTAAAATTAAATCGTTTTTATAAAGTAAAATAAGTAAAAACCTTAAGGTTTAACCACTGCGTTACTATAGCCACACCTGCGTTACTTCTCGTAGTAACACAGTGTGTTGGTAACACAGTTGTAAAAATTATACATATTCTAACGTTTCAGCCATATGGTAATAAATTAAAAATATTTTTTAATGCCATTCAAAAATGTACACATTTTCATACAGATGCATTTAATAAAATTATCAAATATCTAAAAAACTCACCGTTTATCACCCGTAACTCAGCGGTTTCACAATAAACACACGCACCTCTCCTGCCGACTCTCGCGCGACTGGCTCGACCAATTCCAAGGCTACGCACTCCCCCCGCATCCCGCTAGCAATTGTTGACGAAACAAACGAATTTTGACGTTGAGGCATACAAAAAGCTGAGTTTAAGACTTATTTTCGTATGATAACACAGTGTTCGTGATTTTTCACTTAGCCACAGGGACAAGACAAGGAATGTTTCGTAAATTAGAAAATTCCAAAGGGAAATGATACTTATCAGTGTTGTAGTAAAGTTCAAACAACTGCTAATTACTATAGATATTCAAATTTAATAGCTATTTAAATATTAAAATTTAATTTTAGTGTATTTGAAGTGAGTTGCTTATAGGGACAGCGCAATTTTGTAGGGAATACACCTGCGTTTCTCAGAAATACAACTGAGTTACCGTGATTTAAGAAAAAATATAACTTATTCTGTTCTTTTATTGTAATTCTCTTAGACGGGGATATTATCGCTAACGTACCAAGAGTGTTTTTATTTTAGGAATCGTTGTTTTATTTAATAATAATCATTTTTGTTTGAGAGAGACCTGTTATTGGAACCAAAATAAAATAATAGCCCATATATGTATACATAGAAATGAAATGAATGAAAAATGAAATCGTGCGTTCATAGAAAAATAAATACACGTGATATCTCATTACATCCCCTCTCCCCTCCTTTTGATATTTCGTGTTTTTTTTTCGTATCCCCCCCCCCCCCCTTTGAGCCTCACGTGGTTATTGAACTATCCCTTACATGGCTCATGTGTGACCTCGAGCCACGGGCTCACAAATACCATGGCAAAGCAAAACATGAAACCAACTTAAAATAAACATTATTTAATATAGATAGCTTTTGTTTGGTATTTTGTCAGCGCATGTGTGATGTCCTCCTTTCTACGGAGAGGCCTATGTCCAGCAGTGGACTGTTACAGGCTGTTGATGATGATGATGTGTTATGTAGCGCATGTTCCTGTAAAAGCCCGATCTCAACTCTAGAAATGCATATTTGATATTTTATGCTATTTTATTACGTGAGATTTTCGGGATGACTTAATAAAAAACTAAACCCTTACAGGAACACTTGTTTTTTTAACTTATTAAATGAAGTGAATTGCTCAACCCTGGTATTCTGTGAGGCCGTGGTACGCCGATCGAGCCAAGAGTAGCTTTCTTAAATATTTGTTGTATTATTTTGTCCATTAAAGTTCTTTAAGAAAATCACTAAGACTTTGCAAAAAAATACAAATAGTTAATTCCAAGGCTCCGGAACATACTTACTACACATAAGTGCATAACGTATGCAGTTTGATAGTACCTAAGTGTAGGAAATTATGCCGTTCAACTACTGTATTCGAAAAGATTTTATTTTATTCAGGTTCACAAATTGGGTGGGACAACATGCAAATAAGAAACTTACATAAAAATACAAACATTTTATGTACCCTAGGAACGTGATTATTGTGAAGTGAACTAGTGAACACATCATGCTTAAAAGACGGAATACAATTTAAATGAAAAAAAAAATACACAAAAAATGATTAATATAACAATATACCTACTAACATGAAAAAAAGTTTCAAATAAAGAAATACAGTGCCAGGGTTGCTAGAACAAAGAAATAAAAAAGCTTGTGAAGTTTGTTCTGTGCGCGTTGCCCCAGCGCAAAAAGTTCGAATTTCATTATTTGAGTTTAACAGATATTTTGTGTATGACGTCGCGTAATTGTGTATGGTAAGTAAACATTTGTGCATCCAACCATTGGGGAGTTATTATTAATTACATTGAACACATTCGGATTTTACAAAAAATATTAAGTCCAAGCATCAAGCACCCGGCCCTATGCCCGACGAGTGTCAATTTTGTCGTCCCTCAGGATATAATAATATGTTCTATACAGGTACTACTAAGATTTCGGCGAATTTAAGGGCCGATCAAAGCGTCGATCGATCGATCAAACACTTGCAGGCCGCAGTAGAAGCCACCACGGGGGGAAGGGGGGGGGGGACCGTAGGCGGCGCAGCTGCAGCACGCCTCGGGCAAGCGGTCAGGCGTGCGTGCACAATCACAGCAGAGTCAGAAAAGAGAGAGAGAGTGTGTGTGAACAGACTTCAGAACAGATACTTCTAAACAATATTTCAATTTCAAGGTACATTCCTTACTTAGGTGGTTACTTTTCCACACACACACAAACACTCTTTAATAAATTTATTTTCCTGAATGCATGAGATCTATTGCTTTGTTACTTTCTATGTGAAAATTTCTTGTCACACCCTAAGACATCTCACACGCGGCTGTCTGATCCCAAACTAGGCAGAGCCTGTGCTATGGTAACCAGACTACTGATAAACATACTTTTATATTTCTCAATACATACATATTATAGATAAATTACACCCAGACACAGAACAATCGATCGCGCTCATCACACAATTACTTGTCCTGGGTGGGAATCGAACCCACGACCTCTGGCTTAGCAGTCAGGTTCACTAACCACTCGACCAACAGGGCCGTCATTTCGGATCGGATTCGGATCTATCCAAAGCTGTAAAAATTGCTTTAGTGTATCTGTTTTATTACTTATTTATTGGTAGTAGTAGACAGTTGTGTGTCTCACAACTGCCAAGTTATTCATTATAGCAATTACTCTTGGAGATAATATAGTAATCAATAAAACTGTTTTCTTTTCGTCTGGAACATCATTTAATGTGATTAGGCAATCAAGTTGTTCTCTAAATAACTCCCAGTTTTCACCATTAAAATTATCAATACGAGTATTATGGATGTTATTATTCGCCATAACTGATTTGTTTGTATTTCGAGAAATTTTATAAAAATTTTAAGAAAAAGAGAAATTTTATAAAAAGTGACACAGAAAGTAACGGTTCATCCGTTACTTTCTGTGTCACTTTTTATAAAATTTCTTAGTAACACAATTTCTAAATTCAGTTCCTTACATAAAGTTTATAATTCCTTTTTTCTTTTCTTAAATGAAGTTTATATATTTGTCCGTCAAAGACTGTATTGGTTTTCCTTTGGTAAACAAAGATCATATAACAGTATACACGGTGATTTTGAAACCGTTTTGGAAACGAAATATTTGAATTTGGAATCATCTATAGTACCAATAAAAATGATTAAATCAATTGTAATGTTGTCTAAAAAAAAGTTTCAGTTTTAATATTCATTTTTACTCGATCGACTTGGAAAGTAGTAATGGACTGATCGTTCATTCATTATCTTATATGAATGAAACACGTCCGTGGGCGTTTCGGCGGCCGCTGCGCACCGCCGACGCTAACAGCAGCTGACAAAACTATACCTATAGGCGCGAGCTAGCGAGTACTTACGTAGATAGACTCCAATTTGTCCTTCATACTTTACACGGGCTTAGGACCGTCAGAAATACCTATTTTATTTAAACTTCTTTTCGATTATTAACCACGATTGTTCTTTTCACAACAAATCAATTTATCAACGGACTGTAGGTATAAATATTTCAGGCGTATTTAAAAAATCGGAGCATTCTACAGAATAATTAACTTACATACCTATTTACACTATTTACAGTTCTCTGTATCGAAGGAACTGCTCAAAATGGAGTCCGCTGCATTCAATACACAAACGTCCACGTTTAATGCAATTGTTTTTTAATTTTCTTAATGTGTCTCTATCACTTTTCACTTTAAAGCGTCCACTATCGCAATGCGTAAATTATCACGGCTTTCATATTCCCGTGTATTAACAAGTCTTTTTATTTCCGACCATAAGAAAAAATCCAGGGGCGTTAAGTCCGATCACTAAGCTCATTGTCCAGGTATGCACGCACTACACTCCGGCGAATAATAATTAAAACGTCCTTGACCTTGCGCATGAGTAGGCGCACGAAATTGTCCGTGGTCGAGAAGACGTTGGGTTGCAGCCAAGATAGTAGGTGTGGAGGGAATTTGAGGGCTTTCAATTCCACGTAGCCGTAGTGCATTTAAATGCTCCGGCTTGGGAATACAAACGCCGAGCCTCTTCCAAGTTGTAGTTGGCAGTAGCGTACAGCTGTACCATTGCCAAGAAGTATTCCACGTTTGAAAATTCGTACTGTCGACTCATTTTAGCGCTAATCAATGCAGCGTGCCATCACGATGTTATGGTATTACTGACCGACTGACGATGACAGGTGAGCCCCGCGCATGCGCCTACGGGGCAGACGTCATTGGTTGGACGACTCCGGCGCAACTCGGTAGCTTTGTTTTTATTGGCGAATACGATTTGATCTGACACGCATAGTATTTCTATTCGTAGTATTTACCTACGTGTGATTGAATAGCCTACTACTACTGGTTCTGACTTTTTCTCTGTAAACGATATGAATATCGACTTTGATGATAAAAAAAAAACATATTTTATTAAATTAACGTTATATATAGCTTCTATTACTGATAAATAACTCAAAATTTTCTTTTCCAAAACGCTTTCAAAATCACCGTGTATAATATTTTTTCGGACATCTGACAAACAACGCCATCTAGTTTCAAACTAAGCAGAGCTTGTACTATGAAAGCTAGATAGTGATAGAACACTTATATACTCTGTTTTGTAAATACATACATAATATGCGTAGAAAACACCCAAACACCACACACTTCGATCAACAATAGCAACTAGATAAAGGGTCACGTACAAAGTCAAAGCTAAATGCTGTCCGCGTGAATATATACTTACGCAGCTACATTTGTTTACCAACAAACGGATGGAAAAGTTTTAAAATAGTTTTAAGTTCAACCAAATTACAACTATGGTACACAGTAATAAAGTCACAAATCTTCAAAATATTATCCAATACTTACGATCATTCCTTGCAAAAAAACGAGCAAAGCAATAAATTACTCCTATCACTTTCAAATGAAAAGACATAACTAAAATAACATTTAGTGTAAAATCAACCTTATGGTGCAACAAATAAAGTACTTTTTCTCGTTATTGCCTTGAGAGCTACATCGTTTTGTTTTGTTTTATTTTTGCTTCTTCTAGTTTTACTACAGGAGGTATGGAGTCGCGTTGAACACTAAAATAATTTATAATATGAACGTAAAATATTAGTTGCTTACTTTTTATGTTTCGGACATCTATGTAGGTTTGTTAGTATCTTTACATTACTTATTATTTTATTAACGTTACGTTTTTGTGTAATATGTATGTGTATTTACTTTATCACATATAATGTGGTATTTGCAAAACCTATTTAGACGGATACAGTATTAATCGTTATAAAATAAATACGTTAGTTATCTTAAGCAATTCATACACATTATAATAGCCCCTTACACCATACAATTTAAATGAATATGTTAGGGGATATCTTAAATTAAAAACTACGTGCGAGTGAATAAATTCGCGAATAAAACTCATCCAAACCAACAAGCTAATGCAAAAAAATGTAGGCATTTAATGCTTTAAGCGACCTGCCCTGACACCAAAAGCAGGACCCGCACAGATATACTAAATAAAATATCTCTAAATTCCACATCAAATTAACCAACCAATTTTAAAGTTCTGTTAAGAATTTTTATTTGTAACATTAATTGATAATGATAATAAGTAGCCTTTAATTTAGGACAAGAACGACAATATTTTTTGTGAACTACCCTTATTCAAAGGGTGTTTGAATCCAAAGTCCTTAAGATTTCTAGTATTTAGGATATCAAAAAGATCATTTAGTATCTTAATAAATTCTACTGTGCATTCTGATTCTCTAAATGCGGGAATATTTAAGGTTTTATTACAAAAGTCTATAGCTTAAAAGTCTATAAGTCACTAGCAAATCTACAAACAAAAATAACATTACAAAATAACCACACTACTCCATGCATTCCCTGTTCAAGAACAGTCGATGTTTGATACAATAATTGATGCGTTGTAGCAAACATTGGCCCAACAATTATAACATTCGCTAATTGAATTATATTTACAGTTTAATTCTGTTTATACTTATTATATTATGAAAAAATACTTATTGATATTAACTTACCGAAAAAAAGATATTCCTTCCAAAACCTTGGTGTTACGGTGGGTATTTACACAGTTTTTTAAACGCGCACTGCGGCATTTTGACGTCCTATTGTTGGCTATGATTGGACCATACCACAGAGTACATTGTAATGACCATACTAATTTGAAATAAGACCACAAACACTTTTGTGCTCTTATTTTTCGGGCCGTTTTTGAAGCGCTTATCGGGAATCTAGTACTATTATTGATCGAAGACCACACACAAATATTTGCAGATCATACAAACATTTGGTCCGACCCGGGAATCGAGCCCGGGACCCAGTCGCGCCACCGAGGTAGTCAAAGATGAAGTTAGCGTACAGATGGTGCCAGATAACATGACAAAAGAGGTCATTCACCACCCCTACAATGATATTCATAATTTACAATAGCGATAGTTTCAATCTTCCCGTAGCGACGGAAACTAGTATCGTTAGTGTATCGTGGTGAAAGGTCGTCTGACAGGGAAACTCGTTTAACCAACCAGCGACGAGTACGTCAATTTCAAAAACTTTTATTTACAGTATTTTTTAATATTCGATATTTTAGATGTGATTTTAATAAACATACTTTTATATTGACAACATTTCACAACATAACAATATTTAGAAAAAAGAGTCATTGTAAGGTATGTTTAAAATATTGTCATTTTAATTTTTCTAGTTCAAATAATATACAATCCGTATAAATAAGACAAATATTTAACATTAATGGCTCGTAAATTTAGTATTAGCATATTTAGTTTGATAGTCCTTAAATCTGTATATTTCTGACTTTCTATCTGATCCCTTTGTTCCTGTGTATTGTGCAATTCAAACGTCATTAGTTAGCGACCAGTTAGCGATGGTTTTATACGAAAACGATTTGTCACGTGACGCTACCAGAAATATCGGGGTGCCCCACCAACCACCACCACCAACAGCCTATAACAGTCCACTGCTGGACATAGAAAGGAGGTTTTGGCCTACTATACCACGCTGGCCAGACGGGTTGGTATAGGATTTGTTTCAAGTTTTCCTTCTTTTAGCAGTGCTGTTGTCCTGCGTAGTTTGCGCCCTTAGTCGGCCCCTACGACACCCGCGGGATGAATAGGGGTGGTGATATTCCGTATTCTTAATCCGTCACCACACGGGGTGCAAGTATTGTTAATTACTTGTATCGCCATCCGTACCTTCTCTGTATATGAAGTGTCCGTCAAAATGCGTTAAATTGGGGTCGCTACAGTAGCATAAGAATATTTTTTTAAGAAAACGCCGAAAGTTGTTAGTGTAGAGAAATAAACATTGAAAGAAAAACATTATGAAAAAATTATATTGACTTAAATAATAATTAGACTGTGTACTGGACTGCGAACATAGTCAATGAGTTTCACAGACAATAAATAAACGTGCAATAACTGTCAGACAATAAACTAATTATAATATTTGATGTCAGCACACTTCACTCCGTCTACAACATATAAGTGGTGATGGATGACACAAGCCATAGAAATCGGCAGTCTGTGGTGCTTTACTCGTCAGAACATTCACTGATATCTTCTCTCTCTTGAACAGTTATGTTCCCTTTTTTTCTTATTCTGAAAAGAAACAAAAAAATAATTAAATGACCAGCGACCATTGTAACCTATCGGACACCTTTTTTTTTTTCCGTGCGGAAATCCCCTCGGATACCACCTGTCGGTGGCATGTCGGACTGGAACCGACTAAAACCGCACGCCGTCTCGGGTACTAATAGCCGGGGAACCAGGTATCCCCTAGAAAGGAAGTCCCCGGTGCACCTATCGGACACCTGGAATATATCTATCATGGTCTATCAGGGAAAATATATAACTGAGATAGCTTAGGCAATGTGAAGTCCTAAATTGTAGTTTTAGTAGGTACCTACATAAAATAAAAATAAAATGTAAAATTCTATTTAAAATTGTATTCTATTCCAATCAGTTTTTTTAATCTGTTTTTAACACAATATAAAAGGAACATCAAAGAGCTATAGAAAGAGTCAGTATTAGGAATGGAATAAAATCACAATCCCAGGTGATAAATCATATGATTTGATCATATGATTTACATATCATATTAATACCGCTTTGTCGTAAAAACGTGTTTTTGTGCGCTTACATTGCAAACGGCTAAACCTTACGAGATAGAACAAAATAATGTATTACGAAATTGTATATCTTAAAAAGTCCACGATGGCATATGTCTATCTGCTAAGGATAAACCACAGTAACCATTTTATCTTTTAATATTACAAAAAAAGAATGGGTTATTCAAGAAGCTATTTTAAACAATACATTATTATTCCTTATCGAATTGAATACGTTAGATGTGTTGTACATTAAATGTAGATTAAAATTGCTCTGTACAGCATATCATTAAAATAAATATTTTAGAAGATATTGGAGGTTTAACATGCGGGGGCCCAACGACCGTCGAGCCGTACACCCGTCCCGGGGGGCAGCGGCCGACATGGTCGGAACGGGCCTATAAATATTACATATAAAGATGTCCCGTGGTACAGTCCTATCATAATAATAGTACAATTAATTACAACACAATTTTAATTACAATTAATTAGATACTACATTAGTAGCATCGGTAGTATCTACATTGGACCCGTGCGAAGGTGGGGGCGGATCGCTAGTGATTTATAAATCATATAATCACACCTGTCACTAATTTACAAAACCACTGTGACTTATTATTATTACGCTAGCGCTAGACTCGCTAAAGCTCTATTTAAAAAAAGGAATCTTTGATAAAAACAATTTTGATTGGTTTTAATGGCATTTATCTTTGTCTATAAAAAAATTACAGTCACAGGTGAAATTGCAGTGACTAAACCGAAACATTTCATCATATGATTATGATTTAAAAGTAGCAATAACTTCCGCGTCACAATGAGCTGACGACATGACCACGTCTGCGGTGCCAATCCAAAACACTGTAAGTGGACTTTTGTTATTGTAAAGTGTATTTTAAAAGAGACACTAATCTAAAACATACTGTATTGTATTGAAATTAGGGCCTTAACATGGTACAAAACTGTAACAAAGCTTTCATAATCAAAAGTAGTTTTCAAAAGTTACAGTGCATTGGATTGGCACAGCTCCACACAGCAACATGGTGTCCACTGCAACCAGCGTTTTGGTTTTTGGCATTTTATGCCATTAATCGATTGAATAAAAACGTTTTAGTTTTAGTGATCTATTAGCAATATAGAATGTAACGTCGACACTTTTGAAAAATGTGTGTTGTATAGTGACATCAGATAGCTGCTGGAGCTGTGGAAGTTTTGTACGTCGTAGGTGATGTTTAGCGATTTAATAGTACTGTGCGACGTGTGTTTAGTCCAGCGATCGATATTGCACACACGTTGTAAAACCTGTATTATTCTATATATATATTGTAAAGTGTAGAGTCATCAAATCATGTACGAGCTCGTACACGTGTAATACCCGATTGGGAAACATTTCTAATACATTAAAAAGGAAAGTGTTATTGGTAACAGTTAGAGAACACAAGGGCAGCTCGAACTGGCAACAGAAATATATATAAAATAGATCGTCATCGTGTAGGGAACGTTCCTTACCTCTTCGGATAGGGTTGTTTTAAATGAAATGTGCGATGATGCAGCTGCATACTGGTTTTCTGTGTAAAGCGTTTATCGCACAGCGGACACTTGAACGGTTTCTCACCAGTGTGCGTCTGGAAATAAACTAGAGATGTAGACGCAGGGTGGGTGTTAGGATTAAGATGGCCAATAGCCAAAGATAAAATGTATAATGTAAAGAGATAAACCTTTGAGTCACACACTTTGAGTTGACACAGGCAATTACCTACCCCAAGTATAAGACCATATCAGCTAAAACTGTGTAAAAGGCCTCAGAGAAGGTTAGATCATACACATAAGCGCACACACGCACACATACTCTCTCTCTATTCCTCTCCCCCCCCTCTCTCTCTCTCTCTCTTGCCCCCCCCCCCCTCTCTCTCTCTCTCTCACCCACCCCTCTCATTTTTTATTAAGAACATTGTAATAGTTATTAGTAATGGTGTGATAAAAGCACTTTACCAACTGATGTCTGGTGAAGCTGTACAGGTAGAAGAACTGCGCGCCGCACGTTTGACAAGAGTACACCTTCTCCTTGGTGTGAACGTTCATGTGTATCCCAATGGCGCCGCTCTACAAGATACGACTCAGTGATCAGTATAAATGTGTTCAATATATACCTGGGGGATACATCTGGACGTGGAAGAGCTATGCTGCTGCAACAAGTTTATATTTCGCCATAAGAGCGGAGTTTGAAGAGAGAATTCATTGAAAGTTTAAACTAAATTATAAAAAAAATATTAACATACCACAAGGGTTTAAAATGAATACTAAGCGTTAGTCTACATCGATTACAACAAATACAAAAAATAATAACATTTAAAAAAACTGAATACAGTATAAAACAATAATGCACAGATAAATAAAAAGCGAAACAGATAAACTAACAAAAACAGATATTGTGAATTTTGATTTAAAAGTAATGGTCTTACTTTAGATTGAAAGTTTGTTGTCGTTAGAATAGGAGGAGTAGGTCGGTTATTAATAAATCTGGGAACTAAACAGTCGGTTGTTCTTTCACAGCATATATTATATGTCGCCGCGACCACCTCACAGAACCTTCCGAGAAGCGGCCCTTCTACATACAACGTGGGTTCCTTTTTTGCAATATGCTATTAAAGAAGTTTTTGTTCAACAAATTGTATTTTAATTATGTTTGAACCGGACACACAGTGGCTTTTGATATGAAGACCATTATTTCTTTAATCCGGACTTTTTCATTGCTAACCAGGCAAATTGTAGCCCTAAATAATTACTTCAATCTTGACCACTCAAAATGCATGATGATTATGATTTTGACGGGCCTCTGTTGGTTTTGTGGTTAGAGACCACTACACCTGGGTTCGATTTGGGTAAATATTGTGTGATGAACACGGTCATTTGTTCTGTGTCGGGGTGTAATTTATCTATAAGATGTACGTATTTAAAATATATAAGTATGTTTATCAGCAGTCTGGTTACTACACTACTGGCTTTGCCTAGGGTGAGACGGCCTTGTGTGAGATTTTAGTTAGAGTTATTATTATTAATAATAGACATAGATAGATCTTAGAAGGAATAGAGAAGACAGAACGAAGTAGTAATTTACCTTGACAGCAATCCCGCAGACCTCACAGATCTGTGTGAAGTCACAAGGCAGTGGGACACCCTTGTGCTCTGTGCGGTGATGCCTCACGTACTGCGAATAGCTTCGACACACTTTCTCACACTGACAATGTATGAAAAATAACTATTTAAAAATGTGGTATTTTAATAAACATATTAACATATGTATTATATCCATAAAGTATATTAAAGGGGATCCATAAACAACGTCACGCGTTGGGGAGGTGGAAGGGATCAAGAAGGTCTGGATTAAGGCGCCCCTTGTTACATAACGACACTTTCTTGATCCTTGATGAACCGCTTTTTGACATCACATGACCAAATATAAAAAATACTACAACTGTGAACTATTAAAACTTAAATCGTTTTTATTAAATAGTTCTCGCTCGCAACTAGCGGCTCACTATACAACATAATATTTATTAATTAGTTTTCAATTTTAGAATATTTAATTTAATTTATAAAAATGTTTAGTTAGTAAGTTATCTTAGTTTAGATAGTTGGTTATATATGACGTCATACTAGGGGAACAGTCTCACAAATGTGGCCGCCTAAGACAATGTGAGACGGAGTAAAATGATCTTAAAATTGACCAAGTTATGGATAACCCTAATGTGAGTTTTTTTTCTATCTTTTTCTTGTTTTTAAAAAGAGAACTCCCGCACCAGAAGTATGGCGGGGGAGTTTGCAAACATTCAAGATATGATGTACGTACACAAAGAACACCCAGACTAAGAACAACAATTTGTGGATCACACAAAGTGTCGTCCCATGTGGGGCTCGAACCCACAACAGGTAGCGCAGTAAACCACGAGCACATCTGAGCAGTCGATCAGTAGTGACTTACCAGCGGACAGGTCGTGGGCCGAGCCGGGTGTACTCGAGCGAAAGTCTTTCTAGCTCCCCCCTTCAACGGCGCAGGCGCATCGCTGGACCTTCAAACAATAGGCTTGTTTTTAAAAATAAGTGATAAGATATATTTAAGTAACAATAACAGCCCGACTCAAATATTATTTAGATTTTCAATACCGTAGAGACCGTTTCCTAACTTCTTAAGACTAGTTAGGCCGCCCAACTTCGTCTGCGTCTGCCGAAAGGAATTATTTTCCCCATTTTTGCTACATCTTTCATTGATGCCTTCCTAGATAAATGTGCTATCCAAAACTAAAAGAAATATTCAATTCGAACCAGTAGTTCTTGAGATTAGCGCGTTCAACTAAACAAAAGCGTGTGTGTGTTATTGTGCGTGTGCACGTCTATAGCCCGACAATCTCGTGCGCGACCGTCCCGCGGGGTGACAGACAGTGGCGGGGGCGAGGTAGCGCGTCATTCTAGCACACGGCTACACACGGTTCCCTTCCCCGCTACACCACCCGCTACCCGCTGACGTCTTGAGTACCTCGTCCCCGCCACCGTCTGTCGCCCCGCAGGACGGTCGCGCACGACGTTGATGGACTATAAAACCAAAAAGATTATCATCACCAATTCAGCCTATCGCCGTCCGTGGTCCAAGTGCAGTCAGCAGGGGCCCAAGGCCGGGATAGGTGGCAGTACTTGGGGGACCAAGGGACTTGGGCAGTCTGCATCCATCCGCTACTAGTTAGTTTCCTCAAGCCCTCAGTCCAACGTTGCCCAGGACGCCCTACTGCCGGATCATGGTCTACTATAATAAGACTCCCTTACCCGACTAGATCCTGGCCTTCATTAAATTGGAAATCATTGGCGTGTTTAACTGATTGCTGGAAATGTTCAGAGAACGCCTTCTGCGTCTCAAATTTGATGTCGCAACGTTCACAGTAGGTGGCCTGGTCTTCATTCTTATTGCGATTCTGAGGATTAAACATTTTATTGCTGTTTTAAATCAAATAATTCAGTTTACAATTAAATTAATTACATAAAAAACATTATTATAACTACACAGATACACACATAATATGTAGATCTAATTATAAAATACTAGCAGTACGCTGCCAAGCTTCGTTGTGGTCCATAGTGGTTGTAAAACATAGATAAAAACCAACTTTGAAGCGAGTTGTACTTTGTGTCAAAATTTGAGCTCAATCGTGCAGAAATTTTTAAGTTTTAGAAGCATACATCATCAACAGCCTTTCACAGTCCACTGCTGGACATAGGCCTCACTTAGAAAGGTTTTGGCCTGCTTAACCACGCTGGCCAGACGGGTTGCTATAGAGTTTGTGTCAAGTTTTCTTTCTTTTTGCATTGCTGTTGTTCTGCGTAGTTTGCTGCCTTAGTTGGCTTTACGATAGGTACCTATGGAATGAATAGCGGTGATGACACTCTGTATAATTAATCCGTCACCACACAGAAATTAACTAAATGTTATTGTAAACTGTTATTTACATTATTATAACTACACAGACACACACAAACAGACATCACTAATCTGAACAGTATATGTCTGACCGGCTTGATATTTATTTGGAGCTTAAACTTACAATTTCGGCATTCAAATGCCTCAGTATCTTGTGTAGCTGCAACCCCTTGGTGCTGACGAATGACTCCCCGCACAGGGGACAGACATGCTCACTGCGGTGATATATACGCAGGTGGGAGTAGTATGAAGATTTGTGTCTGGAAACAATAAATAATATTAAATTGTTTATGAATATTATCAATAATTATTTCTTTTTTGTTATATTAATTAACTACTTATAATTAATTAGTGGGGAGAGCCATCCTTCGACGCGTATGGGACAGATACTACGGTCTCACACAAAACCGGTGTTAAATAGTTATTTTGTTGCTTTTCACCGAGTAAATGAGGTCACCGGAACCGAAACCCCCCTCCCATCGAGTCTGGGGGAGAACTCAAAGGCAACGCACTGTGTTCATTGGCGGTGGTGGTCACTCACCATCAGGACGCCGCCTGCTCATTGCAACACTGCCATAAACCAATCTTAGTAATTCAGTTGTTGTAAAAATTAAAGTTCATTAAACATACCTGAATTCCATCCCGCAATGTTTGCACGCCACCATCACTCCACTATGAAAATCATTGTGATTACTTGCAGAATGCCTGTAGAAATAAGTGCCATTACTAATAAGGGTTCCGTACCTCACAAGGAAAAACGGAACTCTTTATAGGATCACTTTCTTGTCCGTCTGTCTGTCAAGACCCTTTGTCTACAGTCCGTTGAAGCAGTTAAAAAATCACACTTCTAAGTTAACTTAAAGAAAGATACGGCCGTCTATGCGGAAAAAAAACACATATTTCGATACTTTCAACGGAATCAAAATTTATAGTGTACTTCCTGTTGACTTAAAACTATGAAATTTGGCAAGTAGCGTCGTCTTATACTACAAGTACAGGGAAAAATCTGAAAACTATATAGTTGTAAATAAATCATAGAAAACATCTTATTTAAAGTACCTACATAATACAAATCTGGATTACATTTTTAAACCAACTTTAATTTGGTTACCTAACTAATTTTAGGTATGAACTGTTAGCATAATCACAATGTCACTAATAAAACAATAATATAAGTAGCTATAGGTTTACCCAGTAACCTTGTGTATGGTATATATTGTTGGTATTTTGAATGACTTTTGTACTATCATCATCATCACCCTATCGCCGCCCACTGCTGAACGAAGGTCTCTCCCGAAGGGCACCAAGTATCCCGGTATCGGTTTGTACCATGACAAGTCAAAATATAAACTGGACCTTCATACATTTATTTATTTGTTTTTACATAATCTTTGCATCTGTAACATACTGTTAAAAATTTTAGCTTTCTGCACTTCTGCATATAAACCTCAGCCGATCCACACAACTACGTCTGCCTCTCTCAAAAGTTTACCAGTTTTGCAATTTTTTATTTATTGATGCATATCTCCTATTGGCCGTATAAATGTGCTTTGCAACAATATAAGAGTTTTTCAATTCATACCAGTAGCTTCTGACCTCAAAACTTAACTTTCACTTTGCAAAAGTTATTCGTCTAATTCTGAGTTAATAATGAATGTACTTACTCAAAATGAAAGGTCAGGTCGCACCGGAGACATTTGAACTTATTGTAGTGCACTACAATGTGTCGTGTTACTAAACTTTTCAATTTAAACCGCTTATGGCAGAACTTGCATTCATGTGGTCCACGTGACTGAAAATTAAATTGTTAATATTATGTTATAATGGGATTTCTTGTTTTTACGTTTTAACTCTGTTTTTATTTATACTATAATTATTGATTCCGAGCAGGTCAATCTTACCTCACAATGATTTAATTTCATGTGACGCTCCATTATATCTTGTGTTGAAAATGTTATATAACAGCTGTTGCACTTATACATTGCTTTTAAATACTTTGGATCTTTGGCTCTCAGTTTGAAATTTTTTAAAGCTTCATTCTCGTCTAAACTTATTTTTAACCAATGCTCAGGATCCAACAGAGTCCGTTTAGGCAAACCACCTCTTTCCTTATCACCTTTACAAGTATTTTTGGCCTTCTTAGTTTTTCTTTTGTTTAATATCACATCATGTTTTGTTTTGGTTTGTTTTTTGTTCTTAATATTATTTTTTCTGGTCCTGTTTTCTTCAACAACTAGCACAATTGGTCTATCATCATTTAACACACTCTCCCACTCTCCATCATACTTTTCAGAGCTACAATCCATACTTTCTTCTTCAACATCCTCCTTCTCCATTTTTAAGCTGTCTTCTTCAATTTCTAGTAACTCTTCACCATATTTATATTCATTATTTTCACTACTTTCTTCATTACACTCTATTTCTGTTTCCAAATCTTCTGTTAGAATAGTTCCTCTTTCTGTTTTAATGTATAGTGAATCAGGAACTGTATTAATTCCAGTGATTGTCAGAAATCTTTTAGATTCAGGCATGATTCCAATGGTTGACACCAAGTTCTTACTTTTTCTGTCAACTTTTGATATTGAAGACAATTTTATCTGAAAATCAAAGTGAACTTATTTATAACATGTATGTACATGGAAATATATAAGTATGTTTATCAGCAGTCTGGTTACCACAGCAGAGGCTCTGTCTAGTTAAGGATCAGACGACGGAGTGTGAGATGTGTCAACTTATTACTATAATAGGTGGTGGTTAGATTCTAGCACGGCTGTGTTGGACACATTTTGTAACTATTTTACAATAAGTTTTAGACAAAATATAAATGAGAAACATGTATAAAATGAAATTAATTAAGCTTGTTGATAAAATTTCTATAGGGAACCATATTTTTATTTGACCTAGAGTAAGATTTCTAACAATGGAAGTAAACAAATGAAATGTGAAACTGTGTATGTAACATTGCAGGATACATTTTTATTTGAGTGGGCTTGTTGGTTTGGGGGTACTTAACTGCTAAGCCGGAGGTCGGGGGTTGGATTCCCACCCAGGACAAATATTGCGTGATGACCATGGTGATTTGTACTGTGTCTGGATGTAATTTATCTATAATATGTATGTATTTAAAAAATATTTAAGTATATTTATTAGCAGTCTGGTTACCGTGGTACAGGCTCAGCCTAGTCTGAGATCAGACGGCTGTGTGCGAGATATATTATTATTAATTTTACCTGAAGGCAATTCTCATAATAAAAGTTTGATCTACATTCAGTTCTGATCAACTCTCGATCTCACAACTATCATAAAAGGTATTTTCGTGTATTCGTATACTAAAGTACGGCATATTGCATTATGTATTTGTATAAATTCATTACTTACTGGACCTTTCCTCCTTAATTCTTTTAATATTTCTCGTCCATTAAGGCACTTTTCCCTGAATTTGTGATACTTGTATAACATTGTTGCACATTCATAACAGAAATGACGAGGAAGATCATCAGTTACCTGCAAGACATTTGTTTTATTGAACATGAATGTTCTTCTAACATAAATCATTATTAAGTTAAACTACAGTGGATGGTCCAAACAGTAAAGAAAATTTAAGAAAAAGGCTCACATTCTCGGATATAATTTCTTCGTAATAAACTTTCAACTTGAAATCCCTCATGTTGTACATTTTCACATTTTTAGATAAACAAACACGGCAAACTTTAAGATTTGACATTACAATTACTTTTGGTACAAATATTACAGCTCCTTAATGAAATGTCCAGTGTCTAAATATTATGTTTAGTTATTGTAAATACTGCATTTATCGCTTTATGGAGATTAAACTTATAGTAAATAAAAATTCGGTGTACACTGTAAATGTTGACTGATTGAAGTCATTTGAAGTAGACATCCGACAAAATAACAGTGAACTGTGATTTATCATTTGATATTTGCGTACGTAGTTTAGGGTTACTAAATAGGTCGGTTAGACGCTATTTAGTAAATCAAGTGTTTTTTAAATCATTATGTAGCGAATAGTAGCTATATAATAAAATAATTACAAGATTTACTTTTAAATTGGTTGAAAAGGAGCTTTATGCATCCTCTGAAAACAGCTTATTAGTAACAACGCGTGAGCAAGTAGTAACCCTAACCTACGTACGAAAAAATTGAATGATAAATCACCGGTCTTTCACAGTTCACTTTGATTTTGTCACATGCCTAATGCTCTAAGTTCCCAGTTGGAAATGGCGATCTGAAATGGTTTTTTTTTTTTTGGCCCGAGAAATTTCAATCGAAATGTAGCACTGAATCGAATCAGTGGGTCGATATTTCGATATTTCGACATTCGATTTTTCTGTTTTGATAACAGCCAAAAATCTTATAAATTAACACACTTTTTTTTATGTTAGAGGCAGACGGGGCAGACGAGCAGACGGGTCACCTGGTGAAAAGTGACTATCGCCGCCCATGAACGTCTGCAACACAGAAGTCACAAACGCGTTGCCTTTTAGGAAGGAGTACGCTCTTTTCTTGAAGGTCGTATCGAAATAGCGCAGACGATAACCCGTTCCACAGATTGGTTGTGCGGGGCAAAAAGTGTCTCGAAAAGCGCACAGTAGTAGAGCGCCAACTATCCAGGTAATGAGGATGAAAATTTTGCTGTGGGGAACGATGGCGGAAATTTGCGGCTGGTATTAGTCCGAACAATTCCTCGGAGCACTCTTCTCGGGCATGATATATGCGATAGAGAATGCATAGTGAAGCTACATCTCTACGTAACGCCAAGGGATCGAGCCAATCGGAGATGTTTGGGCTATCGACGATTCGAGTCGCTCTTCGTTGGATGCAGTCCAGAGGGAGAAGCTGGTACTGAGGTGCCCCTGCAGAGAGATTAGAACACTATTCGATATGCGGCTGGACTTGCGCCTTGTAGGGCTGAAGGTGGTGGGCCGGAGTGAAATACTGCCTCGATCTGTTCAGGACACCGAGCTTCTGCGAGGCCAATTTGACCTTACCCTCTAAGTGACCCCGAAACTGGACTGACTGGTTAAACTGAACTAGATTTAGTCGGCCCAATCTGAAACCTCCGCTAAGGAAGTTTCAATTTCAGACACAAGTTTGTTTCAACTCTCGATGACGTTTTCCCGAGAAATATTGGGCCGGCCGGTGTATCGCGCGTCACACGCTCTGAGCGGATGAGATCGAGACCGAAAAATGTGTAACAAGACATTATTTCCGACACTTCTTGCGGAACTTTGTTCCGACCGAGGGTCAGTTGTATTATACATAATAATATATATTATATATATAGGTGGAGCCGTCTAAATACTTCCATTCTGGGTATTGGCATGTTTAATTAAAGTTTTGTTAAAATCAGTTTTAGCTTAAAAAAGGGAATAGCTATTTTTGACAAATTTTCCAATTTCAGATATAAACACAAGGAACAGTCAAAAGTTTGTAATGTTTAAAGACAGGTTTACAAGATAAAGTCCATTCCATGTTAAAAATTACGCAAATACATTTTTCTCGGCTATAAACACTTATAATTTCGTAGAATTACCTCAAATAATAATCCCATACCAGCTTATAGAACAAACATATACCCTAATATACACAACAACACACAACTTTCAACTTAAAAGAGTGGATCGACAGGAAGCGTATTCCACAAGAGGATAGACTGAACAAAGAACGAAAAGCTCGGTAGTGTGAGGAGGACAAAGTAGAAGAAGATTATTAGACGAACGAAGGTTTCTGTTGTGAGTATTGCATAAGAGTTGAAATTGTGGTGGGCCATTGAGGATAGTATACAAGGTTGTGAGTGCGCGCATTTTTCTGAGTTGATGAATTAGTAACCATCATGAATTTAACTCGTGAACATTTTCATTTAATATTGTTTTACGATTTTCGTTGTAGCTTTAAGTCACCAAGAGAGTTGCCAGAGACTTCAGTTGGCATTTTGTGATGAAGCACCATGTCCCAGCTCTGGGTATTCGTGGTTTGGAGAATTTAGACGTGGACGTTATCATCTCCATGACGAGGTACGTGAAGGTCGGCCGGCGACTGCGACTACAGACTCTAATATTGACACCGTACGACAACTTATTGAAACTGACAAAAAAATTACTTGCCAGCAAATTCGTGCATTGTTAGGCATTGAGGATAATTATACGGGTATAGTAGGCCAAAACCTCCTTTCTAAGGAGAGGCCTATGTCCAGCAGTGGACTAGTATAGGCTGTTGATGATGATGATGTTGATGTTAGGCATTGGAATGAGCCAAGTGCAAAAAATTTACATATGAAGGTTCGGAAGCTTTGCACTCGATGGATACCGCATGACTTAACGGAGGACTAGAAAATTAAATGACTGCGTGTCCAGTGGTGCCGTAAAATGATAAAAAAAGGACAATCATTAGCTAATGACTGTCCTTTTTTTATCATTTATTATTTCGTCACAGGTGACGAACCCTGGGTGTACTGCTTTGAACCCGAAAGAAAAAGCCAGTCGGCAGTGTGTCTTCCCTTTTGAAGATTTGCCGATGAAAGTTAAGAAAAGTCAAAATGGTTGCTTCTCTTTTCGACAAGTACAGTATCGCTTGAAGATCAAAGGACAGTGACTGCAGATTGGTACGTCAACACTTGCTTGCCCAGAGTAATTCAACAGCCAGTACAAATGGCGCACCCCCTTTATCCGCAACTCAAGGTTACAGCGCGTAGATAACGTTGGATGGAGCGGCGTGATTTGTTATAACATATCTATTCTAATCTTATCGACACCCATTTGTCAGGACTTTATTGTAATATCATAGCCCTCGTGTTTTGTAGAAAATATACTAAACATGTTTCTTGAACGCTTGGAAACTGTACGCGGACGTAGTTGTAGGCGCAGTAGAACGAAATAAAACTATTTCAAATGGCGTTATACATATCAATATATTTTATATGAAAATTAGATTAATTCAACAGTGTAGCGTAACAAAATGCACCTTAAAGTTCCATAAATAAAGCTTAAAATGATATTTGGAGTATATAGTACTTCTTCATTCCTACAAGGTAAATCAAAGTACCTGTTATCTGTTCACATGTGAAGTGAAGAGACGACACTTGTTACATTTATGACATTGTTCGTTTATATACCGGTGTACAGTCGCACGCGCAAGTGTTGCCGACCCTCTCGTGTAGCAATGAGCGATATAAATTATATTTGTTAACATTTTGTGACAACAGCTGACTTGACTTATAATTCTAGTCGAATCACTCGTGTTTGCGGTAGTACACAGGTGATGCACGCACACACACACACACACACACCGATAGATTAAAACACGAATATAAATGCTGAGTTTAATTTCTATTTGGTTGTAGTGCATGTTATACAGAATCACACGTGTGTCGCGCGCCGCTGTGGTCAACACAACCAACACTGCAGCAACACAAGCCCATAATTGTACTCAATAATTACATACAATCTCTGTTGATGAAGTACATTTACAAATGACAGTTTTGTCATCATTATTATCAAATCAAAAGGAACGACGAACATGGCACGTCCGACAGACGCTAGCCCTACACTAGCGCGCGGCGGGAACCTGCCGCAATATACACATCGGCGAACACTCACATATTGTTTAACTGTCGTTAAATATTTTCCTACGTCGAGGGTCAGTCTTCGACGGATTAACAATACATTCACTCGACACTTACGATGGTACCTAATTAGCTACTTAAGTCTACACAATTCAATAATTAATTACAACCATTGTATAGACGAATTACTTAGCTATAGTAAACTAGATGAGCCGGTGTGGTACAGACCTACAGTAGGTACACACAAGTACGTACAGGACGCGTTCACGTGTTTTGAACCTACTGTAGTTCTTTTATAAACCCCCACTTGTATTATTTTTACATCGTGTGTGTAGAATTAAGTACTTAGTATTAACATCAAATAGTTTTACTAAATTTTAGTGAGCACCCAGCTCTTAAGGAGTTAAAAAAACAAAGAATATCAAACAACAGAAACTTCAGCGGAAAGTATATGCTTCGTCCGCTCGGTACGTGTCTATATTGTATATTTATTTATACTAAAAAGGTTACACTTACTCAATAGCACACGTATTACTCGCTACCTGAGATCTACAACAGTTCTAACATGTTTGGGTAAACGAGACCGTTCAACACATCTACGGAAACATGAGCTCAGATACAAACCAAATATGAACCCTGTTTATAATTCGGAGTAAAGATAATTTAAAAATCTCAGTATAATCTCAAACTAAATAATATATAATACAAAAATATAAATTAAATATACGTAGGGTTGTCAGATTGGAAGTGTAAAAGACGGTTCACGACCCAAAAGTATTAACATGTGAGCACGTTTACAAAGACGCTTTACGTAAAATTGAGCTACTCATATAACAATAAATCTATGAATACGATACAGCATCCCGTGTCTGGCAACCCTGAATGACGTCAAACACTTTTCTTTACCCTACATGGTCCAAATTCAACATTCATTCATTCATTACATAACAATCACAGTATCACATCGATCAGCCCCAACTCAACACTGACTAGTCGACGATGAGTGAGTACGACGATCGCACCGCACCGGAGCCGATAGGTTACGTGCCCGGAGCAGGCCGTCTGTACTTGTAGCAGTTTAGTTCTCGCAGGTAGTCGGCACTCGTGGTGGGAGGGGTGCGCTGCAGCAGCTGGGCTTAGCGCGTCACGTTCGGGTTGTACGGAGGCTGCTTCTCGGTGTGTTGCATCACCTGGTCATACGATGGCGGACACGCTGGAACGAACAAACAAATAAACATTAATATGGCAGTTGTGAGGTAATTCGTCAGTTTACGAACTTCAAATGCTGCACCGTTACTATGCTTGTCGTCCTTTAGGTACAAGGAGGTATTATACTATTTTTTTTTGTTTTGATAAGATAACTCCCGCACTAGGAATATATTCCTGTGTCGCGGGAGATTTTACAAACATACATGAAACGGACACAAAGAACATCAGACTCAGAACAACAATTTGTGGATCACACAAAGTGTTATCTCATGTGGGGATCGAATCCACAACCCTCAGTGTAGTAGGAAGCGGCGAGGTGACCGCTTAATCCACTACGCCATCCGTGCAGCCCGTGTAGTCAAACTATTGGTAGGGTGTGTGTTTTAGTGTGAGACGTAACAAACACACACAGAACAAACTTGATAATTCCTGGAATTTTACTAAAAACTTTATTTTACTGTACATGTACAGAGCCTCAGTAACAGCGGTGGTCAAATCTACCGACGAAATGAAAAGTATTGAAATCCATTCATATATTGTTTATAGAATGTGTAACTGACCTACCTCATACACTCGCCATAGTTGTCTATGGCTATTGGTCTAGTTTAGTGGCTTTGTATCAACTTTACCGACTCTATACACTCTATTGTGGAACACTCTTATCAGTGTCTCAGACTTTTTTAAATTCAATTCTAAGGGTGCTTGTACACGATGCAAGTAGCTTGCGCATGTTGAGGCACTTGAACAGGTTATTTCTTTCGTGAGGAGGACTGTGCGCGTCCAGCGACTCAAACTCTCTTTATTTCATACAAAAATTAAAATTGTTTGAAATCGTCTTTTATGTAGACTCTAAAGTCATAGATCAACACACACAAAAGCAACAATCTCTGCTTTGTCAAATAGTTAGCAAATAAACCTAACAAAAATCGAACTTATACAAAATCTATGATATGCCTGTGCCGATCTACAACCGCCCGTTTCCAAGACTCGATAACAATAACGAGCATGTACTCGTGCGAGCAGCATGCACATTATTTCAACCAAACGTGCGAGTAACTCGTGCCTGCTACTGACGCTAATAACCCGCGTCTTTGCCCGCTCCAGCTACGTGCACCGTATAGGAGCAACCTAATGTTATACCATGCAGAAGCAATCTATATACGTATATAGAGACATTTATCTACTATTAGTCTAAGTCTTAAGTACCTTGTATGTATACAAGGCGGCGGAATACATAATACTAGTAGAGACAACTATTATTGTGGCTTCAAACAACAACAACTGTTGTCAGTACATTTGCGTCAATGGTTAACTCGCTACTGGCACTCAGAAAGCCTAGTGCGTGTTTTATTACGACTCAGTGGCGTTAACTACATCCAAGGTTTATTTGGACAAGGCGGACATCGCCATCTGGTGTCTACTGGGACTCCTAACTACGTACAAATCGAAATTACTAGCACCCGAGTTAGTTTCTACATAAGAAACTTACACTATCGCCAACTACTAGCAAATCAATCCAGTAAACATGCATCGATATTAATCATGGAGGCTAGAAAGAACATTTAACACCATCACAAGTAAGAACAGAAGGGGATGCAGGGTTTGTCTATGTCTACTCACATATTATGTACAATCAGACAAATATATTAACTGTTCTACCGGGGTTCTATTTTCTACTATACAATACAAGGATAGACTGTAGAGAGGAGTATGGTAGAGTACAAGAAGTTAGAAAGCTAGGTATTGGTCATGCGTTCTACTTCACCCACCTTGCGGCAACCAGCCTGGCGTCGCGATCCCAAAGAATGCTTAACAATCAAATCACATCATTAGATACAATCTTATTATCTACTTACACATTACCAGCACTTATAGCTTGGTCATTGGAACAAACTTATTCAGATGAAAGTCAGTTTATTTAAGTTCATTTAAGACATATCGACGACAGAAATTCGGGACCTGCACAATAATGCATAATTGATACGGGTTTGAAACTAAAATATTCATATAATTTTCATGTAATTAAGAGATTTGTACAACTGCAGCAATCTCTGTCTGTTCTTTAAGTTAGGTGACGTCATGTCATCATCATCAACAGCCTTTGGTGACGTCATGTACGACGAGATTTATGAGCATTATATTTCGTGTCCAGAGAAGTAGAGCCGCGGCTCCCTAAGCACACCGCCCTGGAATAGTTTCAATTGAGGCGACAAGATGACATTTTATGCGTGATTTGTGTGAATAGGTTTTGATATACTTAACAGAAATAATTGGAAACTGTGACGGTAGCACTGAGGGAACCTGACAAGGATCTCCGTAAAGATTTATTGGTGAACGTCGGATACCAAGGTTAGGGCCTCTCATACACAGAGCGTCTTATTTAGTCGAATATTTCGTTTGCAGTAATTAAATTTGAGGCGTGTACGAGTACAGTGAAAGGCTAATCGAGCGCTGAAACTAAATGACCTTTTTGTCAGTGTTCTTAGTTGCTATTCAACTGATTTGTTATTTAATAAATTAGATTGTAAATAATTGTAATAATAAAAGATGCTACTTATGGACAAAATCTGGCTTTTGTTCGTGACATCGCGCTGAATTGTAGCTTTTGTCGAGCCGAACGACCGTTTGATAAATATTTTAGGGCCCTATCCTATAAAATCTCATTTAGCTGTGAAAACATCACGCCAGCATTGTAGCACGACCCTTAAGCGCTCAGGGCCTCAATTCTGCTATTTTATGTTCACGCCAAGCCACTGTCATACCACTGACACGCTATTGAGATGCCATCGAGTGGCTATTGGCATCGGTGTAAATATCGGTAGTCTACACTAACTCAGTGTCTTTACAGTGGCGATGGAATGGCAGTGGCTCATCAGTGGTGATATCAAAAAGATTGCCATATTTGGAAAAATAAATAAATCATTTTCTTATAATTTGAAAATGTATTACGTTTTTTTAATTTTGGTGAATAAAGTTGTTTTGGATTTATCATATTTATTGATACCAATGTATAAACTACAACGACATAATACACCGTAATTAATAGAATTATAAGTTGCTGTTTTTGTTGTTGTTTAGTTAGTGTAGACTACCGATATTTATACCGATGCTAATGGCCACTCGATGGCATCTCAATAGTGTGGTATGACAGTGGCTTGGCGTGAACATAAAATAGCAGAATTAAGGCCCAGATAGACACGACCTTCAGTAAAAATCTGTTCTTCCCTCAGCACACGTTACACAGTATTTGTACAACATATCAGATTATTTCATTGATAGCGCTGAGTGCCACGAACACTGCAAATATTGCTGATACAAATTAAACAACTAGTCAACCGTGAGTGACGTCATTCTACCACTATTCTTTATTTTAGTTTCAGAAGCAAAGAAGCATATCCAAGTTCGTTTACGAAAGACAGCGTGCCAAAAAATCAAGTACAGAGAATTTCGCACAAACACTTAATCATGTTTACAACTTAGGAAACTCGCTTTACTACGACGCGAAAGACAATGCTTTGAAAGTTCCCGAAAGGAATAATACCACACCATCAATACTTAAAAGAACTACGGGAATTCATATGAGGGGCTAGCACAGTGAAGCAATGACAGCGCAAAGCTTACGCTAGTCACTTCTCGTGACCGCTCATAATAAAATAATCGTGATGAGTAATTAAACAAAAAGCAAATCATAAAAAGTCGAGTGAGGAAAAACTTGAAGCTGTCCTTGCCAAGAGGATAAACGCAAAACTTACAAAAATAGTCTACAAATAATTGATTACAATTGAATATAATATAATGAATAATATGAGACGAGACGCGAGTGCGGTTGTTGGTCGGTGCGAGTTCGACATAATCACCCCACCGGTGGGTGATACCCGAGGGGATTTCCCCGCAGAAAAAAAGGTGATTAATTTATTTATTTATAAATCTATTTAATCATATTTTGTATCATTTTTCTTTTTATTTTAGACGGGGTAGACGAGCAGACGGGTCACCTGATGGAAAGCGACCATCGCCGCCCATGAACGTCTGCAACTCAGAAGACACAAACGCGTTTTAGGAAGGGGGTTTTTTGCCATAATCGCTTATCGTGAACTAAATGGTAATTACTCGGGGATTACCGAAAGATAAAGCAACATATTTTGCAACTTTTAAAATATATATATATGTACGAATACGATATAGAAACATTTAGTTCAGATTTCCTTCGAACTATTCCAATTTCAAAAAAGTTAACATTACCATAAAACAACCTACTTTACGTACGTAACTTTCGAAGTAAGAGTACGTCTTTTGGGGAATCCCCCAGAGCTGAAAAACCTTATGGTCACATTATTTAGGTATACCGGAAAGAGCGTTTAGATAAATAAATTTGATATTATTTTATGCTAATGAATGATAACAATTACACAAAAAAAAAACACTTATATTATAATATGCGAATGACTCAATCGCGCACGTAGCTATAGTGGGAAACGTTTAGGTCCTTTTTAATGTAGTGTTTTATGCTCCTGAATTTGAGTAAATAAAAATATCCAGTAAAGTTTGGTTGCGATAGGAGTTTCATTAAAGGTCCTGGGGGCCAGGTCGGCGAGACCTTTTGCAACGCTGTACTGGCCAATCGTAAAACTCGGAAATAAAAGATCGGAGCAACACTAGTGGACGCATCACATACAGCGACAGCGGCCTTTAATTAAACCTAATCAGATAGTAAATAGAGCATTGTTGCAATAACTGAGGATGAATATGAATTGAGGAAATTTTAATTATTACTTTACTTAGCTGAGCCTCCAACAGAGGTAGTGGACGCACTAGAGTGGACTTAATTGGTGGACTTGTTGATTAGATATGATGTAATTCCGTCACGTTGCCCATTGGCTGCTCACATCATATAAATAATTATTCATACATCCTATTCATACAAATATCCCTAGACAGCAATGTTTTTTTCATAGAAGAGGAGGCAAACGAGCAGACGGGTCATCTGATGGAAAGTGACTACCGCCGCCCATGAAGGCCTGCAACTCAGGAATCACAAGCGCGTTGCCGGCCTTTTAGGAAGGAGTACGCACCATGTCTCTATGTCACAACTATGAGAGCTTGACTACGTAACGCCACGAGTTGCGGCAGCTTCTCTGTGTAGGATTTAGACAGAAGGCAAACACCTGCGTATTTTTGCCATTATAGCTAACAAAGAAAGACGCAGATAATCATAACAAAATCAAATCATATCATATACAAGGCGTTTCGGGTAATGCATGCTCTTTGCCGCATTCTCTTGAATTTGTTTACAGTGTGCTAGTACTGCACATCACACCGAACGCTCACGTACTGTCGAACTGAGTGGTTCTGAGGTAGTGGCCAACTATGCTACACAGGAAAGAAAAATGCTCAAAACTTTTCTATTATAACTGTGAAATAAGTCGTCAGTAAGAATATAAGTAATAATCAGTAATAAGAATAAGAAATAAATAATATGAACTCATAATGGTTGCAATGATGTCACGTTCAGCAAATACATACACAACAATGTTATCAGTGTGATAACATGATACCCTTAATCCATTAAGCTGATACGCAACTGCGTTACATCTTTCAAACCAGTTGTCAGCGGCAAGTGTAGCGATGGTGAACTACTTAGGTATGGTGACATCACAATAATTTGCTTTGGAAAATTAGAAAATAAGCGCTTAAAGTAGATTGAAATGGATTCACACAAGGTGTCTAACGAACACACATAATAATCAGTCGAAATGAGAACCTCAACCTTTTTCAAATCCGTTAAAAAAGGGAGGTTTTCGAAGGGAGGGACAAAACTATGCTAAGCAGAATCATTATATTTAAAACATACAGTATACGAAATATGCAGCCTGTATTCGTAAATGGAACAGTAGGAAGGGAAAAATTATATCCAACAAACAGGTCCATCCAAGAAAGTCAAAAACGAACACGACAAACGGTAACTTTTTGACGTGTTTCTTAATTTAAAGTAATTCTTGCAGCGGTACAAACGAGCAAATACAACAATAGCCAGTTACTACTTCTGAAGTTTTCAGATAAACTATTTAATATGCCTGGTCACCCACACACGGGGTGCCTGCATCCGTTGATAACGCTTACCAACTGTATCTGCTTGTACAGTCACAAGTTATTGAGTCATTGCAAGAGCGTGGTGTTAACTAACGGGACCACCAGTGACTCATGTCGTACGTACTTATTAACAGAGTGGGTAGGGCTTTAACTGTCCCGACCGCTGAACGGGATCGGGAGAGGACCGATCCCGAGCGTAGAGGACGTCGGCGGCGATACCAGCCGTTGACGGGGCCGCAGGCTGCCAGAGGTAGGGGACCTCTGCTGGCACTTTAACTGCTGCGGTAGGCGATAGGATGGCGGCCTGGACGCAAAAATGCGATCGGGCCGCAACATTTTATAACGATTGGGCCGATAGGCGGGGGAAGCGCGCAGCTTCCCCGGGATAGGGCTTTACAGGGCGCGGCGTCGATCTGGGGGGAACCTGAAATAACATGGTCCGGGTCCTCCTCGGAGTAGGAAACACCACATACTCCTGGCTCATACATCCCAAGGAGCCGGCGATCCGAAGGGATTTTCCACCCCGTCAACAAAAAAAAGGGGTTTAACTGTCCCAATCAAATGTTGCCTTTAAAAATTTAAAATGAAAGGACGGTAACTTGAATTGGATTCGCAAACATTTCAAATAACTCGCTCATACAGGTTAAAAACGAATGACGACTGAAAAGCAGTGACCCTGACTGTATTACCTCACTTCTTTGTTCAACAGTCTGCAGTGACAGCCGCAGATATCACCGGCCACGGCGAGTGATATTCTTGTGAATGACTAAAATACCACTAACCAATGGCTACTCGAGGCGAACAGCTGTGTGTGTCCTATCAATGTTCCATTCAATAGGTCACACTCGTTTTAAAACGATTATCCAACACAAACAAAGGAAACATCGCAATGAAACCTTCTCATACATACCTACTACCTACTTAACGTACTCATGTATTTAGAACTAAAACAGCTATGTTAATCCGATGCCAACGATGAAATCATAATTTTTATAAAAACAAAGTTGTAATCGGTGTTGTTATGTTTGGTGATGATGGAAGTAATTCTGAGTCGGATAGTCTCGTTAACAGAAACCCCAACAACAAATAGGCGTCAGGTGGTATTGATGGTATTCAGGATATTCGGGATGTCTTGTACGAAAGTTAGGGTTTAATCTTTTTGGGTCTTTAAATAAGATTAAATACAACTAAAACAAGAAAAATATTTGTATGTAATAACTGTGTATAAGAAGATATGATCTGTTTGGTTTTGAAAGAAAGTCAATAAAACTTTTTTGTTATGTTGATAATCAGTCTGTTGTTATTGACATAAGTAAATAATTAGTTTTATCGAAAATATTAATCATCGTGAATGTAAAAATTATCGAAGACAGCTCTGATAACATGATGTTATTTAGATATGATTTAGGTAAACATTTTAGTTATTTATCGTCAAGATTTTTTACACCGTGTTATTTTAATGGGTTCGACTCCATCAACCTAGGGTCTATCTTAAGACTTTCGTTTATGCAAAATCTAATTGTAACTATGTGTCAACTGTTATAAATTGTCCTTAAACTATTTCAATGTTTTCGTCGAGCAGCGCCGTTTAATGGCGTGTGACATTATAATAATGTGTTTCCTGTAAAAGTAACGAGTGAAGCAGCGACGAGCGCGGCCCATTGTGTCGTGTCGCTTAGCGCTCATTGCGAAACGAACCGTGTCAGTGGCGGCCATCGCGTCCAGCACTCATTAACGATTGTTATACAACAACTAGACGAATTAACACGAAATAGGGCGACCACTACGATAATCTTTATTTCTATATTTCTTTTGCAGCTAATTGAGATGTATAATTTTAACCAATAGTGCATCTTTTTTATGGAATAGGGGGCAACGAGCAGACGTGTCATCCGATGGAAAGCCACTACCTCCGCCCATAAACGCTTACAACTCGGCAGTCCAAAGCGCGTTTCCTGGCATTTGAGGAAGGAGTAATACATACCGTTGGCATCTGGTGCGGTCGGAGCATGTGCGAAGGGCGCCGCGTTAGGGTAAGGCGCCCCGGTAGGGTAGGGCGCCCCGGCTGGGTAGGGCGCCCCGGTGGGGTAGGGAGGCCCCGCGCTGCCCCCGGGCGGGTAGGGCGAGTGCGAGGCGCTGGGGTAGGGCGCCTGTGAAGGGTAGTGCGCGCCGCTCGGGTAGGGCGCTGGCGCAGGGTACGGGGCCGCCGCCGCCACTGGGTACAGTGTTACTGTTGTCGCTGTGGAATTACACTCTGTTAAATACTTAAAGTATAAGCGGGCGCCAGATACGATCAAGTCTCCTATTACATTTAATTGCTACAAATTAACCGGGTACTTCTCCAAGGTCACGTCTGCCTTTATACCAAATCGTCAACATTTTTCATAATTTGTGCCTCTGTCGCAGGCTCGGCGAGGGCATATAGACTAGTCGACCTCTACTATGTCCGAGATGTCCCTTCACAGTAGTTACATGGTTATACAGGGACTCACCTGGATAACTATTGGGGGCGGCGACGAACTGCTGCTGCGGGTACGGCGCCGGCGCGTCCGGTCCGGGGGGCGCTGCACAACAAACAAATTATTTCCTTTCACCTCCTTTACACTAAGGCGGACAATGAGGATACCGCATTAGCTGTGTAGTCTATCAACTATTTCTTAGTACTTTATTAAAGTTGTTGACCATGAAACAGAAACCTCAGAAAACCATACACGAGACCCAGATAAGTAAACTGGGTTGAGAAAGAACGGCTAATCTCTTTGAAAAAGGAAGCAGACTCATTTCCCGAAGATCGGAGTTTATCGGTTCTATTACTGTTGGTTTCTATTGACATTCTCTATTGCTCTGAGAAGGCACTAGGAGAGATTTCGGAGTCTTTACAAACAACACCCAGCTTCGGGGCAGCTATTTGTTGATAATTAATTGTTTTTCGTGAGGGGTTTATAAGAAAGGTAGAACTTTCCATGAGAATGAAATTACTTTCATGATATACGAGTATCTTATATATAAAATTCTCGTGTCACAATGTTTGTTCCCCTACTCCGTAAGGGTGACCCATCCCTAATTTTTTTTTTGTTTTGCAATAGAACGTTTGCCGGGTCAGCTAGTTGAATACATAATTTAAACATACCATACGGGTGTTTTCGAGAACGATCACGTTTTGCTAATCAGCAATTATATTATATTGCACATGTATATAGATAAGTCAATGACGAATAAAACCCATCGGTCAATGTTCGTGGAATAACTGTCGCTTTGGTAGCGGACTGCTGAGTCACTCACATCCACGTCACACGAACACACGCAAAACATTGCGACATCTGCGAAATACCTCTCGGAGTGTTCGCTATCGTGCGGTGCGTGGTGGTAAACAAAGACCAATAACCGTTGATACCATAATTTAGTTCGTATTGCATCGGTGTTTGATACAAAGCCACTAGAAATGTATGAGGTAAAGTCGTAAGTCCGATACATACGTGCGAGAACTCGCCCACTAGAAATGTATGAGGTAAAGTCGTAAGTCCGATACATACGTGCGAGAACTCGCCCACTAGAAATGTATGAGGTAAAGTCGTAAGTCCGATACATACGTGCGAGAACTCGCCCACTAGAAATGTATGAGGTAAAGTCGTAAGTCCGATACATACGTGCGAGAACTCGCCCACTAGAAATGTATGAGGTAAAGTCGTAAGTCCGATACATACGTGCGAGAACTCGCCCACTAGACTTCCGGCAGCAACATCGGCACAGAACGACGAGGATGATGATAGCGCCGACAGCTACCACCAACGCTATCACCAGCTCCATCGTCGGAAAAATCCGAGGCCTGTTCCAGTGGTGAAAATTTTTCTGCAAAAAAAAACAACGAAATGAATTGTCAATTCAATCAATGTCATACTCATAGTTTAAAAGTCGGCCGACAAAGATAGCGTGTACCTAACTAATAAGTGTTGTTGTTGTCACCAATCTTACTTCTTAGCGCAAAAATTCATGACGACTAGTTGAGCGGAACTACTCATCATCAATTTTGCACGTTGGCAATGTATGCAAATTTACATGTGTACAGAACATCTTGTAGTGTATGTGTTGCAGTATACAGAACACGACATACCTATTTAATCTGCCTAAATACGTTACGTTATGTTCAAGCGAGCAAAGCCGCTGCCAAAATCTATCACCTGCCTTAATATGCTAACGCGACCTACGGTTCATTAAAGGTAGGGAAACCCCCTAAAGAAGAGCAAGATTCAGCACAGTACAACCACTATTATTACGTAATGCAAGGGGTTGGGTGATGTTGGAAACGACTACTAACGACGAACCACTCCTATAATAGTATTCATGATAACGGATTCAACGAGAGCTAAGTACATGTAATTATGTTAATGACAACACAACACACGCTCACGCCTGGAGCTTTATAGACAATGTGTGGGTGTAGTTTAGTGATAAGCATAGCCTATTTACACTAGCAAGGCAATTCAAGACATGTAAGCTTTGGGTGTCAGAAGCAAGGGGTTGGGTGACCCATCTGTTCGTTTGCCCTTATACCATAAAAATTGTCTTGGATCATACAGGTGGGTGGAGTGGGTACTCCCCACTCTACATAGAACCATTTGCTTGAAGTAGGAGTGCAGTTTCAGCAGGTGCCAAATATCTATGGTCTAAGTTTGATTACCTCACACAATCTAACACAAATTGTTTACACTTTTTGTACTAGTCTGCATCTATTGTACTTCTACAGAATGAAGTTGATGAATAAACTTTAATAGCATAGCATAACATAGTAGCTTAAAGCATAAATTGACTTAAACAAGTTTGGATCTTTAATCAGTGATAGATGTACATAATCATAAAGATAAATCATCATAATCTATGAATCATCAATAAGCCTCTAGGAATTTAAATCATATTAGAACAAGTATCAGAACAAGGTCTTATTATCACTTATAGAGATACTACTTCCTTTTGATGGTGAGCTATGTAGCACGGTTGTGTGTGTGGGCACCAAGTTGGATGGACTTAAAGTTTAATTAACCATTTAAAAAAACATGTGAAACAATGATTGATTGATTGTATTAATGGTACAAGGACTTAAACAGTGACAAAGAGTCCCATCATCTACAATTGACACGACTGGAATGAACAAAACTAATGTTAGAAGTTTAAACTTCAGAGGTTTACTCCATCATCAGTAAATTAAAATTAACTGCTAGAATTTGGTTATTATTGCTAATCTAGTAGAAACTATTTTATAAACAAAACATTGCAAATGTGTTTATAAGTGGGAGGTTCTCCACCAGTAATGTATTCAGACGAAGCTGGAATCATATTATACCCTACTTTATCATTTAGAAGACCATGGAAGATAAAACTAGTAAAAGGTTTTGTCCAGTGGATGGTCACTGTTGCCCATTCAGTTACTACCCTGACAAACAGTTTTTGATCCTTTTGGAGGAACCCTACCCCACAGTGAGTTTTTGGACAAGTAGAACCACTCATTTTAATTAATTCTGAAATTTATTTACATTCAAAATATTGAATACTGTCAAGTATTTTTTGTCCAATAATATATATTTTAGAGTTGTTGTAGAGGAACTATTTTATTCTGTAATTTTTAGTTTTATTTTATGCACTTTTGAACATCGGCGGACTTAGTGCCCAAGGCTCCCAGTCAATCTTTAGGTAGTGTAGAAATCGTGAGTGGTAGGCGCACATAGGTTATAACACTAATCAATAAGATATACACTACACAACACAACACAAGTACCCAACACACTATACACATAAATATACACATGCACATATATATAAATAGACATACATACATTATAAATATATATATGTATCTACATATATACAAACATATATTTGCATATATTGTAATTTTAGCTTAACAGGTAATATGACTGTTAGTTTGCATTCTACACACGAACATAGCCTGCTTTACAATCACATCAAGGGGCAATCACTAGGTGTAAGGGCAAGGTGCACAGTTCATCATTAACTCTAAGCAATAGAAATAACTTACTTAGTAATGTCACAAGACGAGCATTACAATTTATTATCTACTAGCTTTTGCCTGCGGCTCCTCCTGCGCATATGTCAGTTATCGCAGTAAAAAGTAGCCTGTTTTTCACCAAGAATCAAACTATCTACATGCAAAGTTTTATTTAAATCTGTTCAGCAGTTATTGATTTCCTATACAAACTTCTACCCCTCTTTTCCCCATCTTTAAGTGTGATTTCTGGTATAAAAGCTATCCTATATACTATTCTGGGTTGTTAATCGTTGCAGCGGTTTAAGTATGTAGACGTAAAAGACAAACACACTTTTGAATATATTGGTATGAATGTTAACGCCTATAACCATTCAATCTAAATAAATAATAATAAACTGCATTCCTAAATATTACCTAACTCATAACACAAACTTTTCATTCATTGTGTTTTCTAACCAAAATGATATGATACAGGCACAATCAACAAAAATAAAATAACAAAGTTTATTGATGTTATATCTTCATGGGATGAAAGAAACCCTATACAGAAATGATCTGGCTCCTGTTCCTTATTTTACTGTGAATTTAGTCAACATTTTAACAGTTCACGATACTAACACCATGTCATTTTTTAAACTATGTGTTGTGTTAAGGACAAAGAATATATACATGCGATATAACAGAGGGTGCGGTGCGGCCTCATTGAGGTCCGTCGGCCACCAATGCGTGGGCTCGTGTACCTTGAACTCGTCGTCGTCCCAGTCATCCGAACCGTACATCACAAATTCACAGCAAACCACAAATAACGTCAGTAACAATCAAGGCAGCCGAGGGTAACACAGTTTATCTACACGCGTCGTCAAACAACACAAAGCACGACTGCTGTCGGAACGATCTCGCTCGCAACTCGCCTTTATCAACCGACCGGTTATAAAGAAATAAACACTTTCAAAATGACTCACCGGAAAGATTACGCTTACGGCACGGACTTTCCGGACACTTAATACCAAATATTCAATGAGGAAAATAAAGTGGTATACTTTGTTTTAACCATGGACGACGAACAGACGATGGGCCGAAACAAGTTATTCCCCATATCAAGTTAATTAAAGAATATTGGTATTTTCATGGGATTATATGCATTACAAAATAAGACACACACACACACACACACACACATAATCTATCGCCTACAATGCAATAATCTTACGAATAACATCGTAAAGTGACGTACCTATTGGTAATTTAGCTGATACGGGCGTATTACTCTACTACAAAACAAGTATGGCCTGGCCTTTGCATTCATAAAATGACAACTGACAACTATAGTGTTGGGTTTCAAGAATGTGCCTAAACTCACAGTGTTATTCATCTTATACATTTAATCGAATCGTAATTGATTAATTCGATTAAATCATCATGTTGCAATGACAGATAACGTGCCCAACGTATGCATTTACTCACAAATAATTAATATATTTTATTAGTTAGCCGGTTTATTCAGAGTAAAATTGGGGAGAGTAGTTTTACCTCTTATTTTCAAAACAAATAACAAAACTAATAGGGAAAGAAATAATTTTGGACGCCAATGTTGCACCGAATCACTCGTACTTCCTTCTTATTTTTTCTTTTCATTTTCATTACTGTTTTAAAGAAGTTGTTTTTCGTAGATTTTCTATAACTTACACTACTGATTTTCTTCAAATAACATTAGTGGGACCTTCTCTTGGTGGTCTCTCTTTGTTCAGCTGATATACGTTCACTGCTTCTAACACCACTTGTCAAATTCTTCCTAACTGTTACTGCCTCTTTCAATTACCGACATAATGAGCTATTTCCCTAACTTGAAACTCATTTTCGCTTAGAATAGTTTTTTATATAAATAGAATTTTTATTTGACATTTGTAAGTCTTCATATTGTGTTTTTTGTTTTTCATGTCATTATTGTGTTTATACTGCTGCTGCAGCCAGGTTAGTGAAAAATGTTGAAATATTACATGATGTGAAATGGTCTGATCACTACCCCCTTCTTTTTTTCTGTGCGGAAATCCCCTCGGATACTACTTACCGGTGGCAATGCACTGACTAAAACCGCACGCCGTCTCAGGTACCAGTAGTTGGGGAACCAGGTGTATCCTAGAAAGGAAATCCCTGGTGCCCCGACGTACCTTGGGCCATATACGGCGGGTAGACGACCCCCTGTGTGGGAACCCCTATGCTCCCTCTGTGCTCTCGAAAGGGCGTGCGCGCTTCGCAACTCGCTCGCCGCAACCCCGGCCTGCTTCTGCTAGGGTGACAGATGGCCTCATCTGTCACCCTACCAGGCCTACGCTTATGGAGGACGGAGGTCGTTCTGCGACCTATAGCGCCTGACTCGTCTGACGGTACCTGGCCCATTCCTGAGCCTGGCGGGCCGGGAGAGTTCTAAACCTCTCCCGGTCTCGCTCTGCCATCTCCTTCGCAAGCATAACTTGCTCGCAGAAGGAGACGGCAGAGTTCCACGCACCCTCGCTCCCAGAGAACTCCCACTCCTTTGGCCGCCACGAGGTCTCGCCTCTGCTCCACCCATGCCGGGCATTCTGCCAGCGTGTGGAGCGCCATGTCCACGATTCGACCATCACAGTGGTGGCACTCAGGCGTTGGCTCCTTGCGGATCAGACACAGGTGATCCCCGAAACATCTTTTCCCAGCGATCAATTGCGTCAGTCGGTATGAGAGGGTCCCGTGATGCCTTTCGAGCAAATCCCCTATAACGGGTCTTACCGCTGCGATGACGGCGTGCCCGGCGCTCGGTTGCCCAAGTCGTTCCTTCCACTGCCCTACGAGGAACCGGTGGCGTTGGGATTTCCTGTCATCGATTTCTCGAGTCTCAGGACTCCGACCCAACTCCCGCGCCTCCTTGCGCCACTGATACAGAGCCGCAAGGGCTCTCAATGATCGCTACCCCCTAGTAGTGAAATGTAACATAGAAGTGTTGACTCCTAGAGCAACACTAAATACCAGTAATAAAACATGTTCTCAAAGAGACAATGCATTATGGGGAAGGAGAGGTAAGTCGAATATTATGAAATATATAGCAACTTGTCACATAGGTTTGCATGGTTGTCGCCTTATGTTGGAAAGTGGACTTTCATTGTGTACAAAATATAGTGATATTCAACGTCTTATTGATACATATAATGACGTAATACGTATCCTGTCGAGCGCATCAATGTGTAGTTTTTGACAGAATACAAAAAAAATAAGTATAACTCAACTTTGGGCTAAAATGACAACGTTAAGCGTCGATATTGTGATGTGCGCGACAATTTTCAAACCTGGGTATTTTTTGGTAAGCCAACAAATGGTGACTGTTATGCGGACATGTGTGACGGTTCAAGGCGGCTCTGTGATGATGTCAAAAAAATGAAGAACAAATTAAACATGATAAATTAGCAAAACAATAAAATCATATCTGTTACATCAACAGCCTTTAATAGACCACTGCTGGACATAGACCTCTCCTTATAAAGGACTTTTTGGCCTACTATACTACGCTGGCCTGGTAATTCGTATTTGACAGACAAATATTTCCAAATTTAATGAATTTAACAGGACATAAAAGAAACCTCAAAGTTGTTAGCAGGAGCCGAAATCGTATCTATCGAGAGCATCCATTACTTTAATGATAAATCCCTACCTATCCCTTTTTATGTGACTATTGTGACTTTTGCGTTTTGTTACTCCTTGGCAGTTCTTAGAGTGATGTTTTAAATTATATTCGAATTTGAATTTCTTAGTTTTCAATGACTTCACTTATTAATACTATTAATTAATTTAATTTCATAGTAATAATAATAGTTTGGAGTATATTATATATTTAGTTGTACTGAGTAATGTAAAACAGAAAGTGTCCAATCTTTTCCAGTGATGAGACTGTCAAAATGACAACTTTTAGTTACACAAATTTAACCTAAAAACGCAAAAAATCTTCAACTAAATACACATTTAGACAATGTTTCCTGATACATTAAGTCGGATAGTGCTGCCTCTCCGGCAAGTGCTAGTAATGCAGTCGGCGAATTTGCACTTGAGTGCTACAAATTGTGCTGCGGTGAAAAAAACCACTTCTGCTGCAGGAGGTAAGTGCTGCTATCCAGTTTTTTCTGAATGTAGTTGTTGTTGTACTTATATGACTTCAGTCAACAATAGTATAGTTTAAATATATCTTTATATTTCTGTGCCTAAAAGCTGACGAGCAAGGTTGCCAACCTTAGAACTTTTTTCACTGTATATACAAGTAAATATCTCGTATTTTGGCTGTCAAACCACATACATTCATCAGGCATTTATAAAGTTACAATACTGACACAAACGGAAAATGTGGTGTTACAGGTGTAATGGGGTTAGGCAAAGGTAAGAAGAAGGGAGCCAAGCTGAGCACAATGGAGAAGAAAGAGATGCCTGTGGAATCAGATCCTGAGAAGCTTGTCCACTATGTGTGTGGTTCCAACATATACACAACCGGGGAGGATGTGAAGGTTTGTATTCACCCTTTTCTACATATTTCCTGTTAACTTCATTTTTCTGACTCTTGAGAAATTTGAGGTTCAAATCTTAAAAACATTATCCAAAGCAGAATCTCACTGCAGCAATATAAGCCTTGCACCATCTTTTTTTATGAAATAGGGGCCAATCAAGCAAATCGGCATGGCACGGGTCACCTGATGGAAAGCGACTACCGTCGCCCATGGACGCCTGCAACTCAGGAGTCACAAGCGCATTGCAGGCCTTTGAGAAAAGAGTAGACTCTTTTCTTGAAGGTCGTATCGGTCTGGTTATAACTTGTTCCACAGTTAGGTAGTGCGAGGCAAAAAGTGTCTTGAAAAGCGCACAGTGGTGGAGTGGTAGTTTTTTTTTTTTAGATACGACGACTATTTTTTTAGACGATAGAGAATGTAGAGCGTAGCTACATCTCTACATAACGCCAAGGGATCGAGCCAGTCGGAGGTCTTTTGGCAATCGACTATTCGAGTCGCTCTTCTTTGGATCCATTCCAGAGGGAGAAGCTGGTACTGGTACTGCATGGAGATGAGAATAGTATATGCGGTCGGACTTGCGCCTCATAGAGTTGGAGGCGATCAGCTGGAGTGAAATACTGCCTCTATCAGTTTAGCACACCTTCACACCTTCTTCGAGGCCAATTTGACTCTACCCTGTAAATGACCGCGTCAGTTATACTGGTCGAGTCAGTTAGGGAGGTGCTTTCGAACCGAGCCGAAACGACAAACGGTATTTTTTTTACGGTAAACGCGCAAACCTGTGCCTTTTTGGGTTAAAATGGACTAGATTTAGTCGAGCCCAATATGAAACCTCCGTTAAAGAAGTTACAATTTCAGACACAGGTTTCGACTCTCGATGACTTTTACCCGAGAAATATTAGGGCAGCCGGTATAAAAGGCATCTCTCGTGCTATCATTAAGAAGAAACAGTGTGGGTGATAACACACGGCATTGCGGGACACCATCATTTACTGATTTTATATGATCTTTATACTTTCGGGGATATCGTATCAGTAATAAGACAGTTCCTCACTGTACAAATAAAACTGCTGTAATTATAAGCTGGGCAATGTATTTACATTTAAAAAAACTATAAAAGTATTCTACCAGACAATCTAACTTTCATAGTACAAGCTCTGCTTAGTTTGAAACTAGAAGGCGTTGTGAGTCAGATGTCCGAAATATTTACTTAATAGCTAATGGTACTATAAGATAATAACACGAGTAAAAAATTTCATTTCAGATAAAAGACGACAGCGAGTATCCCGAGTGGCTTTGGTCGCTCAACACAGGGCGCGCCGTCCCCCTGGAGGAACTCGACCCCAGCACAAAGGAATACTGGCTGAGGGTCCGCGCCGCCGGCATGAGGCGCAATAACAAACTGCGCTCCATGCGCAGGTTCTAGCTTCTATAACGTCGTGTGCTACCTGTGTGTTACTTCATATGTACATGTGTCGTGGTGTGCGCAATCTAACGAAACCTGAACACCGACTGGATGGAGTATCGGCGTGTTCGAGTGCGTGCAACGCTAATTAGGCAAACTTAGATTAAGTGTTTGTTATGTTGGTAAATAAATGTTGTTAATAATATAATAGATTTATTCAACAAATAAACTGATCACAAACAGTTATCTCAAATAAGTAATTACTCTTAACTCTATGAGATGCAGGTTTATTTGTGCTCTTACGGTCACAATAAACGCTCACTGTACGATTTTTTTGGACAAAAAAACAAGACGATTTGGAGGCGCGCCGGCTGTGCACTGCCCTTCATAGTTCGCTCAACTTTGTGGGGTTCCGTTGAGAAAGTTGAACATAAACTTGCCGAGTGCACAGCTGGCCTCGATCCCAATAAATATTTAGGTGAGTAGTTCAATCTATAGACAATCCATGGTGTCCTCCTTGATGATCATGGGCGGCGCGTAGTCGCCGTGTCTCGTGCCGAACGAATACTTGTATGAGTTCTGAAACAATTATAAGTTATAACTATTCACCTCGCCAACTGACATTAACTCAATTGATGGGGGTTCGTTTCATGGTATTGGTGATATTTTCAGAATGTACTTAGTGTTTGTGATTTGTACGAAATTATCACTAAACGCAAGAAAAAAATTAAAACGTTTAGGTACTTATACACAACAACAATTAGAAATATCATATCGTTTATCATTACTTGCGAAGGAATGGTACAGTTTAATTAGACCATGGTAGGTAAAGGGAGACACGTGGGGGTGGGGAGGGGGAAGACTCAGCCCTACATTAGAGATTGTTTCTCAATCCTATTTAACTATTTAGATGTCTTCTTGATTGGATCAGACGATACAACAGTGTTTTATACGAAATTGAGGTGGGCTAATTTACGGAGGGTTTGCCTGCCTGCCCTCTGCTTGAGCGCTGCTTTTAATTATTTTTATACACTATTCTTTTTCCCAAATCTTATTTCTATTTTCTAGCAGTCCTGGAGAATTTCAGTTCCCTTTCGTCCACGAGATTTGTGCCAGATTATGTCCAATCCGAGCAAACATAAACCAACAAACAAATAAATCCATCTGGTCCCTCGTCGTTTCTGCAATGTCAGTATCACGCCTACAGAGAAACACAACCTCATAGTTATCTTTGGATGGATGCAAAAAATCGTAATTCCTTTTTCGATGAGAGGTGCCGAAACGGGTAAAACAATCGAACTGCAGTAGGTAGTTCTCTCATCTCAAACAGAAATAGGCGTGTACGCACCTGCTTAGTGTTGTAGAGGTTCGGCGGGTACACGGCGGGGCCGGGCGTCTTGGTCGGCTTGCCGGCGCCGCTCAGCTGCGCGCCCAGGGAGTACACCGGCTGTCTGCGGACACACCGACGGTTATACTAAGTAAAAGGTCAAACAGAGATCTCGCAATAAGTACCTATCGCTTTTCCCTCAAGTATGGAAATAAGATTAGGGATTTCTATTTCGGTCGAATCGTAGACCTCGCTCGGTTAAGTGACGGTCGTCCACTACGTGCGGTCGGGCACTCACTTGTTCTTGTAGACGTTGGTGTCCTGCATGAAGTAGACGGCGGGCCCGGGCGACTTGGCCTTGGGCACGAAGCCGACGCGCGCGCCCATGGTGTAGGCGGGCGTGCCGGGGCCCAGGCGCAGCGCGTAGGCGTTGGGCGCGGGCCCGGGCCGCTTGAGCGCGAAGCCCAGGCGCGCGCCCATGGAGTAGACGGGCGCGCGCGGCTCGCGCATGGGCGGGCAGCGCTCCGGGGCGTGCGCGCCCGGCCCCGGCGTGCGCAGCGTGGCGCGCGGCCCGAAGCGCGCGCCGAACGACCACTGCGGAGACGACATGGCGCCGTCGCGCGTCACGCGGTCGATGCGGTACGACGGGCCCGGGCCCAGCCCCTTCACGCGGTAGCCCGCGTTCACGCCGAACGAGTACATGGGGTTGCGGTAGCGCGACGGGTCGTGGCCCGGGTAGCCGCACGTCGTGGGCAGCTGGTACGCGCCCGGCCCGGGGCCTGCAACGGTCAAAACGAACGATGAAGTGACTTGAAACAGTAAGATTTATATGTACCCGGTAGACGACGACGGGCTCGGATCTATTACCTATGTAAAATGATACTGAGTAGGCAAAATGTGGCCATAATTTAATAAACCTTCGTCAACGTCGACGTATGTTCGTATGTATGAAACGACCCAGCCGAACCCGAGTGCGAGTCCAGCTTTTAGAGAACGGACTACATGATTTAGTCATTAGACATTCTTTAAAGAAAAAGTAAATCATAAAAAAAATCTCAACGCCTATAAATATAGCACGTTCAGTACGATTACCATAGACAACAAAAACAATTATGCTTGCGTTCTCTTTTTGCATGGAAGAAATGCACAGTACCACGTACAAGTAGCAATTTGCCTTTTAAATAGGTTCAGGAGTAATCATATTCTTGGCTTTTAGAGCAACGATTAACATGCAAAACATGAACTGGAAAAAAGTAACATCTCAAATTTATCGCTAGTTTCAAGTCTTAATCCGGAGGCATTTAGTAACTGTAGGCATATACGTAATAGCTTAGATAAGTATTCGAAAATATAGTTTACGTAGCCGTAGATTTTTAGAAGATTCTCTTAGTGAAATTCTATGCACAATATGTTAGAAAAAATGTAATGTTGTTCCTCATACCTCACTATTGTAGTTTGTCAAAACCGATTCTTCGGTCGTGACTACAATTGAACGAAAAACCAATAGTTGCCAGAAGATAGAAACAAAGTAGCACAACATCAGCTACAGCCATGGTAGAGACCTGACGCCGCCAGGCCTACACTTGAGAACTTCAGAACCAGCTACTCACCCAAAGGTTTCTTAGACATTTTGAGTGATGATTAGTTTGTATTTGTAAATGAATTACTAAAATTTTCTCATTGATTGCTATTTTTACTTGTACTCCGTTAATTTTGACATGGATCAATTATTGGCCATGACCGACAGGTTTGACTGCTTACTTTTGTAAACAAATGAACTGATTTTAAATGTCGGAACGCGACGTGTCTGTGGCGCCGTCGCAAGGAGATACAGTCAGTTAGGTTTGAACAAAACGGAAGTACAAGCAGAGGTATAGGAGTCATAAGTTTAATTTAAAAAATAAAAAAGAACCAAATCATTTTTGGATGTTCTTCAAATCGAGGTCCAATTCATGTAACATTCCTAGCACTATATACCTATCACTCACTAATACGGCCAGCGACGGTGACTCCATTTGTAATCTGTTTTCTGACTATGTCTCTTCTACTTTTTAACAATGTCCTCAGAACTCGATTGACCTTGATTTATCAAAATTATATTGTCATGAGGCGGGGGCGGATATTTCTAAAATATAAAAAAAAAGATTTAATTCAATTTTTTTTGTAAGACAACGCCCGCATTAGGAACATATTCCTGTGTCGCGGGGAACTTTACAAACACACATGAAACGGACACAAAGAACACCCAGACTTAGAAAAACAATTTGTGGATCACACAAAGTGTCGTCCCATGTGGGGTTTGAAGCCACAACACTCGGCGCAGTAGGAAACGGCGTGGCGACCACTTAAACCACTACGCCATCCGTGCAGTCAGCTCATTAATTGTGTGGACACTATTTCATTACCTATTAGTTTACTTTTAAGAAAATCAATATTTGAGTGCAAGGTGCTTGCTGTGTGGAAGTCAGTTTATATAACGCCGATACATAAAAAGGCTCTAAGATCGAGGTTTAGCAACTATCGTTCTATTTCTAAGTTATGTATTTTAATGATTTTTTTTAAAATAATCGGACGCAACTTTATGCCGCACTAAATAACTTTCTGTGTGAATATCAGTATGGATTTGTTAGAGGACGGTCTGATGCCACTAGTTCGTAACATATCATTGATATGCGGAAGAAACAGTGTGGGTGATAGCACATAGCCTTGCGAGACACCAGCATTTACTGACTTCAAGTCGGAGCATGCACCATAATAACGATAACGACCTTAATGCTTCTACCTGCAAGGAAACTGGTGACCCAGTTACATAATTTCTCGGGAAGCCCATAGGAAGGGAGGACCTGATCGAAGGCCTTCGCTATGTCCAAGCTTACCGCAAATGCCTCTCCCTTGTTCTCGATCGCATCATCAGCTGATCGGGATCGGGTGCACATACGCTACCTTCCAGGAGTTCGGAACTGTTCTTGTTGTTGCCATTTGTTGTTAAGAGTGAGGACCTGTAACTAGCTTAATGTTGCGTATTTTTATGTCATACTGTTGTCGTTGTTGGTCTTTCAAGAAATAAATTAAAACATTTTTAATCTAACGATGCTTTTACTGACAACTGTACAATCAAGGCCATAGCGACGGCGCCTCTGGGCTGGCATCTAGCACTTCACTGGCGCGATGGCGCCTCTCTAGCTTCCATTCCTACTAATGTAATTATGAATGCGAAAATAACCCTCCTGTTTTAACTGCGTTATTAACATACATTTTTAAATTTTCTAAGTGCGCCAACTGTTCCCGTTCATAAACCTTGTTAGAAAAATATTGTAACTCCGCCTAATACTCTGTAATGCCAGTCGATTAAGATGAATAAATCCACAAATCTTCTAAACATTGTTATTGAATCTGAAATTTGAGCCGATTTTAGTCCCAGTAATATAGTAATTCTCTTCGCAACAAAGAGTTGTTTCGTAAGTGTCGCGAGGCTGCCAAGGCGAAAAAATTCAAATACGTGTGGGTCCGAAATGCTACCATCTTGGTCAAGGAAAGGGACGATTCTGCTACCTATGCTATACGTACAGAGGCTGACATACCTAGTAAAATCGTCTGTGCTGTTGCATAAACGATTTAAAATTGTGACAAACATGTCGCGTTCAACAAGCTTCCGCCTTTTAGTTTTATTTTTTTCATATCTTACCATGCAATGGTTCTCAATATTATTTTTTATACGAAGCTTGTTGGATATGCTTATTGTCTTGGAGAGTTGCCGCCGGTCCATGTGTTATTACTGAGATGCTATATTTATGATGTATGTACCTTACTTACTATCCCTGTAACCTATGTGGAAAAAATGATGTCGATTGCGCTAAATGCAATATTTCAATATTTTAAAAATAAATTACTGTTAATAATTAATACTATTGATAGTTCTAATTTAAATAATGGCTAATATATCAATTTATTATCAAAACTGTCGAGGAATCAGGACAAAGATGAACACCTTATATCTGAACATATTGGCGCATGCATACGATGTGATTGTTCTAACGGAGACCTGGCTAACGCCAGACATCTCTGATAACGAATTTATTGATCACCGATACTTAACATTCAGATGTGACCGTAATCGCTTTGTTACAGGCAAAAAAGATGGGGGCGGTGTCCTTATAGCGGTCGCTAGCGACTTAAAGCCGTCCTGTGTTTCGTTATCACCCCTCCTAATGTTACCTGAGCATATAATAGTAAAAATCCCTTCCTCCAATGATGCATATCACATAATATGTGCAACCTATATACCCCCGAATACTGTAGATGAAGTTTACATTAATTTTCTCAATTCTCTTCTGGTAGTATTTGACCATAACCATGCTGACAGTGTTATCTTGACTGGCGATTTCAACATGCCCCATCTCAATTGGGTTCAAAATTATTCCTATATGGAATGTACTCCCCTCAATAACGTATCTCGTCAATTTTTATACTTCTGTTCACAGTTAAATTTAAGACAATATAATAATCTGATCAACTCTAAAAATCACTTATTAGACTTATTTTGTTGCAACAAACACTGTGTCGTACATAACGCCGACATTCCTTTTGTACCTATAGACAACAGTCACCCAGCTTTTTATGCACACATACCACTTATTAATCCCGTATCTACGCGTATTTCAGCATATAAAGTACAGAATCCATTAAACTTTTATAAAGCTAATTAAGAAAATATAAACAAAGATATAGGGGATGCTGATTGGAACAGTCTGCTTGAAACATTAGCACCCAATGAGGCAGTCTCTATGTTTTACGAAAAACTATATGCAATAATTAGAACACACACTCCGGCACGTAAAAATAGAGATATAAAATTTCCTATCTGGTTTTCAAAAACGCTAATTCGTATTTACAAAAACAAAACATCTGCATGGATAAAGTGGAAAAAATATGGGCATGTCAGGGACTATGAAACGTTTTCTATCAATAGACACAAATTTAAACAAGTTGCAGATAAATGCCTTAAAACTTACATTAACTCAGTTGAAGATAGCATTGAAACAAACATCAAATCTTTCTGGTCATACGTCTCCAATCGTAAATCCTCAAATAAAATACCCTGCTCAATCCATTATAAACAAATCCTTGCTAATGATCCTATCGAAATATGTAACTTATTTTCCAATTTCTTTCACTCAGTACATGAACCCTCCACATTGAACCTTGATACATGGGAACCACCTCCTTTAAGCTCTGATCATGATATTAACTTATCCAATTTACACTTCTCTTTAGAGAATATACGTAGTGAACTGAAATTGCTCGATCCAACCAAGGGGCCTGGTCCTGATGGTATTCCTGCAATATTTTAAAAAAATACGTATAACACCATATGTTACCCTATTTTCATTCTCTTTAACAAATGTCTCTCACATGGAGTTTTTCCTAACACATGGAAACGTGCAAATATTATCCCGGTTCACAAAAGTGGATCCAAAAATGATGTGGAGACCTACCGCCCGATCTCTATATTGTCGGCATTCTCCAAACTTTTTGAGAAGCTTGTTCATAATGAGATTTACCCAATTATCCGGCGGGTTATTATAAATGAACAGCATGGTTTTTCAAGGACAGATCGTGTATTAGCAACCTTCTAATATTTTCGACTTACCTATTTGAGGGTATTGATAATAGGCGACAGATTGACGCGGTATATACTGATTTCCAAAAGGCTTTTGATAAAGTTGACCATAAAATGTTGCTCAATAAAATTGCATACAACGGTATCAGAGGGGACTTACTTCGATGGTTTATCTCTTATATAACAAACAGGACACAAAAGGTTGTAATTAATGGCTTTGAGTCCAGCTCCATCCGGGTTACCTCGGGAGTCCCGCAAGGCTCAATTTTAGGCCCTTTGTTATTTATCTTATTCATAAATGACATTAAAGACTGTTTCAAACACTCTAAATTTCTTCTATACGCTGACGATTTAAAGGTCTTTAAAACCATTACTAGTGAGCTTGACTGTTTGGAACTTCAACATGATCTTGACCGCTTTTCTAGATATTGCTCTGCTAACAAACTACATCTTAGCCTGCCTAAGTGCCATAGTATAACATTTACAAAAAAAAAAAAAAATTGGCTTTAACTACAGACTGGATAACAGCGTCATCAATAAAGTTACGTGTCTCCGAGACCTGGGTGTGTATCTTGACTCAGGACTTCATCTGGATGCACATGTGGAAAATATTATCAATAAGGCCTACCGAATGTTTGGATTCGTAATGAGGGCAACTCGCGACTTTCACCGTCCCTCCACTTTCGTATATTTATATAAATCTATAATCAGGCCACAATCGGAATACGCAGTACCTATCTGGAATCCGTACTATACAAAATATAACGATGCTATAGAGTTGATCCAACGTAGGTACTTTCGTGCTATACAATATAGATGTTTTAGTAAAAAAATATCGTACCAACAACTCCTTAAGAAATACGATATGTTGACATTGAAATCCAGACGTATTCTCCTTGACTCTATGACTCTTTTTAGTGTATGCCGCAACAAATTTGATTGCCCTGACTTGGTGAATTGTTTGTGCTACCTGGTTCCTCGAACAGTCCATGGGCGGGGTGTGCGAGCCAGACACCTATTTGCGACTAGACGCTGTAAAACGAATTCTGGTCTGCGTTCGCCTCTTTACCGTTTAGTTGACACATACAATAAGCATTTTAGTGCAATCGATATATTACATGTTAGTAGGATTAAATTTAAAAGAGACATAATAGCGGTACTAAAGGATCGGCAGTAGGCAATAAAAGTTAATTTTGATTTATCTATTGTATGTTTAAGTGAAACTTTATTTGTCTCAGTTACCAACGTTTTCTTTTGAGTAACCGCTTTTCTTATTGATTAAACTGCGGCGGCAGCAGCAGCTCATGTCTGCTAACAATGGAATTATTTTATAAGGTAATCTGTGGAAAATGTAGTGGGTAGTATATTAGTTAAGTTTAGTTACAAAGATTTCATATGTATACTCATTATAATATTGTTTGTTTTCCCAAATAAATAAATAAATAAATAAAAGTAAAATGTATTTATAACTTAAATCCTTTGAAGAAGTCTACTTCCTAAGACCTCTCAAACGCATTTATAGCTTGGTCTGTCTTGAATCTAAAATGTATACTATATACACAACCAAACCTTTATATTCATACACGAATAAAAACAATTGTTTAAAGGAGAAAGCTGTGAGTGTAGTGGTGTCATCTATAGAATATCTCTGTATAGCGCCTACGTGCGGGAACCATGAGTGCCTGGCGAGGGAGGGCTAGGAGGAGCGCGTGGCTCAGCTGTGCGCTGATGGAAGTGTAACGAACTGAACTAACGCTTCAACTTCTACCGAAATAGAACAACTCGTACTGTAGTGAATGTAAGTTCCTTTATATTATTCAGTAAGTATACTCCTTTACAACGATGTCTCAACTGTCTCAATTTATTGCTTATGTTGCGCTTTGGAATTACACTATGTATTTCTTTAAGTTTTATATTAATATAATTGTCGAAACCAACGAGAACAGCCCTTTTATTTAACCGAGCCTCCATACATCCCATACGATACGTGTAAGAATTACTTCAGAAACTCTCTTTTTTATGAAAGGGACAAGATCGGGAAGAGCCCGGACAGACGCGTCTCCTGATGACAATTAACCACTGGGGCCAATGGACACCTGCGACTCAATAGACAGAACACACAAGTTTCGTTACCGCACTCAGTGAAAGGTAACGTAATAACTGTAAGTTGGCGGTAGTGCAACAGTGGTAACACGCCGGTCGAGCCGTCTCATGTGCCTAAGCGCGGCTCTCACACGTTTACTTACATCTTCATATTTATCTTCAAACAACGCATTCTGAAAACTTATTTTTTTTCACTAGTTTTCGAGTGTTCGTGTAAAATGTACACCGACAGTGAAAAAAAGAATTGAGTAATAAAAATTGTTATTATTAAAAAGGTCGGTAGTAAAACCTTATAATACATTTCCCTGCACATAATATACAATTCTGCGGGAATTTAAATAACTAAATAATTTTTAATTTGAATTTCTCTAAATCCCTCAGCCAGCATCGGAATCCTAGGCATCGACATATTGAGCGAAGTCCAGTTTCGGGGTCACTTAGAGGGTAAGGTCAAATTGGCCTCGAAGAAGCTCGGTGTGCTGAAGAGATCGAGGCAGTATTTCTCTTAGGCCCACCGCCTTCAGCTCTATAAAGCGCAAGTCCGGCCGCATATGGAATACTGTTCTTACCTTTATGAAATAAGCGTACTCCTTCCTAAAAGGCCGGCAACGAGTTTGTGACTCCTGAGTTGCAGACGTTCATGGGCGGCGATGGTCACTTTCCATCAGGTGACCCGTCTGCTCGTCTGCCTCTCTGACATAAACAAAAACAAAGTATTATTTAAATGCGTGAAGATGAATAAACATACAAAAGTCAAAAAATATAAAAGTAAACACCTACGGGGAAGGACGAAGGTACTTGTGAAGTCACAGGTTTGCGAGGCTACGACGCTTCGGTGTCAGAGCGAAGGAACTCATTTATCACCGTAATCCTGTGCACTTGAGCGTCGGCCACAAAAGACGCGAACCAGAAAATTGAATAAGGCACACGCACCACTGCGCGCTGATTGAACGACGCGTTATCGCGCGGGACACGCGGAGACACTGGCCATCGTCACTGCAGTGCTCCGTCGAGGCTGGCACAGTGACTACGGCAGGCACAGTGCGGTGCGCGGCCAACACCATGCAAGACGCCGCGCCCGCCGGTAGCGCCGTCGCCTTCGCTCTCATCTATCTCACGTTCTTCCTCGACAACGTGCTGCTCACTGTTCTCGGTATGCAAATCTCGGAATGTAGTTGCATCGAGAGCGAAGTGCATATACTTACTACGAAAATAACCTGATTAAAATATTAAATTAGTTCCGTTAATTTATTAAGTGAACTAATTTGTACAACACATTCAGCGGTTGGATGTAGCGCACCAACATGTCATTACTATCTTCGCAAAAGATATGTTTCATGAAATAATAGTAATAGATCTTGGTGATGGTTTTAAATACTTACTAATAAGTATAACCTTAAGAAATCTCATCTTTAAAATTTAAAAGGTCGACAGTAAGACTAGGATTTGTGCGGTGACATAAAATCAACTGTGACGGTGTTCAGACACAACTCATTTTTTTTAAATTTTCTAGTAACTTTTTATGCGCAATTAGGGACACTAAAGTATAGTCCTATATATTTTTTTTCTTATTTAAATCGCAGATTTCGCCAAATAATCGCTCGAAATAAATTCGTTACTAAAGCAAAATCAACCGAATCTCCTAAATGTTACATTTTTGTACTAAACGTTCTTTAACCCGAAAGTACGTTTAGTAGTCCTCATTATTGCCACTTCCTCTGATGACTAAGAAACTGTTTATGCATTACCGTGGACTACGTGGACCGTGTGGTGTGCTGTTTCTCCTAAGAATGATGGTGTTTATGATTTGTCAGTACCGATCATCCCCGACTGGATCCGTGGCGAGTCCGTGGCGCTGTGGGCGGAGCGGGACGCGCCGCTCGCCGGTCTTCTCAACCACACCGTGCATCGCATCACGCACGAACACCACGACGCCAACGGTACTCTCCACGAGTAAAACTCTTCTGCGCCATAACAATATAAGTACCAGTAGAATATGTGGAGGACAGTTGACTTTTGTTACACAGCTCTGAGCGGTGTTCATACTTAGTCAAAGCATTCATTTCAGAGAGAGTGAGAGATTGTCTTTATTTGCGTCGCCTGTATATTCGTTACATGACTTATAAAAGCAATTTCATTTATTTTTTATAATTTGTGTTAAAATGATAAACGTAACTTGTTGTGTAAGGTATCAGGTCGGGTGGCTCCCAGGCTGTGGTGGGGCTGGTGCTGGGCGCGAAGGCGGCGGCGCAGCTGGTGACGGCCCCGCTGGCGGGCGCGGCCGTCTCCCGCCGCGGCGCCGCGCCCGTGCTCAGGGCGGCCACCGCGGCTCTCGCGTTAGCGGCCCTCGGTGAGTACTTGCGTACATCTTGCACAATTCACAGTAAGTCCGATATGTGTTCCAGATACATGCGCCAGTTGCTACTTAGCCATTTTTAGAATTCCGAACACTTACCTATAGTTTGAGTGATATTCTGTTCTCGTCTGTCTATATTAGTGTGGGTTATCGTGGTATATTTTTTCAAAAATATTAATAGACTACGAGGACTTTTTTGCGCTTCGATATCCAATGATTGCTTTGTGTCATATTAAATGATCATTTATCATTTACTTTCTCGTCCGTCTGTCCGTCTGTCCGTGTGCCACCACCGATTTTCTCAGAACGGGGAGACCTAGCCAGTTAAAATTTATACCAGATACTGAGGTCTATGGTCCCTATTAGTTGTATAAAAATCAAGGTCCTGAGTCAACACGCTAAAAAGATATAGGCAAATTTCGATTTTCGCGAAGACTTGTAAATACCAAAATTTACCTTCATTTCCAACTTTTTTTATTTTTCGGAATTTTCTCTTTACTTGTGGTGTAAGCCCTTGCTTTCAACCAAAATTGACAATTCTAGGTCAACCGGAAGTACCCTATAGGTTTTGGGTCGAAAAACTACTTGGCAAAAAGAAACGTCTTACAGCACAAATAAAGGAATAATTCCAAAAAATTAAATGTTGAAAATTAAGATAAATTTTGGTACTTAGAAATTTTCGCGAAAATCTACGTAAAGTCACCCAGACTTTACGTAGATTTTCGCGAAAAAGAACCGGTCAGGTACGAGTCCGAGTAGCTACGAGGGTTCCGTAGCTACCCAGCTACGGAACCCTCGGCGCACGAGTTCGACTCGTACCTGACCGGTTCTTTTTTATTGAAGAGTTACGCAAAGTAAATTTGCTCACAAATCTTGCATATTTATAACCACTATAAGGTTCTTGAAATAAATATTCACATATATTAAAAATTATGCATCACATATATTAATTACCTTAAAAGGATTCAATTATATCTAATTTCATTTAAAAGAAATATGTCGGTAGGTGTTCAATATGAATAATATGCAATAGTTTTGTTTAAGTCCGATGGATGGCGTTGTGTTAATTTACTAAATCGTGATATTGTGAAACCACGGGCTATACAACCACGGGTATATACAACGACTAAGTTAATAAAATTGTCCTCGCTTGGGCGTGTGTTTCATTTCTAAACACGGTTCTTAAGGCGATTTTTGGGAATGCGGTCCGTTTTGGTTCTTTCCTTAACGGTAAACAAAAAATAAGTGTTTGAGGACATGACATGACAGAAGTACATGCCATGTATACCGACTTCTCAAAGGCATTTGACGTGGTTGATCATGCCCTTCTAATACAAAAGTTGTCTCGCGCTGGCATCTGTGGCTTATTACTGAGATGGTGCAAGTCTTACCTTAGAAATAGATCACAGCTAGTTAAAATTAGAGGTTTTAAATCTGTAACCAGAACAGTTCCCTCCGGTGTGCCCCAGGGCTCTCACTTGGGACCACTTTTCTTTTTAATCTATATAAATGACCTGTGCTTGCCATAGCATCCAGTTACCATATGTTCGCAGACAATTTACCGACTTATCAACAATATCACGATGTAAATTCTCTTCAAAATGACGTCAGTGCTATAAACCAGTGGTGCTCTATAAACGGAATGGCAATAAACACATTTAAATGATTTCTCCGCTACATACTATATAAATAACATTAAAATCACTGTAAGTATCGAACATACAGCATCTGGGTATTGTGGTTGATACTAAATTGGATTTTTGAGATCATATAGACAACATCATAAACAAAAGCGCACGTTTAACTGGATTTGTCATACGACAAACTAGGTTCTTTAAAGACTGAGATTCCGTTAATTCTTAAAAGTGTTATGTATGTGAGATCAGTACTTGACTACTGCTGTCAGGCATGGAGGCCATCATACGCAGTACACATTTTACGATTGGAAGAGCTTCAAAATAATTTTTAGTACCATCTATCATACGCCCATAACTTTACCCATAAACGAACGAAACGAACGAACGAAAACGACCTATGAATCCAGACTAGCATATTTCAATCTTATTTCACTGGAGCGTAGATAAAATATTGCAGACATAGTTTATTTGTACAAACTACTCAATAGAAAAGTAGACAGCCCTTCCCTACTCGAAAAATGGAATTCGGCTGTTCCAAGTCTAGGTAGCCGTATTATTAACAGAAAAACTTTTAGCTTACCTTTCTGCCGCACTAGGTAATCAATGTAAACAGATTACAAGCCTGATGAGCCCGGTCAGACGGTCGGTGGTGGCGTGGATGGATGACCGTGGTCAATATAATTTGATGAGTAGTGGCGGCGCAGGGTTGTCGGTGTGCAGCGGGTGCGCGGGCGCTGCGGCGGCGCTGTGCGTGGGCGGCGCGCGCGCGACGCACGGCGCAGGCGCGGCGCTGGGCGGCGTCGCGGGGCTGGCGCTGGCCGCGCGCGCTCTGCCCGCCCACAGCCGCCACCGCGGCATCGGCGCACTGCTCGGGGCCGTCGCTCTGGGTGTGTGACTCGACCGCCGCGTACCTATGTGCGACACGCTCGTCCGTCTCTCCGAGGAGTGACGCTACGCACATGTTGCAGGTGTGCTCGTGGGGTATCCGTTCGGCGGCGCTACGTACGCGCTGTGGAGTCGCGGGGCGCCGTTCCTCTTCCTCGCCGCGGCTCTGCTCGCCGACCTCGGTATGGCGCTCGCGGCGTACCCTTTTGCTTTCTGTTGTCATTATGAATCGTAATTTATCGTTGTACGCTTAGATCTTTAAACTAAGCGACGGATTGTAATGCAGTTTGCACCAATAGAGAGGACTATACCATATGTATATGGACAATACAAAGGAATGTATAAAACATGCATTTTATAGTAGAGACAAACCGAGAATTTTAAAGATTTTAAGCCAAGCTAATTATCCTTATCATTATCCTTAGGAGATAGACATATGCCATCGGCGTTTGACTTTTTTGTAGATATTTTTAAGATATACAATTTCGTAGTAAGTACATTATTTTAAGAACAAAATAATGTACTACGAATTGTTAAACAAAATGTAGACAGGTCGCGGGCAATGCTACTTACTGCAACAATGCCCCAAACTAGCATATTTCGCTGTCACTGGCGACGGGCACATTCCCAGAGCTGTCTTTGATGTAAAGCTCGATCTGCGAGGTCGCCTCAGAAGTCTGTTAACCCCTCAGAAAGCATCTGTGCTTCTGAAACTGATTTAACTAACTAGTGATATATTATTTAAACAGAACCAATCAATAATAATAATAACTAAACCTCATCAAAACCAGTGAACCTCATCTGATAGTAATTGGCATCAGGAAGACTATATCGTGAATCAGCGGAGATGAACTCGTGCTGCATGATTCGTGTTTAAGTTTTAAAAACAAGTGTTTTCAAAGTGAACCCTTAATCTTGAGAATGACAAGATCTCACAACACGGAAACTTTTAAGTCTTCTCAGAACCCATGATGATGACTCTAATTGAAAAGTGTGCTTGTGCTTTTAGCGCTGCAGTACATGTTCCTGGACACTGAGGAATACAATCGGGTGAGTGGGCCACACCACTTTTATCTTGATCGAGGTCGTGGGCACCAGGTAGCATTATTACAAATGTAATAAGCAGCCTATAAACATTATAGATATGTAATTAAGTATTTGGATTCAAAAATGTGTTTTCATGTGTGTGTCGTAACATCCTAAACCTTTCATATAAGTATACGGTAGACGTTATTGTTCAACGGTGCTGAATACCTACTGACAGGTTACGAGATGTGGAAAAGCACACTTCTCTCATCTGTCCTTCATCTCTACAGCCACTTTCGGATGGCTACGTGGACGGCCCCGTGTCCCCAGTGGGTATGCTGGAGGTGGCTCAACGGGGCGCGACCGCAGCTTGCGCAGGTTGTGTGCTTCTCACCACCTGTGTGATGGCGGCGCTCGAGCCTTGTCTACCGCTGTGGCTCGAGAAAAAGTTTCATCCTGCGCGCTGGCAAACCGGCGTCGTGTTCGTGCCAGACAGCGTCGGGTACCTACTCGCAGCGAGCGGAGGAGGTCTCGCCAGGAGAATTGGTGCTGAACGCGTAGCGCTCACTGGACAGGTATCAAGCTCTAGCAATCTAAACGGTTTCTGGGTGGTACTCATAACTTGTCACACAGAACCACGCGTTTGTGGCTCCTGAGTTGCAGACGTTCAGGGACGGCGATAGACACTTTCCATCAGGTGAGCCGTCTGCTCGTCTGCCCCCTCTAACATAAAAAAACCTAACATCCCTGATGCTAATGTTGAATTTGATAACGTTTATTGCTTCTTAAGTGCCGAAAATATTTGCATGGTGCAGTTGTTGTCGCGAACATAGTTATGCCCTAGCAAAATTAAGTATGCGGTGGCAACTCAAAAACGCTTCACAACAAACATACGTTTATATCCATTCGCGAGTGAGATATTTTTTTACTGGTAAACAAGTATTTTTTGAAGATGTCGATTTCATCTACCAATTTATCACAAACAACGCTGCGTATTTACCTACCTTGTAATTTTAGATCTCAAAAGGGATACTACGTACATGCATCGACAGACCGCGCGGTGTGTGTGCAGGTGGCGGTAGGCGCGGCGGCTCTGAGCGTGCCGCTGGCGCGGTCGGTGGTGGGGTTGGCGCTGCCGCACCTGGTGCTGGGCCTAGGGCTGGGAGCGGCAGACGCAGCGCTGGTGCCCGCGCTGCTGGCGCGCGGTGGACGTCGTGCGCCAGCGCTGGCCGCGCTATTGCAAGCGGCGAGCGCAGCGGCCTACGCGCTGGGCCCGGTGCTGGGGGGGCTGTTGGCCGCTGCGGCCGGCTTCGAGGCCGCGCTGCGCACCGCTGCCGCGCTCAATCTGCTGTACGCTGCCTATCTTTACACGCGACTGTGCGCATACCCGATATCGGAACAGGTTCGTGTAATACACTAAACAACATTAGGTAAGTATAAGAAGCGTTTCCAATCTCGGAGGGATATTATTCGTTTATCATCCAGACACGAAAGAGAGATTATACATCTAGTTTTTGGATATGCCGTTCATTAGTGATGACACCTAATCCTTGTGTTCTCTAATTTCTGGTTCCCCCTTACCGTGTAGCGTATGGGAGCAAACAAGCAGACGGGTCACCTGACGGTAAGTGACTGCCACCGTCTATGGACGCCTACAGCGCTAGAGACACAAATACGTTGCCGCCCTTTGCTGTCCCTAAAATTAGAGCGTAGGGCCTCCGGTTTCGTCAATGACTCGGTGATAAGCAACGAAGGAATTGCTTAACATGGGTCTACCGTGAGGCCGTTGCGTCACTCCGGTCAAGCCGGCCTCTGGCTCTGCCACTCTATTTACTCATCATCATCATCAACAGCCTTAAACAGGCCACTGCTGGACATATGCCTTTTCTTGAAGTGACAGATCCAATTTTGTACAGTTAAAATACATCTTTTTTCGCAGAATAGAAGCCTGGTTATCCATAACACATGTACTTTTTGTTATTTTTTATGATAGAGGAGGCAGACGAGCAGGTTTAGTTTGGAAACCAGTCCCCCACTATTGTGTTATAAATAACATTGTACATGTGTTTATATGGTAATTTATTTATTTATTTAATTCACCAACAGTCATAGTATAAATTCATTCTTGTCCCTATTTCTTGTTACATGATTATTTGTTACAATTTTATTTTATTTTGCAGTGGGGCGCCAGCTCAGACGGAGCGCTGGACAGTGACGATGACACCAGCGATGACATCCCGCACACGGAGATGACTCCGCTTGCGCCGCTCGCCCAGCTCAAGTCCGCACAATACAAACCACACGAGTAAACTTAGACTTTCCGGCTACTGCTCCTTGAAAACCCGAGACCAGATTGCAGTATCTCTAGATAATGAGATCCCTTTACAGTTATTAAAATGTTTACAATATAAAAATCTATTACTTTGTGACCTTTCTTTCAACAAAAACAAACACTAAATTAAAACATCAACTAAACTAAAACTGTAACTATCAGTTACATCTCTATAACGTGTTTAATGTACTAGAGACATATACACAGACATAGAGACTATGTGGATATCTCTCTGATGTGTGCTTCATACAACATCTTTTGTTTTAAGTAACCAATAAATATTCAGTTAATTGTTAAAAATAAAAAAGCGATAAGTATGTTACTTGTCAATATACCAGTCCTTCACTGGCAAGGTAACGTTTTACTTTAAATTACACTAAACAGAAGTGAATAGAATTTACTTTTATACTTGTATTCATTGATAATTCATATTTATGTGATAAAATTTATGTACATAATATAACGTTAAAAAGTCGTAATAACTAATTATTGTTAGGAATTTAATATAAAAGCTTTTGTAAGTGCCGAACTTTTCAAAATTTAAGAGTGAGAACAAAACGCAACATATTTGTCAAATGTGTTCATCGTGACGACTATTTAGGGAAGGACGTGACTGAGCTACGTGAAAGATCAATTCGCTGATATCGATTATACTATTATTTTACATAAAATGTTAAGTTAGGTTGTGTATATATATCAAAAACTTGAAAAGTTCTGCACGGCTTAAGATCAAATTTTAACACTGAGTACAACACGCTTCAGAGATTGTTTTTATCTATTTTTCGTCATTCTCTTTCTCATCAATGCAACCACAATGTGAAACAGCGAAGCGCAGCATGGTACAGATAGTAAATTCTAAACGAAGACTAAGTATTGGCATGCCATGTCAAAATTCAAAATATATATGACTACAATTTCTTAAATTAACTTTTATAAAAGATGCTTCAATTGCTATAAAAATGAATTGCTAATTATTTTAAAAATATTTTCTTGACATTAGACCGCCGTGTCCATGTCATTCCTTCCACTAAATATATTCATTTCTCTCTCTCATCTCATCTGTTTTTCAGACTTTCCTTAAAAAACAATAATTTATTGCTTTATTTGGTTTTCATTGAACTACAATACAAACAAATCTATTAATGTACACTGATTGTAAATATACAATCGATTTTCACTTTAAATATGCATCGATTTCGGGAATCGATCTAAGAATTGCAGGCGCCACACTATCCCTTAATTCGTTTGTTACACTTGTTTAGTCATGTCATCATCAGTGGTGGTGAGTGGTGAATCGATGCGATTGATTTGATTCGTTGTGCGATAATAAAGAGAGGGAGACTGCGTGGAGACAAGCGCTAAAGAGCGCCCGGTGCCGCCGGTGGGGCATGTAGCTGCCACTCGCAGTCCGCCCGCCGACCGCACGCCGGTGTCCGACTCGACACCCTCGACACGGCGCTACCTGACACACGCCTCTACCCGGCGACCGCTGACCGCTGACCGCTGACCAGTGAGCCCCGCGCACCACAACAATATTATTTTCATTATGGTGAGTATTCCTTGGTGTATTAAAGTTTTTGTTCTCGTACGCGTACTCTAACTGACACGTCTCTACCGATACCTTCCAGTTCTGTACTGAATTACAACACCGTAACTGTCTGTGATAAAGTTAACTCAAGTGTCATATATAGCAAAATCTATTATTTGTTATGTGGAATAATAAGGTGAACATATTTTATTTGGTGTTGATTGTGGCGATGGAGCGTTTTGTGGGCGGCGCACTTCACATACACGTTTGATAAACAGAGTGTTGTAACTGGCAGTGTTCTGTACACAATATTATCAATATTAATAATTGGTAATTAAGACACATGTTGACCTGAACATAAACAAAAAGTGAGAGTTTTTGTGCACACAAACACAAGTTGTGCATTGTGTGTGTGTGTAAGAGTTGGTTCTATTCACTGAGAAAAAAAAAATAAGTATCTTACTTAAGCTCAACATAACTAGTTTATCGATGGCAATGGATTTGTTGTTAATTGAATGGTAATCCAAGAATAAATTAAATGTTCTGATTCACATGACACCCCAGGTCTTATTTTATAACAAATTGTAATTTAATAATGTATTGGCTGTTGATTCCACTCAATTTGAACCAAAGTAATGCTGAGCGGCACTGACTTTGTGCACATGCATACATTTCAAGCAGCAATACTTAGTCAGGGAATGCAACAATTAAAATGCAGTGTGCTGAGACAGTACACAGACAATGGCACTGTTGACGATGGTTGATTGTATTGTCTCACCCAACTCGCCCCACATACGCATTAGTTATCAAATGTGCACACGTATTGTAATGTGATACACGGTCAACCCACTGGTCTGCTCTGCACTGGCAACAACAACAACAGATGGCCATAGCCCTGATAGCAGTGAGGGCATTTATTGTACAGTACAGCTGTGAAGATACAATTCAATGCCATACTGTGTATGTATTGCTAAATATTATTATATAATAATAGTAGAGTCAATTGCTTATCTTCCTCAATATTGTAATAGTCACTTGAGGAAATACCTTACCAAAGAGAGGTGATTAAAATGCTGATATGGTGCGTGAGCTTGTTCAAACAAAGTGAGGATGTTGATCCTAACAAAAATAATGCTTATTTAATATTTGTGTCTCCAGTTGATATTGGAAATGAGTTTGTTTATTTGTTTCCCTATTACTCCTGAATTACTGTCAAAGACATAGGTTATGTAACATTCTGAAATTTATAAAATTGATCACTTTACGTGAGCAAAGCCACAGACATAATGGGCAAAGAACATAATTTTATTTTTCCAACTAGAATCTTAAAGATTATTTGAAAAACAAACCAGTTGGCTGGTGATAACCACCATGGCTGACTAGAGTCAGGCCATGCCCACTTTGCACTTGTAAAACCCGCCAGTACATGGGTGCTTCGTCTCACACAATCTGTCAATCACTGCGTCCTTCTTCTCGAGTCGTTCTCTCTTACCGTAATATACGTAATAGAATATTACTTAATAAAGAAGAGGGCTAAAAGATGTTGCATCGTATGTGTCTGCTTAAATAATAATAAGAATCCAAACCTCACGTTTTTCCACTTCCAAAGTTAATGAAAAGGTAAAAAATGCAAATATAACTATAAATATAGTAATTAGACAGCTACCTACCAAATTCGACCTTGTTGTTGACCTTTGGTACCACGGACTTACTAAATCTACAGATTGGGTGGGTACGTAGCAGCATTATAATTATTAAGACAATATTTTATTCCTACAAAAAAAATATCTGCCATTTTAAATAGGTACCTAACAGTTCTTTTAAGTTAGGGGTAATGTAAATAAACCTCTAAGTAGTAAGTGGTTGATTTATTTGAAATTAATTAAATTTTTCTTACAAAAGACAACTCTAACGTAAAACTCGTTAGAACATATAACAGCTATGCGATAGAACTGAGCGAAAGAATAGAGAGGCAACATCTAGTTAAATATGACAGTAGGTATATACTCGTAAGCGTTGAGCGATCTGAGTTGCACCTTGATGTATCGGATCAAGAGTCGCTATTTATTTAAATAATTTTGCGGAAAGCTCTGTGGACTATTACTTAACTCTTTCCGTGCATTTAAGAGTTTGTGAAAAACTATTTTTCGTCACGTATGGCTCGGCTCGACTGGAGTGATACGCGCCGGCCTCACAGAACATTGTATGTGGAGTTCGGAACCCCGAACCCTAATTATGGGGGGAGGGGAAGTGGTAGCACTAAAAGGGCGACCATGCACTTGTGTCTCTCGAGTTGCAGGTGTGTGTGAGCCATCTTCTCGTATTTTCTTTACCGTAAAGATATCCCAAGAATATGTGTTGTTGATTCAATACTACTGTAATAGTGACACGCTGTCCACTCAAAGTTTTACACGAGCATATTTATAGATAGATAAATAACTCTTGATTAAACAAGAAAAAAAAAGACATAATTATAGAACAGTTTTTATACATTTGAATGAGTCTTATAATCTAGCGACAGTTACACAAGTGATTTATGTGTGTTAGGGCTCTATGTTCAATATACCGCGGGAGAGCCATGCTCACATGGGTCAGGCACAACTGGAGTGATACCACGGCTTTACAGAAAACCCATGTAAAGTGTCCCTTTCTAAAAACGCAAGGTGAAACCGTGGTAGTCGCTTACCATCAGGTGAGCCACTAAAAGGTGAGCCCAGCTCGTTTGCCCCCTACAACACAAAAAATTATATTTGAAAGATTAAAGCTCACGACTTTAGTTATTTGAGAACAAGGTACGAATGGAATGTATTTCATTGCTAGCTTTTGCACATAACTTTTATCCTAATGGAAGGCACCCTAGTTGTTGTGCGTACCCCTGACAAAGTGGCTGTACAATTTCATGGTGATTGCTTGAGGAGATACGGCTTCAAGCTTCACAAACAGACATATAGTTGCTTAATTGATATTACAGTAAGGGTTGTTTCGTAAATCAGCGAGTTGTTGCGTGCATATCAAGTTTGCACTGCACTTGTTGACATTTGGTTTGTTGACGTCTCAAGGAGAATTATATTAACACTAGCTGGTACCCGGGACTTCGTTCGCGTGGTCGCTGAAACGCGCTGCCGTAGTGGTGTACTACTACTGTACGCGACTGCAGTATTTAAGCTATTTTTAGGCATAGGTATCGTGCAAATAACTCTGTGTGCATGAAAAAAACCTGTTATTTTGACATTACAAACAGACACTTCGATTTTATTTATTTGAATAGATGTACCCGCAACCTCCTTTGCGTACACAATATTTTATACTTCGAGTGGTCTATATTTCGTCCAAGCTCTCAACAATCTCTGTAATTATTAAGTAATTATAAATATATTCAAATAGTGGTAGTCTCAGCAGTAGTAACAGCATGGCTTAATACAATAATCCTACATACATAATCGCTTCAATAAGCCTGTGAATGGCTCACCTGACCAACCTTATCTTGACGTATAAAGGACCGTCCCGGAGTCTAAATTCGGAAACCTGAGCCCACCACAAATACCAATAATGTTACTGCAGCATTGCTGTATTTTCCACCTTCTGTGGGTTGTATGCTCTTAAGCACCAGCTCCACGTGTCATCTAGTTACCGGGGTGAATACAAGGTGGTATGTCGAATCGTCTGAAACCACATGCACCGTTTAGTTTGGTGATAAAAAGTAGCCTGTGTCGTAATTCGTGGTCTGATCTTAAACCACTACCCATTTATAAGCGCGAAACTAGTTTTAAGTGTAGATCAAAGCTTAAGTATCGATTAAGAAGTTATCGATTATCGATCGAACTTATTATAGAACGCGTTTTAAGTTTTACTCAGTTAAAACTAGTTTCAAGTATTGATTTGAATTAACAGGCTGTTCATGATTGACATTATTATTCCATATTACGCAGCTAATTATTTAAAAATAATTTTCATTTACAAACAGAATTTCTGTGAATTTGTATGTAGTATACTATTGGCTAGTGTAGCAATGTTAACATATTAACAAGCTTGTTGTTCGTCCAAAATTTAATATAATAAATATAAAAATAAAAATGTTTAGATATAGGCTATATATATAAGAACGTTCAAGTTATTTATCAACACTTGTCATGTTTAAATGTCAACCAATGTTTTTAGTTTCATATTTCTAAACTTTATATTATTAGAATAATATTATACTTTTAACATAAACCAAAAGGTTGTGTTGATTTTAATTTAAACAAGTATTGTGTGTGTAAAATGTGAATTTCAGTGAATTTAATATCAATTAAGGTAAATTAAAATAAATTGATTATAGTACGACAAGTAATTCTTAAGTAAACAAAGTAAATCTTTCGTAATTATTCAGAAACAAATCATCATGACACACATTAACTTCCCCTGAAAAGCCCTACAAATCACCGCTTGAGACTAGTTTCAACTTGTCTCACGTAAACACAGATCACATCTGTCAAAATCTATACCTGAGTAAAGATTTTGACCTGAACATCGTTCTAAAATAAGCTATCACTTACTTGAGTATGGATCGTTGAATCTAGTTTTAAGTGACGTTCAATAGTAAAATCTCTACTTAAAATTAGTTTAAAGACTAAATTCACGACTGAGACACCTTTTAAAATACGGGCCGAAGAGTAGACTTCGTCTCTCTGTCTGGACCTTTACACAGAATCAGAATAGATCAAAGGCCTCCACCGTGGTCTGTACTGTCTGCTATCGATCGATACCAGTCCGATAGACATTGAAAAGCCTTGCACCATTGTTAATTAAATGGTAACATATCAATCAGACGAGTCGTTAACTAACAATTGCTTTAGGTGAGGACTATTGTAGCACAGTCTAGTTCGTTAGAGGTGAGCCGAATCACCGAGATTGTATTTACTTTCGGCGTTATTGTAATGTACAATAAACTGTAATATATTTATCTGACTGCTGCAATTAAATCTCATAATATTTTAGTACTCCGCGGCTCCGGCGTCTCGCGCGAGGCTGCACACGGTTGGCCTTTAGCGTGGCTACTTCCGCCATCACACATTTGAGAGATTGTCCGAAAAACAGTTTCAAGTATCGTTTCCGGTTCCCGTTCACAACTCAATATAATATGATATGATGGAAGTTCAATCATAAGATGAACTTGTGTGTGGCCCACAATATTCAGGACAGCGTTTTAAAGCGTGGTCTTTAGGGATGTTCGATTCCCACGGCACCGTGAGTTCTACTAGTACTACACGCTTGATTGACATTGCATAATTAAATATGTCTGGTCTGGACGCCGAGGCACAGATATCCTCCGGTATTCTGTAATGGTTTTCATACGTGTCCACTAATAATGTGCAGTCACTGGTGGTATTTATAATGGAGTACGGCTTTTGTGAAGTGTTTTTGTTTAGCCTTCTTTTACAAATGCGACGTTAGTTCCTATGTGTGGTGTTATTTCTTTTTCGCTCTCGCCAGCGATAAACTCATATCAATCGCGTATGATTTGTAATACCCTATCATACGTGAATAATGACCCTGGTCTAAAGCGCCTTTTAACCTGTATGTTTATATTAATTATGAAAATAATTTTAAGTCGGCATACGTCTAAACTTGGGCCGATTATTTTTTTTCAATTATCGCGTTCGTACAATAAAACTTATTTTTAAATCAATTGAATCATGTATGCTTTTGTAGCCTTGGTTATTTCTGATTTTTATATGTTATATGTAAATTTTGACGGCATACTTATTTTCGAGACCTTATCCAAATACTGGAATACTGGAAAATGTAGTTTGTGTCATATCCATCGAACCATGTATGCCATTGGATTTAATTGAGCGATGCCAGGATTCAAATCAACGAACATATAAGTTAACATTAAATAATACAAAACTAAAATAGTATTTTTTCATGCTAAAGGGCAGACGAGCAGACGGGTCACCTGATGGAAAGTGACCATCGCCGCCCATGAACGCACACATAATGTGCATTTTTATGTTTTCATAACTATAATTATGTAAATCTAATCTAATTGTTTACAACTAATGTGTATAACTTATACAATAGTCTGGCTCTGTCCGATAACGGAAAGGCTAAAATATTGTTGCTTATCCCAACGTTTCTTATGTCAAAGCCCAGAGAAACTCTGTAGTTCCGTTCCGCGCACACTCCACTAGGATATGGTATGTGTCCTCCACGACTTTGCAGTCTGGACATAGAGGGGTTTCAACCTTTCGGATTATGTATTTCTTATCAAATTCAGAAGCGCATACAAATTCTGTTGGGCTAAAACGGGAATCAAAATTAAAAAAATATATGTTTTTTTTTTCGATCGAATTATAATAATAATAATATTTATTTGCAGAAAATGTGGTAGTCACAGTAGGTGGTTTACAATGTTTAAAGCACAAGACACATTTCGCTATATTTAGATAGCATGCAAATTTTTAAAATTGTACAGGTAAAATCATGAAATAAATAAAAATACTTAAAAACATTAAATTGATGACTAATATGCTATAAAATTACATTACATTAAGTATGCCCTTTGCAATTTCTCTGCAAAATTAAATGCTCCACTCAGATGCATGCTGCATTCAGATCCACGTAGACAATAGCCATATGCGAATAGCATAAGAGCGGGCAAATGAAGGATTCATAAATAAAACGATTTTTCATCAATCCGTGGGATGGTGCGCAATATGTTTGCATTCGTTGTGATAAAAAAATGTACGAAACACGTGCGTGAACATAATCTCGACTCGACTGAATATCACTCTTTAGCTCTACGCGCTACTTACGTAATGTACTATTACTTCTTTGACAATCGAAGAAACGTGCTCTTTCTCTTCTCTTTTCTTTTCATTATAAACAAAACAAATGCATATTATGTTATTGTAAACTATATAGCATATACTACAAATTAATAACGTATGTTAATTCGTATGCGAAGTATATGTCACAGCAAAAAATAAATGACTGCCTTGCGAATCCGTCAATGAAGCACGTTTGCAAATTTTTCAAAATAACTTCGCAATGACAGATACAAAGGAATCATTTGTGAAAGAGATCTGCACGTTTGATTCATCTATGTTGCCTCATTGCCGACCAAAACTTGAGCAGCATTTACGGCGTTCTCGCTACGTAAGCAGCACATGGAATAATGCAACTCATGCAGCACCAACAAATCTGGAACCGAGTAGTATTGTTTGGTACAAACAGAATAATATGCTGTCTTTTAATTGGTTCGAAGGAGAACAAGTCCCAGCAGCCGTTGACGAGATACATACTTGGCACTCCCGCTGACGAAGGTGAATTTTTAATACCGATTTTTTAGGCCAAACCAAATTTCAATGTAATCGATCCAGTAGATGAGTGGAAGACTGAAGCGCGAGTGATTTTTAGGTGATGATGTTAAATGAAAGGTGGTACCTAATTCTTACACTGTTTATTCACAACACACCCTACAGATTCAATATAACAGTTAATGCAAAGTTGCAACTTTCATGGACCCGTTTCGGTGCCCGTCTGTCGCCGCAACATTCAACTGGTGATTAACACGTCACGCAGCGGCCTCGTGCCGCCTTTGTAGTGTTTCTGCTAAAGAGCCTCAACCAGTGCCCTGATACAGGTTTAATGTAAAGACGGTAATCAGACCTACTCACATAGTACACGCTTACGTAGCTAAGATGATCCCAGTCATAGACCGGACATAGATTTTATCGATCAATGCCCACAAGTTGGTTATAAAGTAGGTTAACTAAAAAATGGATCTAAGCGAGATAGTGAGAGCGGGACATGTAGCATGCAATGTCATGTGAAATCGCAAAAAAATGATAATTTTTAGTGAAATTGAAATTTAGAACTCATCAATGTTTGTAACATAATATACTTGTAACACCTGAATTTTGCATAAAGGTTGTCCCTTGCGGAAGTAAAATAAGAGTTATGTGTACATTAGTCATAGGGCTATCGTCACGAAAGTTCGACTCGCACTTTGACGGTTTTTGTGATATTTCTCGATTTCAAAGTTTCATCGCAAAATAGAAATTACAAACGTGGTAAAAAAGTAAAAAGTCACTCAGGAACTGGTAATAAAATAATTTAAAATAAAGTGTGTTCATTGTCCGAATAGAATACAGATTGTAATTAACAAAAATCTCACACCATAAAGTGTTAAGATCTTACGTAATTAAAACAATAGCGGAAACGCGAGCTGTGCTGACAAAACTCCATTGACTCTGACGCTGATCGGCGATACTCGTAACAGCTCCTGTGTTTTTGTATGTACCCGTGATGCATACCTTAGCTGCTTAGGTTCATTGAATCAATCAAATTAAATTGACGCTACGCTGACTCCTGTCTTTCTTTAAACGCATTAAGAGCGCCGCAGGTTTATTCTATTACTTTTGTTTGTGTAACTAACAGGGTTGCACGACTTTCCACTGTTGATACACAACCGCATGGCTTAGATAACTCGTCACAATCGAACTGAACAAGTTATATTGTTTAATGCTCAACATAAACACACTTATTATATTATTTGTGTAAATAGGTAAAGTAGCCAATTTTGCGCCGTTCGATCTCATGTCACTCCTAAGGGAAGTAAAACAATATTTTATCAAATTATAAAAGCATACACATGCTTATTGTACAAACAATTTATTAGTATAGTTTTTAAGTCATCGTCACTTTACTGCATTTTGTCTTTTGTCATCACTCATTATCGACGATCGCCTGATCGCCTTGTGGCCTAAGTCTTTTGTTCTTATGACGTATCACGTATTATTATCGTCAACTTGTCGCTCTTTAGTTCTCGAGCGCTTTAAGATTTTTTCTTGAATAAAAGCTAAGAATGCTGTTCATCAACCAATAAAAAAGAAATGAAATCAAAATGTACGACGCCTCAGAGAGACACACATTAAAGTTAGAACCCAAAAACATTGTTTCTGACGGGATTTAAAATTAAAATATCAAATCAAGCGAAGGCATTATAGCCTTTTGCATGTTTTGTGAGTAAATCTTAAATAAATAATAAGAATGATGTGAAATGTGATGGTGATGAATGATGCACAAAGCGCAGCGTCCTTCCCCGCGCGGTGGTTGAGCACGAAAACTATTGGAAGGGAAAAATAATACGGCAACAGAAAAAATAAATTACCGTCAATCCGAGTTACTAGAGTTAAAATGGCTGAACTTTTAGGTGGTTAGTCACAGACGGTGTAACATTATCTACCTGTAGTTGGTGATAATTGCTTAGTTCACCATTAGACAGGCCGTGTACTTGTTTGTGATCTTAGTCGTATAATATAACAAATTATTTAGTATTTTATTGAATCTTTGCTGAAATATTAGTTTCTTCTATGTTCAGATTGTGTAATGTGTACAGTACGAGTACTTGCTTATGACTGTAACATGACTGTAACAATTGTCTAAAACACTGATTGTGGAACACTCATTTAGCAACATGTGATGAACATTTATTTTATTGTTCGCCGTCGTAGTTTTGTAATAAACAAAAGAAATACTCACTATAGCTATTATAGTGAGCTCATTGGTTAAATTCCATTTTGCTTGTGGGATGCCCGTTAAATCCATTTTTTATATTATGCATCCATAAATACATGAATAACATAAATTTTCTTCGCATTAGATATCGTCATCATCATCAACAGCCTTTATTAGTCCATTGCTGGTCATAGGCCTCTCCTTAGAAAGGAGGTTTTGGCCCACTATACCACGCTGGCAAGAGTATAGGGTGGCCTGGTATAGGGTGTTTTTCAAGGTTTCCTTCTCTTTACAGTGTCTTTGTCATGTGTAGTTTGCTCTTACGACAACCAAGGGATGAAGAAGGCTGGTGATATGACGGATTAAGAATACGGAGGTATTCTTAATCCGTCACCACACGGAGAGAAGCATTAGGTATAGAAAGTAAATTGTGTAACACGTAGGTATCTAACTCTATAAACAATACACATGGAGAAGTTTTGATACCAAGTTGTGCCTGAATGAGTAGAATATTGTACAAGTCTCCCAATAAAACTTAAAATAATGTTCTATGTAAAGACCTTGCAATATTTTTATAAGTGTCATTGGTTGTTGATATTGTGAATTACTACTTCCTTGCTAACAACACACATTTTGAGAAAAACATGTTTGAGAGAAAAAATTGAGAAACAATTTATCTACACTTGTAAGTATAGAGTAAGCACTGTTTGCGTATAGCATAGGGTGTCGTGACATTTCTATTAGGTCAGAATTGTTCTATGATCGAACAGGTTCTTTTTTATATGAAATAGTCCTCCTAGTCACGGTCATAATTTTTAAATAGGATCCTGATTTTATTTAATAAATTAAAGAATCACAATAAGACTTAACTGTAAGACCAATATTTTTTACCTCCAAACGTGCTAGTTTGACCTTGGTTTGGTGACCTTTAGAGGTCAAAATTTGCGTACCTTAGAGGTCATATCTGATTTTAATTTTTTCTCTTTTCGATTCCGGGCTCAAAAATATGCAATCCCATCTGAAAAATGCCCGGACCCTTGAGATAATCTTAAAGCTAGAGACCAAGATTAATTTCAAGGTCACCAACGGATAGCCAGGAAAAAATCCTGTAACTTTTGTGTTTAACGTATTTCCGAAAAATGCATCCCTAGCGAATTATTCTGCTGTTCCGATACTTTTGTAACATTCTGTATACGTCATTCTTGTGCCAACTACACAGACACTACGTTACTGAGTCTGCATTATCATTTTAATGTTCGCAACGGTACAGACCTAATGTGAAAGTATATTCATAAGTTGTTTAATTGAAGCTCCCGTGTCCAATCCATGTGTTTCAGAAAATGATTCTTCAAGTGAGACGCCACTCTTGTTTTACAACAAGAAATGATGGCATTGTGACTAGTATTATTATTGCTTTGAGTTTTAAATTGATTGTAACTCGTAATATTGAGTCGCGGTTGCGTGAATCACGTCCTCACCTTGCAGTTGGTGTTTTGGTTGTCTCTGAGAACAGCTTTGTTCCATGTATAAACCAATAGGTATAATGGCAAAATGCACCTAAATATAATCAACAAACTTTTTAATGTTATCAATAATTTGTGAAGGTGTCTATTGTGAGTTATTGGCCTTCGGCAGCCGGGTTTTTCTACAATAAGCAAAAGTTTACGAGTAACCTTTATATGAACATGAGGAAACCTGATTCGTTAGTCGTAAGTCTTGACACCCATCACTAATCTTTATTGTTCCTACAAAAATCCGTTGCCGTTGCGTTCTGGCCGGTGCCGAACACCGCTAAGGTGAACGGATTTCTTTACTCGGTCACCTAAGCACCACTCCAGCGCCCGTTCTGGCGCCTTGTACGGATGAAGAGAATAGGTCCTGGGCAAGCATCCTTGGATTAACTAGCCTGTCGGATGATTAAAGGGTCTTTGTCTTGTTATACAATTTATATAATTATTATGTTTCGGCGTGTTCCAACCAACGAGTCGAGAGCATTGCATATATAAATGGATAACTGGCGGGCGAGCTAACCGAACCGTACCGTAACCGAAGAATCGCGCGAAGGCCTGCGCACCTTACCTTGGTCGAGGAAAAATTGTATGAGTCATAAGCACACGCCGCGCTCACGACATTAACGAGTCGGCTCAGCGATACAGGCTCTTGTCATCATTATTACCTAATTGGCATGAACCACCACTCGAGACACTGCGCACACGCACGTCGGTGGTGGCGCGAGTGCATCCTTGTAATGCGCAACGTCGGAGCTGACTTCGTCGACATCAAGATACTTCAATCATCATTATAATCAAGATAATTGAATGCCGTGAAACCTTTAATAAATTTATCTTCATTTAATAAATATGTGCATGTAAATAATTATGTCAGTTAGTTATGTTATCGAGCCCTTACAAAACATTTTGTGCTCTTTTGTAAGAATTATTTACAATAGTAAAATACAAATATAACTTGAACAAATAATAATTACATTAACTGCGGCCCACGTCAGTTAAAAGCTAATAAGTCTGTTTGTGTGCGTGTTATGATGGTGCTCTTTTTGTTCAATACACAAACAAAAAGCGCTAACAAATTGAGTGACGGCTGACGTCATATTTACTTGATGTCAGTCGCAGTTTAATATCTCAACATATAATAAAAAAATGTTTTAGTATAGATCTATCCGTTCCTAAAAGCTTCGCGGTTGCATGCGCATTGCTCACACGAGCCACTGACATAGGCACAGTACCTGAGGATACGTATACTAGCTGTGTTAAGAGTTACTGCTTTGAAAGACTAACTGCTGCTGGTGACTGAAGTCAAAGACTCGCTGACTACACAATATGAAGTCACAACTTATGGTGCAGCTACAGAGCATCACTCCATTATCGCCTTTCAAACTCCTCCATTTGCTTTTAAGTAAATTCGTTGCAAGTTTCGAAACGTTCAGCGTTGGCTGGGAAAAGTCATTTTTTGTGTACAAAACACTGCCACGACCTGCCCATTGTACTGCCTTGTGCCTCGTGTAATAAGTGTTACTGACACCCATTGTTTTGTAGCCATCACACGTGATACCGTATCTGCGTAAGATCCAATATTCTTAAATGTAGGTTGATATTATTTTAAAAAGAAATTTGGCCTTCTAGTATCCTCCAAGCTTTGTATATACGAGTATGTATATAATGTTCGATACGAAATGTTCGCACACCTCACGATCAGCTCCTCAACATCATGTCATCTCTGACATAATATTATGTATACAGTCGTGATTGCCTTGTTAGCAGCGGCCATATTCTTTGTTGTCCTGCCTCCCTCTAAACGTTACTGTTAATATTTGTTAAATGATACTTTCGTATTGTTCAATAGATTGTACGTTGTATTAAACATTAAAAGTTCACTGCACCTGGAAAACATTAATTTTCTTTTTGATAAAAAAACAAATTTCGTTCGAGATCGTTTTTAATGTTTAAATAGATAAACAAACGCTTACGATCCTGTCGAATCACAAAATAATTGACTGTAGTGAATGCGTTATAGGGACAACGTAGGCACATGTAACTCTAGAGACAGGCACGTCAAAGGTGCAACACTGATGTTTTACGACTCGATGAGTGCTCGGGTGAAGACGTTAGGGAGACGTTCAGGACATTGACGGCGTTTCCGGAAGCACATATTGCGTCCTAGGTTGTTCACCGCCACCAGCTCGCACCACATGGCGACCTAACTATGATAGGTGTAACAAATGTACCGGCGAGGATAAAGTAAACTTAAGCGATGCAAATATTTTCTTTCTAAATCGTAAATCATAACATGTAATAATAATATAATATTGTACCACATTCACACAACGCCATCTAGTCCCAAACTAAGCAGAGCTTGTACTATGGGTACTAGACAACTGATATAAATACATATATACATTTTTTTACAAATGTAAATACATACACATGGAAACATCCAGACCAAATCAAACATTAAATGTTCATGCACACAAATGTTTGACTTGAGCGGGAATCGAACACTCGATTTTTGGAATAGCAGTCCGTTACACAAACCACTACGCCATCCGAGCAAATCCAAGATGTCAAGGTTAGTTTGTTTTAATAGTGATCAAGCAATTAGACAAACTCTTTCTACAACAAATGTGATTATTGGTTTGGCCGATTGCTAAACATCCACCACGATTGAGGTTATTGTGTTTACGCAACGCATCCAATATAACAAATCAGTGTATGTTTTTTCGTATTTTATGCACGGCTCTGCTGATCCTCCGGGCGAAAGCTAGAATAACGATGTTTTTACTGAACGTTCGGCTTGACGCTTTTTGTTCATTAAAAGATCGGTATTAAACGACACACAGTTTCACGATGTGTGCAATGTTGATGTACCTAAATAACCTACGGATTGTAATTCTAGCAAAACCTGATTATACATAGACACGGGCTATGTGACTCACCCGGTGCCAAGCATTTGTGCATGTGTGAGCCCTCATGCATAAACAATTTGTTGTTCACAACTGATGGGCAAAACAAGTACAGTGGCATACTGGTGTTTGATCTTAATGCGAATTTCATATAGTTTACGAAACACCTCTACTTATTGAGGATAAACACAACATTATGCTGGTCTTGTATTTCTCTCGTTTAGACGAGGTGTCCACGAGAAAGGCGGGAGGCGGGCGTCGCTAGCTCGCAGGAGACCCAAGGCTGCCATCTTGAATAGGCATGTGCACTTATCTAAAATTTAGGACACTTCCCACTTTAGACGTCTGTACATTACAAACCATATTATTCTTCTGCGGTATTTCCGGATCGATATGAACTTCAAAAAAAAACGCGAAAAACTTTAGTTGTTTTGCGGATACTGCTACAGCATTTGCAGATTCTGACAAGCATACACTTGAGCGAATAAAGTATTAGTAATAACTTGACGCACTGAAGCATGCAGGCTCTGCAGGGCTAGATGAAGCTACGCGGCTTAGCCTCACGGCCAGGCGGACAGTGGCTGCCGAGGCTAGTCTCGCCCGCGACCTTGTCGACGTGCGCGGGGTGAACAGCCGCGCGCGCTCCGCACCACATACATGCGCACGAAGACACGCACACAGCACTATCATTTGATGCCACTGCCACTCCGTCACTGACGTGGGGCACCATCTACGGAAGTGGCTTCAGCCCTACTAATACAAATATAAATGCTAAAAATAGTATATCGTCTTGTACATAGATAGATCTAGCGAGCTGCAGCTACAATGGTCTGTAACACACACACCGACCAACTTAGCTTAGCTTTAATGTTATTTGAACTCCCGAAAATACTTATGATTTAAATAAAAAACGATGAACAATAGTATAAGATGTCCCAAGTTCCTTTCTTTTAAGTAGGGAGCTATGACGTGTGACGTGGTGGTCGTCGGCTAGTGTGAGTCAGCACCGCGCCGTGCGAGTCCGCTACACTAGCACCTCCCCCCACCTCCTCCTGGCTTACTTGGTGCCGCGCACTGCACATTCTAATTTGGAAGTTGTTGTCCAGTAAATTGTATGGTGCATTGTGTAGGCGGTCGTAACGCGCCAAGAGATAATTGTGTTGGCATTACAGATGAGATGCCAAACAAATTGTATTTGAAAGGAAAAACATCAATTTTCACTTAGTCTCTAACTTATGTGCAAAACTATATTCACGTTTTTTTTGTCTATGTAAAATAATAGATAACGTAACCAAAAAAATATTTATTATGTACATATTTGTTGTGCACACGAGAGATAGATGTGGCCGGCAGAGGGGGGGAGGGGGGCGCTCACCGCGCGAAAATCATTAGCCCGACGCAGTTCATTGTGCTCCGTGGCGCACACCTCCACCCGAAATGGTTTCTGTAATCTTACATTCGATGCTCGACTTTAACTGCCGTCTTCGGAATCGCCCTCGAATGTGGCTGCTCGGACATTTAACGGAATATTATTCATTAACCATATCTTAACTTCTCATACGACAGCTCAGTTTTTAAAACTGGGCACCTAAATTTTAATTTATATCACAGGAGCTAATTAACCATAATAATGTCCTTAACATTATTACTGTTACATTGACAAAAGTCTAGCTATGTAATCTAATGAGAATATCTGACACAATGTACAAGGGACAATGTGAAGGGACACCAATAATAACTGACTGACGATGGACAATCTGTTACATACATGATAACAACATTTTTTTAACTCTAGTGTCTAATATCCAAGTAATCCTTATAGGTCTGCTCTCGCATTGCTTGATGGCGAGCACGAGTTTTGTTCAATAGTACGTAGGTAATATTATAATGGCCCTAAAGAAAATCTGTTAAAGGGGTAAATTGACAGTAATCGTAGTGTCGCGGACGCGCAACGCTCACGACCGTCCGTCGACGGTTGCTCCGACAGACTTTATTTCATGAGAGACATGCACTTTATGTCGTCGCACTTTATCATGGCCAGAGGACTCCTAAGAATTAATACTTATAAATGTTATAATATGTACATATGTATAGAGCCTTGACACGTCATCTATCGTGAGTCGGTTAGTCGAGATGAGCTATTACTTATTATTCAGTCTCACGCCATCCTATACGTACCTACATATATTTTTTTTTCTTTCTTTTTTTCTTTTTTTTTTTTTTTTTTTTTTTTTTTTTTTTTTTTTTTTTTTTTAAAAAAAGACAACTCCCGCATTAGGAATATATCCTGTGTCGCGGGGGACTTTACAAACATATATGAAACGGACACAAAGAACACCCAGACTCAGAACAACAATTTGTGGATCACACAAAGTGTCGTCCCATGTGGGGTTTGAACCCACAACACTCGGCGCAGTAGGAAGCGGCGTGGCGACCACTTAAACCACTGCGCCATCTGTGCAGTCAATATGTACGCCATATGTACATAGGCTTATCCGATTCATGGCCTGCCACTTTATAATAATAATAATAATAATATATTCTACATACACACAACGCCATCTAGTCCCAAACTAAGCAGAGCTTGTACTATGGGTACTAGACAACTGATATAAATACATATATACTTTTTTTTTGTAAATACATACATATTATACATAGAAACCCCCAGACCAAATCAAACATCAAATGTTCATGCACACAAATGTTTGACTTGAGCGGGAATCGAACCCGCGACCTTTTGGAATAGCAGTCCGTTACACAAACCACTACGCCATCCAGTCGTCAAACGATAAAAAAAAAACTAAACTAAACTTTACGATTCGATATATTTATTTTGACAAGCACCACGTAAGTAAGAGCTGTTTTTATTCGCGTGTATTATATTTACTAAGAACTCCAGGCAACAGGTGCAACTGGAGACGATTCGTCGCAGTGGCGTGTCGCTGCCGAAGAAATGGCTCTCCCGAAACTTGAACGATCGAACCACGTGTAACATCTGTGGCCAGCAGTGGTCCGCAGGGCTAATACAGTGAGTCCGCTGCATTGTATTTCAACACTCCATCTTAGCACACGTAAACTATATTTTAGCATTCAGTTTTAGGTAAAGTCAAGACTAACTATGGCTAAATACATATATGTGGTTCTAGAACAATTGCTGCGGTAGCAAGGCAGCATGTAGTTACGGTTCCTGGTAATCCCCGCAACAGCAGAATTGTCCTTCTGATCTGCCAGAAGAACTCTCAGCAGTCTGTAGTAGACGCAGTAACAATAATATGTTATCATTTAGTGGTTAGTTTAGACGCCTAATTCTGACCGTTAAGAGTACCTTATAAATAAGGTAAGGGTAGCTAGGGAATGAGATCGTAATGTTCGTATGCGAAATACTTTAGTATAGTTTGTATTTATGGGCCATGCTATAAGAGACCTATTTCTTAGTCCTCCATGGATTCACCGTGCGGGTGCCGAGTCCATGGCATGGTTGATGGGGCAAAACATGCGACTGAGAAAAAGCGCCTGGAACTTGCGACCCAGGAGTAGGTTTAAGAAGTACCAGTTGCGACGCGTCAGGGCTCACCTCCGCTGTCTGCTGTGTTACCCCCTCTACCTAACGATATTTGATAGGATCCTAACTATGCTACTTTGGGTATTCGTCTAAGAAAAGAGCTTACTGACTGCTCTTGGTAACCCAAAGTTTTTAGGCAGATTATAGAGAGATTAAGCTGATATACCCCCGTCTTTTCTGTAGTTTTTTTTTTCTTTGTTTGCCTGCCTTCTAGTATTTCCCAATTCAGCGAGACTGGACTGCGTACCTATCATAAATGTCTTGTGAAACTGGAGCCATGACTCGAGCTCTGATGAATTTATATCTTTTGGAAGGGATTTAACGATTATATAATAAATAGAAACTAAAACACATGTTTTAGTAGTCTTTAATGTAGTCGCCGAAGAAGAATTAAATTATTCACTGATATTACAAATACCTAAAAGATACGAGGATCTCCGGTCTGTGACGGCGCCGCCAACAAAAAGATCAACGAATTTACAGCTTAGTTTGAAACGCACAAAGTACAAAATGTACAGATAATGCTCGCTTACTAAATTTATAAAGTCAATTTATTAATTCATCCATTCCATAAAGTTGATAATACACCTCACACTACCGACTGTCCTTCCAGTGCATGGAATAAAACACTCATACCTTCTTAACCCGCCATCTTGCCCCGGTAATGGTTCAAGTAGAAATCGACCAAATGAGTTCAGAGTTTCTACAAGTTGGCACGATATATAATGAAATAGCAAAGTGGAAGGTATCCAATCTACTTATAAAAATGGGACGTGCTTTTGTGTATAGATGAATGTGTTCCGTGTTATGTAAATGAATGCTAACTGACACGTGCTGATGCAATGCGACCTTTCCAACGTACACATCAGCGTCACCTACTCCACTGGATCTATTGAATATAACCATGCGTCGTGTCGCGACGACAGCGCGGTAGCATCGCCCGCGTCTCGCCGCTACCTGAAGTGACAAGACCTTCACTTGATGTTAACTTCACGAGTTCGTGAGAGTGGCGCACGCACCTCACGTCACCGACCGTTGCATTGGTTGGTGAGGCGAGGGCACCGTACGCTGCAAACATTACAGACAACTACCGAGAGATGCATAATGGGCAACATTTAAGGAAGTCACGTCTTTACTATTACATTATTTATTATTTGTAATAAACGGTCGTGGCGCACTCCAGAGTCCCGAGAACGATTAAGAGCTTGTTGCAAAAGTACTCGGGATGACATGAGAGAGCATGCGCACGATCAACGAAATATTATACGAATAATAATGAGCTGTCAGACACGTGCGCACGTATCGGCTAGAGGTCAGCTTGGCTTGCCGATAAAATACAAATGGTTGTTATTAATATCCGCGTTATGTTACTCGTCTCATGATAAATGGAACAGAAGTAGCCGTGTGACAAGCCAGGCTACGTCCTCTCGGCAGCCGGTGGCCGGTCGCGACTGTTGAACACCGTGGTTGGATCGGTTGTCGCTCGAATGTAACAAGTTCTTATTTGGGAGCACTTCGAAGCGTGATAATGGAAAGTAAAGAAACAGTAAGGTACGTAGTGTATATTTAAATATTGTAACTAATGGCGGCAACTACATCTACAACTGTAACTGGTCCATAACGTGGCTCAATTACTTGTTCGCTAACTTAGTTGTATTAATAAGAAAAGAATATATAAATAAATACATATATACGTAGTCAGTGGCGCGTGGGCAGGAGCGCTCTAGTCGGTTCGCAGTGCTTTGGTTTGGTACCTACATTTGATTGTGATAAGGATTTATAATTAACGTGTTACAGTTGTTCATTACAACACTGATTAGTTTAACTACATTTCATGTTGTCCGCATGTAATAATAATAATAATATTGTACCACATTCACACAACGCCATCTAGTCCTAAACTAAGCATAGTTTAGAGTAGGTACTATGGTTACTAGACAACTGATAAAAATACATATATACTTTTTTTTTGTAAACACATACATATTATACATACAAACATTAAATGTTCATGCACACAAATGTTCGACTTGAGCGGAAATCGAAACCGCGACCTTCGGAATAGTAGTCCGTTACACAAACCACTACACCATTCAGTCGTCAAACATTTGTCGACTGAATGGCGTAGTATAACTTTCAAAATTCAAATTATGGAGTGGGTCCATATTGGCCCACATAAAAATCTTATTCATATTTTTTGTTTTAATCCCGTTTGTTTTATTTTTTTCTTCACACATTTTTCGTTCATAATTTTTTATTACTACCAACGGAACTCATAACAGACAGTTATCATATTTTTATTAATACCCACTTACTACTGTCAAGTGGGTATTAACAAAACAAATATGTTTGACTACTACTACTTTTACTAAGAACATGTTTGAACTCATGATGTTGTTTTTCAAAACAGTTTTCTTAACAGACAATTATGATAATTTTCTTCTTAACCTTTAACCGCCCAGCTTTATATCAATTGGTGCCGGCCTCAGGTGCCGTGCTCTGGGTGGACCGGACATTAGACTGCGAAGTGCTGGCGTTGTGCCGTCTCCTGGAGTCCGATCCGATTCAGGTACTCACCAAGCAGCCATGCCCAGTGAGTACCTGCGTCAGTTGGTAGGTGACGCGACCTCTCTTCCTACCTACACAAGCTTCGAGGTTAGGCAAAACGGCACCGACAGCGCGTTGGCGCCGACCCCCTAGATTAGGCAAAAGCCTCCGCCCCGCGAACTCGGAGAATCATCCGCTCGAATTGCTCCTCGAAGCTCCAGCGGCTGTCCAGGGTGAGGCCGAGGTATTTGATGTGCCGCCCGACCTCGACCTCTGTTTTCCCCTATTCTAATAAGCGAGCGGGTGGGAACTACACCTCTGCGTTTCCTGTGGAAGCACAGAGCTTCCGTCTTGTGCAGTGCAACCCTTAAATCCAGACCGCTGATCTATTTGGACGACAAAAGGCATTCCTAACTCGGCGAGCTCCAGGAACGCCTGGAAGCCATGGCCCCCGAGCCTGTACCAGAGTGTCGTCAGCGTAACAAACAACACTCACTTCCGGTGGTCCCCTGGACGCCAGGACGGCATCATACGCGATGTTCCACAGAAGGTGTCTTACGACCGACCCCTGGGGAACCCCACACGTGACTTCCCTTTGATATTCTTGGCTGTCCCGATCCACATACGATTATGATTTGTCGCGGTGATAAACCCAAATGATGTCTCGCAGGTAGGGGGGCAACTGGTGATATACCAGTGCCTCCCTAATCGCCCACCACGGGAGAGAGTTAAAGGCGTTGACTATGTCAAGACTGACAGCCAACGCAACCCTCCCATCGACGAGTACCTAATATTGCTATTTGTATTTGCTAATATTATAAATGAATCACAAGAAAAAGTTTGTGATAAGACATAATTTCTACGAGTTACTACCAACCAATTTGATAAGCCTCTCAAGAATCAGTCAAAAAGAACAGAGTTTTTATTTTTAGTAGTCGTAGCCTGGCGTACCCCTCTGCGAAAGTACATCGCCAAGTAGACCATATACGTTATATAAAACAAAGACAAACACAAATTTACGTCATTAATCATATTTATTTCGTAATTGTTTATATTTCTTATTATGTATAATAAATCTAACAAAATATTCCAGCGTAGAAACAGAATTAAAAAAACGAAAAAAACTTATTCACGAAAACACGCACAGCACTAATGGAGAATTCCATTCGGTTTGCCTGGGATGTGACGTCACAGGCGGTCGTGTTTATCCGACTCGGGCGCTGGCTATAGTGGCTATACTGGCGTAAAATGATTTAGATAACATGGTCAAGGGATGGGAATTTGCATCTATAGGCGCCCGTAAATAATTAAAACGCTGGAATTTTATATTTACACAATACAAAGTGCACAACACGTTATTAAATAACAATTACGTTTTTAAGGGTTCCGTACCTAAAAGGTAAAAAAGGAACCTTATAAGATCACTTTCTTGTCCGGCTGTCCGTGTGTCACTACCGATTGTCTAAGGAACGGGTAGACCCAGCTAGTTGAAATTTATACCAGATACTGAGGTCTATGGTGTATTTTTCTCTTTACTTGTGCTGTAAGACCTTGCTTTTAACCAAAATTGACAATTCTAGGTCAACCGGTAGTACCCTATAGGTTTTGGGTCGAAAACCTACATGGTTAGTACCCGTTGACCTAGAATCACGAAATTTGGCAAAAAGAAACGTCTTACAGCACAAATAAAGGAATAATTCCAAAAAATAAAAATAGTTGAAAATTAAGATAAATTTTGGTACTTACAATTTTTCGCGAAAATATACGTAAAATCTGGGTAGGTACGGAACCCCTCGGCGCAGGAGTTCGACTCGTACTTGACCGGTTTTTTTTCTTCTAATAACTCCGTATATACTGTAATATATTTATATACTCGTCCTCGTCACTACTGTCCGATAAAATTAGTATCATTTTGAAATAGTCATTTTCGATATGTTTCTAGTTATTAAGTCTGCATATATGACTAAAAAAAAAGTTTGATAGACAATCTATTCGAAAAATGACTACTAGCTAATACTAACAGCGTAATAAGTTTAGAAATCGGACATAAAATACAAAGGGTTTTTAGTCGGAAATATACGACTCAGGCGGGCCCTAAAAAGTAAGCATTAGTTAAAAAATATGTTAGGTTCTGGCTGTAGCGTCGCAGTTCTAACCTAACCCGACGTCGCTTCGAGGAGGAGACCTTCCTTAAATACATATTTAACACAATCGAAAATTTGCCAAGTTCCTGCGCCTTTGTAATGAACTACTACCTACGAATATTAATCTCCTTAGAACAGTAACCCTCCCATAATAGTCGCTTTGCTTTCGGTTCCGCCGCGCACACAAACTAACAGCAAGTATAACGAAACACTTCCAGTCGCTCAGAGGCAAAACTTGCACGCGATTGGTTGCATCAAGTTCGCAAACGCCCATGAGGGCGGATTGTAACAGATGCGTGGATGGCAAAATACCATAGCAGGATAACGCTAAAAGGAATAAGCTTCCTTGCGTGTTTATTTTTTATTGAATTAAATGACTCAAATACATGTAATACAAGGAAATAAAATAAATTGTGTGAAAAAACTTGTATGTATGTAGCATACAAGTTTTTATTAGTCATGACTTCTGTAGTCGATGATCCGTTATGACTAACTTATAATTATTGCGTCTTTGACGAATGTACATCACTATTCTTAGAATTTAAATGCATACTCTGCGTAGCAAACATAATTACTTGTATAGCAAAAATAAACTGAGTACTGTATATGCACCTATAATATTCCAAAAACGCATTGTAATGTTTATTGAGACTCCCATTACTGCACCTTCGTGTTCACCACAGCACGCGGCGTTGCTTAGAAATAAAGGCAAAGTTACTTGAGGAACACCACAAAAGTAGTGAATTGAGTTTTACATTTTCTAAAGCGTTTAAAAAAATTATTAAAGCTTATGAGGGGCTAATTTTGTAGAAGATTCAGTTTAAAAAAATTATATTGTGTACCATTTCATATGGTTTTGCTACACTTTGTGATGAAAATGTTGATGTTCTGATAGTAAAATAATAGCAGTCTCAACGGCCGGCGCTTTAATTTAATAACCTAAAGAAATAACCTTACCTTCCCAAGATTTGTTAAATTTTCAACAGCATTTCTCATAATAAATTTTTACATATGCAACTGGTCTATGTCAAAAACATACAACAATATCCACATCGAGTAATATATATGTTTCTGTTTCGTTTCAGTTGCGTCGAGTTCGATAAGGCGCTCGGTATGGGCATGGGCGGCGTGCGGCGCTCGCACGCGGCCGCGTTCGCGGCGCTCGGCGCGCTGCTGCTGCTGCTGCTGGCGCGCCTCCCGCCGCCCGTCCCCGTCCCCGCCCCCGCCCCCGCCCTCGTCCTCGTCCCCGAGCCCGCGCCTCTCGCCAACCGCACGCAGTCGGCGCCCCAGCCCCCGTCCTCTTCGCTCGGCACCACGTCGTCTCGCGTGTCGAGCGAACGGACCCTCGCAGCGGCCGAGGCGAAATCTTCCGGGACGGCGGCCGTTCGGGCGGTCTCGGAGGCGGCCGCCGTTCCGCCGGCGCCCGCCGCCCCTCCGGCGCCGCCGTCGAACCGCACCGCCCCGGCTCGCGACCCCCACCTCGTATACGTGAGCGACGTGTACGTGAGCGGCCACGAGCGGCCGCACCCCGAGCTGTGCCCGTCGCTGGGCGCGCGCCTGCGGCTGCTGATCCTGGTGACGTCGGCGCCGTCGCACGCGGCGGCGCGGGACGCGGTGCGCCTGACGTGGGGCCACTACGCGGCGCGCGCCGACGTGGCCATCGCCTTCGTGCTGGGCGCGCCGCCCGCCTCGTTACGCGACGCTCTGCGCGCCGAGGACGAGCTGTACGGCGACCTCATCGTGGGCCGCTTCGTGGACTCTTACTCCAACCTGACGCTCAAGACGCTGTCGATGCTGGAGTGGGCGGACACGTACTGCCCGCGCGCGCCGCGCCTGCTCAAGACGGACGACGACATGTTCATCAACGTGGGCCGGCTGCTGGAGTTCGCGGCGGCCCCGGGGCGCGCCAACGCCACGCGCACCGTGTGGGGCAAGGTGGTGCGGCGCTCGCTACCGAAGCGCACGACCAAGTCCAAGTACTACGTGTCTCCGCAGCAGTTCCCGGGCAAGGTGTTCCCGGACTTCGCGACGGGCCCGGCGTACCTGCTGACGGCGGACTGCGTGCGGCCGCTGCTGGCGGCGGCCCCGGGCGCGTTGTTTCTGCGGCTGGAGGACGTGTTCGTGACGGGCGTGCTGGCGGCGCAGCTGCACATCCGACGCGCGCACGCCCCCGAGTTCTACAACAAGAAGGTGGCGGCGCACCCGTGCGCGGTGCAGCGCGGGCTGGCCATACACATGGTGCGCTACCACGAGCAGTTCGACCTGTGGCGCAAGCTGCTCGACGGCAAGACCAAGTGCGCCAGCTAGCTCGCTCCACGAGTCTGCGACGGCACTCGATATATTTTTTTTACTTTATTTAATTTTTTACTCGACTATATTTTTGTATTCGTCGCGCGCTATTGCGCGTGGCGGTCCGCCATACCTCGACGTCGGTCGAATCCATCGATCGGCATCGTTCCCGAGAATCTCGCCTAGATGTGACTATTTTTTTGTATATAAAGTACAAACTGATTATCTTAAGCTCTCGTTGTGCCTCGCTCCCGTGATTAGTAACAAGCCGCCGCCGGAGGCAATCGTAGATCGCCCCTGGACGGTGCTAGTCGCCCCTGATCGGCGCTAGTCGCCCCTGGTCGGCGCTAGTCGCCCCCGGTCGGTGCAAGTCGGCGCTAGTCGCCCCTGGTCGGCGCTAGTCGCCCCCGGTCGGTGCAAGTCGACGCTAGTCGCCCCTGGTCGGCGCTAGTCGCCCCCGGTCGGTGCAAGTCGGCGCTAGTCGCCCCTGGTCGGCGCTAGTCGCCCCCGGTCGGTGCAAGTCGGCGCTAGTCGCCCCTGGTCGGCGCTAGTCGCCCCCGGTCGGTGCAAGTCGGCGCTAGTCGCCCCTGGTCGGCGCTAGTCGCCCCCGGTCGGTGCAAGTCGGCGCTAGTCGCCCCTGGTCGGCGCTAGTCGCCCCCGGTCGGTGCAAGTCGGCGCTAGTCGCCCCTGGTCGCAGCCGGTCGCGTCTAGTCGCACACGGGAGCGAAGCACGACACGTAGTATCGTCACCGTATACTAAACTGTGACAATTGTATTGGAATTTGATTGAATGGCGCTACATGCCGCGCGAGTTGTGCCAGATGTAAATATTACATAAATATGTACATTATATTTTGCTTTTTATTTTAACGCCCGCTACCCGCTCATCTTCCTTGTTAACTACGAAACCACCTGTAACTATATATCGACGAGGTCTTTTTTGTTTTAGTAAATAGAGTATAGTAGAGTAAAAATAAGAGTGACCGCTGAAGTCTGCGGGGTGCGCAGTTTGCGAGGCCTCCGGGCACCACGTTTCCTCTTGGCTGGCGCTGCTGCTGGAGTGGCAGCGGACCGGGGTGGGCCGGTTTAGGCGCCTTTGGCCTAGCCGCCACATCGCTCTATTTCACTGTGTATGTGTATTGGCAGCGTCCATCCGCTCCAGCACCACCACCGGCACCACCTCTCTGAAAGAGACACAAGACCTTGCGGTCTCCGTCTCGTTCTCCGTCTCCATCGCTTCCTTCTCAGTATTTATATTTGATTTTATTGAATCATCCATAGCTAAACCCACGAGTATAAGATCAATAGAATACACTTCCCGGGATGGATGGGATGGAGGTCCACTAGTATCCATAGGTTTTAAGCGACTTAACTGTCGGGTTTTAAAGGCCGGCCAATGAAGGCAAGCCCCACGTCCTCAGGCAGCCAACTCTCCCAACTCCGACGGTGGCACTAGTGCCTGTCTGCCCCTGCGCGAGCAGTGGGTCGACCCGTCCCTCGATCTCTAACGGATCACAACGTCCCTCCCCTGTTCCCTTTGAAAACAGAGGGATACTGGGAGGAACGGCGAGCCCTGAAAAGGGCTGTTGAATGGAAGAAATCCTACGGATCGAATGCGAATGCGTTTAGGCACTTCGCTCACCTCCCGCGGGGGCAGAGGGCTCGCTTCGTGTGGGACTCCTGACGGGCCAGACTACCCACTAAACCACCACGGTGTTCCTCCTCCGCCTAATCCGAATCACGGGTTAGTTTGCTCACCGCGACTCGGCTAGGGACGCCCTATTTACCGGGCTCACCTCTCGAGGCCTCACCAACCGGGCCATCTTGACCAAATGAATGCACCCCAGGAACACAGAGGGGCGCATTCCGCCACATGAGTATGGGGCTGCAGGTCCCCCGACCCACCACCCGTGGCCACTCTCATTCGGGGACGCGGACGCACCACTCCGTCATAGAGACGACGGCAGGCAGACCCCGGGCCTCCGCTGTTGGCGCAAACGCGAGAGCATTCCGGCAAATGCCAGCAGCTTCGGTGCCAATTGCCGGAAATGCTCTGTGAACCGCCACCGACTGTCGAGAACGAGCCCGAGATATTTCAGGCTGGCCCCGACAGCGATGGGGATGCCGCCCACCACAATCGACCTATCTCGAGGCGGCGTCTGCCGAGGCCCGTGGAAGAAGATGGCCTCAGACTTCTCCAGGGCGACTGTTAAGCCGAGCGCCCCAATGCGACGCACTACATGAGCGACGCCTGCCGTGGCAAGTACGGCGGCGTCGCGGAATCGCCCGCGCGGTGACTAGGGTATCGTCAGCGTAACAGAGAACACCGACTCCCCGAAGATTAGCACCGCGCAGGACCCAATCATAGCCTACGTTCCACAGGAGCGGCCCAAGGACCGACCCCTCTGGAACACCACAAGACATGTCCCTGCGGACCACCCCACCTTGGGCCGGGTAGATGATGACCCGGTCCACGAAGTAGTCCGCAAGGACGCGCCTGAGGTACCACGGGACATTGTGGAACCTTAGCGCCTCCGCAATGGTCTCCCAGGGGAGGGTGTTGAAGGCATTGACTATATCCAGCGACACAGCCAACACCACTTCACCCCCAGAGACCGCTTCGTCGACGCTGTCCCGCAGTCGAGATACTGCGATACCCGTCCCTTCCAGGTGGCCGACGAGACGTGCAGCGAGCACTCGCTCAAAAAGCTTGCACATCTCGTCGAGCAGAACGATGGGGCGGTAGGCCGACGGCGACTCGGCTGGGCGCCCGTGCTTCTTAAGAAGCACGAGCTCGCCGGTCTTCCATCGTCGCGGGACTCTCCCCGACGCCAGGCACTCCTCCTCTAGTGCAGGCATGACTGTGGCAATAACCTTCCCAGGGACGCCGTCCGGGCCCGGGGCGCGATTCCTGGACCGGAGTGCCAGTATCGCGGCACCTAACTCGGCGTCGTCCACGGGAGGTATCGCCCCTTCGTCTGCCGGCACCTGGCTCGATGCTGCCATCCGCGGCGGGACCCACTTCCCTCGCAGGGAAGAGGGATCTGACCACTCGGTCCAGAAAGCGCGGTTCGAGAGTTCTGGTGAGGGGAGGCGCCCAAGACCTGAGTTTCTGACTCACAGTCTTGTACGGGCGCCCCCACGGATCTCGATCCAGGCTCTCGAGCCACTCCTCGTCCTTGGCGGCTTTGATCGCCGAGCTGAGGGCCTCACGGGCAGCCCGGTACGCGGCATGCAGTTCTTCTTCGCGGGCGAGGTCTCTGACGGCTCGCCTTCGGCTGCGGGTGTACTGCCTCTGGGCCGCGTAACTTGCGGTACGCAGCCCGGCTAGGTGAGGACGCCACCAGAACACCTGTTTCCGAGGCGAGATAGGTCTCGCCCTCTGCATCGCCGCGTCGCAGACGCGAGTCAGCGTTCCAGCGAGTCGCTCGCATCTCGCGTCCACGTCCAGGCCGCTTTCGACATTAGCCCATCGCTCGACGATAGCCACGATAGGATGCCAAGTAATTCCTTCGTAAATAAAGTAAAGTAAATCTTTCGTAATTATTCAAAAAGTAATCATCGTAAAACACATTCATTTCCCCTAAATGCCATAGAAATCACCGCTTGGGACTAGTTTCAGCTTGTCTCACGTAAACAAAGATCACAGCTGTCAAAATCTATACCTGAGTAATGATTTCGACATAAACATCGTTCTAAAATAAGCTACCACTCACTTGAGTATGGATCGGTGAATCTCGTTTTAAGTGACGTTCAATAATAAAATCTCTACTTAAAATTAGTTTTAAGACTAGATTCACGACTGAGACACCTTTTAAAATACGGGCCTAAGAGTATTATAACATCGTGAGGATAAGACTTTACTTGTCTTTTGTAGTTTTGGCCGCGGAAGCTGCAGCTGCCCAAAACCGCGGCTGTAGTAGTGACGCTGTCGCCGGAGGCGGCCAGTGGCGGGCTCACGTATGCGGCCCTCTTCAAGGGGGCCCGGCCCGGTCTCGCCACTGAGTTCGGGGAGGCGGGGATGAGGTTGCGCCGCGCCCAGACGGGAGCTCGGGTTTTCGAGTTCCCTGGGGCGGAAGGCGCGGCGACGGCCGACAAATTCGCCGAGAACTTGCGGGGAATTTTCGCCGCCACGGACGGTGTTAAGATCGCCAGGCCCACCAAATGCGCGGAACTGCGCATCTCGGGCCTGGACGACTCCATAACGTCGGAGGATGTCCGCGATGCAGTCATGGAGAAGACTGGGTGCACCGCGGACGCCATCAGAGTCGGCACCGTCCGTCCGGGTCCGGGAGGCCTCGGTGCGGTGTGGGTGAGTTGTCCCGTGGCGGCGGCCAAAGCGTTGGGCGACGCCGGAAGCATGCTCGTCGGCTTCGTGAATGCCAGAATCACGGTTCTGGCCGCGAGGCCGATGAGGTGCTTCAAGTGCCTAGCCGCGGGACACACTCGCACCAAGTGCGAGAGTTGCTTTGACTGCAGCGGTTTATGCTTCCGCTGCGGTCAACCCGGGCACAAGGCGGCAGAGTGCTCTGCTGCCCCTCACTGCCCCGTGTGTGCGGCGGCTAAAAAGCCCGCCAATCACCAGATGGGGCAGGGGGGCTGCAAGCCTCCCCGCGCTTCTCGGCAAACGCCGGGGTCTAGCCTGCCGACCCAGGCTACCCCCGACGTCAATATTGCGTCGACGCCGACGCCCATGGAGGAGGTTGTAGAGACGATCCAGTAATGGATCAAGTCTCCAACCTCCTGGTCCAGACGAATCTGAACCACTGTGCCGCGGCGCAGGATCTCTTCCTGCAAACCATGGCACAGTGGTCGATAGGTGTTGCCGTAGTCGCGGAGCCCTATTTTGTCCCTCCCCGTCCAAACTGGATGGGTGACCGGGACGGCTCCGTGGCAGTCGTCGGCTCCACGGCGGCTCATTCCCCGCCCTTGTCGCTAAGAGACAAGGGTACTGGATATGTTGCCGCCGATTGGGGGGGAATCACCATTTATGGTGTATATTTCTCCCCCAACCGGAG